TGCATGTGTAGCAAAAATGGCATTGGAAACAAGGCGACGAGATCACGAAACAGTTCTTGATGTTGTTCCATCTTTTGCAGTGTTCAAGTGTCTCGCTCGTGCAGATGTTTCGTTGCCAATATGTATGAGCCTTTAAATTAATTTACCTTTCTTCATGCAAAAATGTCTACTTCAACCAATCAAACCAAGAATGGTCATTCTCCCTTGATTTCGTTTCGGTGATCCAAGCACTGGATGGCAGTATAACTAGCACGAATGCCATCGTGATACGACCACCAAGTTCATCTCTCAACCACACCCATTCTCTGTCAATATGACCATAGTTTCGAATGATCCCACTTGGTGGCCGACCATCGATGAATTTCGGTTTTTCAGCTATTTTTCACGTTCGTGGAGAGCAATCAGATGTTGAAGCTGATGTTTCGATCTAACCTTGGTTGTGGTTTCGCAGTTGCCGCCTTTGTTGGAGTGACGTATGATTGGGGTGAGCATGATAATATTTGAGGACTGTTGATATCTTACAAGTATTTTCAGCACTTACATTCGGGCAAGAGGTATGTCGATGCTATGACTGGAGCACCCATCTCGCTAAGAATGGTTTTATAGGTTGAACTGATCTGGGTGAGTAGAGTCTCATGTCAGAGGAACACTCATGAAAATACACTCAATTACAGAGGCAACGTTGGTCCTTAATGACAGTTCTGTATCTCGGCGTATGTAGCTTGTTTGTCGCTGTTTTCATGTTGTGCTGACTTGAAAGTACCCTAGGTGCGCTACCCTGGATTCTTATTTGCTGCGTATGTTCGGAAGGCTAAACAGTCGATGTTGTGCTAATTATATATCTCTCATAATCAGCCTGGTCGTAGTGGGTATGTCACCTTAGTACACATTCTCTGTCTTTGCTTCTTCTGACCAACAACATACAGGCAATATTCATACTATCTCGCTGACAGATACAGTAAGTCTTCTGCACAGAGGCCTACTATCCCCTCCAATTAACCGTGGTGTCCTATAGGAGTGGGTGTGGTTCTTTGCTAGCTTCTTAGTTCACTCATGACTACCACCCTATACTGTCATAGATGTGAGTCTGTTTGGAGTGTGTGGTACCCGAGGCTGGTCACTGACCAAATTCATCAGGCTTCATTATGTACGTCACACGGAATGTGACGACTGCTTTGGTATTACCAATGCTGTGGGGTGAGCTTGGCACTTGCGATACCTCGGTGATATTGACTTGACTGGAACATACTGCAAGTCATCATCATCACTCGGTTATATGCCATGTATCAAGGATCCAGAAAGATCTTGATATTTCTCATTGTCACCTTGCTGGCCGTTGCCATTTTCAACGGAGTGGCAGTCGTAATAACAACGATGCGTACTACAGGGGGTGCGCATAATTGTGGATGAAAACAAACGTGCATGGGCTCATTGATGAATACTAGTGGAACTCATTTTCTCCGGCACTCATCAGTGCGCGATTGCCTATCCGGAAGTTATTCTACTTCTAAATTCCATTACTTGGATATTCGGTACCGTGTGGGAGGTCCTCGCACTATGTCTCGCAATCTGGATTGCTGTAAAACACTTCCGTGAACTACAACGACATTCGACGGGAGGGTTTATCGAGGACTGTTTCACGGTGTTGATGAAAACTCACTTGGTTTACTTTGCGAGGCAAGCTCATATCGTGATTCTTATTCCTTTTTTCACTGAAGGGTCCGCTATGGTAGCTTTGTTGCTGTTTCTTGCACCCACATCATTTTTGATTTCTCTCCCACACTGATCTCGACGGTATGTTAATCTTTCACTTCTGTATGCGACCACGATTCATCATTCCTATAGGGTCAAAATTCCATAGGCGCTCAGACTCTGTACGGCTTTCTTCAAATTGCTGAGGTCGTGCAGATGTCTGTGCTAGGGCCACGCCTGATCCTTGGCATTCGAGAATATAATGCCAAGCTCGTGGCCGACTCCGACGCAGCAACCGGCATGACCTCAATCGCTTTTCAAGAACGTATGCATATATCAACTAGCAGTAGTGTGTGATGCTCAGTGAAGTTAACGGTTGTCTAGTGTTCTGCAAGGAGCAGGGTAACTTGCTTTTATTTATTCCCACTTTCGTGATAGTATTGATCAAGCTTATTTAGTGCTCTGAAGTAGATTTCTCTGGGAAAAGTTTTCGCCGTAGTATTTAGTTAAGATTCAAATCAATTATTCAACTACCTGCCATTTCATATTCGAGATTTGCTATACGTGCTGACAATGTTTACATAAATCAATATCCTACATATCTCTACTGGCACGAGCTGCCCACCCACGCTTGCACCAACTACTGATCCGATCCTGCATTATGATACAAAGTTCAAACTATGACGAACCTACATGTCAGGTTAAAAATCGGCGCTTGCCTCAGCTTTGTGATTCATCTTCACGCGCTTAATAGTCAACGTCCTGCTCAATCAGCGCGACGGCTCTTGGGGAGCGAGGCTTAACGGAACACTTAAATGGTTTGGGGTGGCTAGAAGGGTATATATCCGGATCAGCGCCGGACGTGATCAGATATCCAACATACCTGATTGTGCCTGACAATGGATCAACCTCAGGGATGATCTCAATACCGTTCTCGACGGCCTTCGAGACATCGAACACGGCCAGCGACATTGCGGCGGACAACCAGACCGAGGCTTCAGCGAGATAAATACCTGTAGATGAAAATGAATTCAACGTCAGAATATAATCTGAGAGTCGGGTATACCTGGACAAATACTGCAGAGCAGAAAGTTAGCATGGCACAAAACCCTACTGCATGCTTACCGTCTTCCAAAACCGAAGCAGATCGTGCGTGGATCTGTCTCAGGCTCCTTGCCTAAAAAGCGTTCAGGATTGAATTGCGAAGGGTTAGCATATCTCTTCGGGTCGTTCATCATGAACCTGCAATCATATTCTGTTCAAATGTTGAATACGGAAAAAAGAGGTACCGACCAGATGTTAGTCACGACCATAGAACCTTTTGGGATGTAGTACCCGTCATGGATGTCGTCCTTAGAGACGCAGTGGGCAAAACCTGACATTGAAATACCGCTCGGAAACTAAATAATGCGTTAAACGAAATACACAAACCGGTAGGGATAACAGAATGCCATCGTAGGGCCTCTTTAACAAGCGCTCCGATGTAGGGGAGAGATTCTTGGTCGGCGAAGGAGGGAAGACGATCAGGACCGATAACAGCATCTATTTCAGCCTGAGCCTTCTTCTGCACGTCAGGGAATAGCGTCATAGCTAGGAAGAACGCATTGATAGTAGCAACAGTCTGGGGGGAAAGTGTGGCGCTCTCAGAAGATGATTGTCAGAAATATGGGGGAGGGACCAACAGTGTCGGAACCGCCGGCATATAGGGCTGCAGCGGACCATTTGACATCGTGCTCGTCTTCCGCTGACAAACTATCGCCTCTCAACAGATTCGAGGTGAAAGACTCCGGAGCAATGCCAGCAGCCTGTGAAAGTCAAACTTGACCGCATACTCGCAGAGTTATAAATGATTGTCACCATCTGATCCACGACGAACTTGTACGGTGCACAAACCAATTCTTCAAGGTTGTCGTGCCATTCGCGGGCCAGACGCTTGAAGCCAGCACCAGGGAACCATTCAGGGACCTTGATCACTAAAAGTGATGAGGCCATTGGAAGCAAACGTCTGAATGCTGTGGCTTACAGAATGGCACAACATCAGCCAGGAAAGCGCCAGGAGCGGTGGCACGCGACCACTGGACCAGAACGCGTCCCGCAAGGCCGACGAAGGGATCGTCGTTCTCTTTCACCTCGTACCCATGAGATATGCGCAGAATCACAGCGCCAGCGGTGCTATAAAAATTAAGATCATGTCGATGCAACGATAAACGATGCGTACTGTCGAACATGCGCCTGCAGTTGATCGGGTTTCGCAAGCACACGCTTGAGGAATTGGTGAGTCTCGATCTCCTCGACCTGGCTGTATATTGCCACAGCGGCGCGGGTGCCAATGACGCTGTGGAAATTTTTGCGGTGCCGGCGCAGCTGGTCGCCATAAGGGAGGAGAGTCATGACGTTTTTCCAGCCAATAAGTTCGCCGCCAACAGGAAGAATAGGACGGTCAGAGTAAATGGTGCTCTTGTTGTCCAGCATGTCCATCGCGATCTTGACAGAGTTCACCACCACGATGTGTTGACCCAGAATATTAATATGCGAAATGTCACCTGTCGACAAGACATTGAAATGCAAGATTGTGTGAAACAAGAGACACTCACCATACTTTTCGCCCCACTCCGTGAAGGTGAGCCAGGGCCTGATGTATGGCATGTCCAGGACGTTCCCAATGATAGGCCACCCTGGTGGACCAGGGGGATATGGAGGGTTCTTCTTGTTGAAGACCTGCTTAAGCAGACATACTCCGACACAAGCAAGGCATAGGTCGAGCGCAGTGACGTTGGTGAGGGCCAACATGATCTAGTACTAGCAGAGGACGATCAACTCGAGAGTGGGGTTGTATTGAAGCTTGCAGGACGAGATGAAAAGATTCCTATACTGACCATCTTATTTATAAATTATAACTGAACTTAAGCTTGGGCCCGTCACGAGGCTTGATTATTTTGAAAAAAGTCCGGATAGAAAAGATCATCAATCTCAGTGGGAACCTACATCAAGCATTAGTGATATCATGATAAGACTCAGCGCTCATTACCAAGTACGGTGTTTAGCAACAGGTGACAGTGCAATGTACGAAGTTCGTAGATTACACTACTGTTGCTAAACACCGCGCACCTGGTGGTGACCTGGTGGCGAATTTCTCGCTACCGCTAGGGAGTGGGTGTTACAGTGGGACAAAATGGCCACTCTAGGGCTAATCTACATATTCAAGTTAGTAGACTCATGAGCCAAAGTCTGGAGGCTAATTAGTTGGCAATCGTACGTCTTCATTTAGACATTGGCAGCATATGTCACTTGCGTCATATTTCTTGTTATCATCTTGCACCATATGCTACGTACAGTACAGTTTCACCTTCGACACTCAGCCACAGACGAGTCCACCATGCCTGTATATCAGTAGCGCCGTTTCGCGTCGTAACACCTCAGCGTTGTCCTAACCACACGCTGAGACTCGTCTCGTTCTAGTTCTCACCAGTCTGGGACTACTAAACCAGTCTGTCTATGAGGCGAGCCGTCGTTGGAGTCTATGGACAGGGCCAGGGGGCTTTGGTGCTTCGGGCTGAGTTTAAGCGGCGGTGATCTCTGTCGTGCAGTGTGTAGTACCTTATTGAAGCTACCGTATCAGGCTATGTCAGGGACAAGGCCCACGAAGGGTTGTTCGATCTTAGACTCTTGGGTTCTGCTTTCGAAGATGCATAGGTCTGTGTGTGTCAAAGAGTGCGAGTTGAAGAATCTGACCTGCTGATGTTTGTACTTGTGTTTTATTTGTCCCTGTGGTGTCACATGTATATTGTGCTCACGTGATCAGCATGTTGTGACACGCCAGCTATTTATATCAAGTCGTCACCTCTCTCCGGTGGCAGCCAGTACCATCCTCTAATTTCATCTGCAAATCGATCATCTTCACCCATTGAAGGTCCACCGGCAATAAGCAGGGAACTTACTGTGCTCTCCCTGGTCCAACCCCACATTTCTGACATTCAAGCCTGAGGTGTAGACCACAAGCGTCTTTAATGCCAGAGTATGGACTGTCAACAACATGGAACAGAAAAATATGTACAATTGTAGCGCGATGCGACAGTCGATCCTGCATTATAATACAATGTTCAAACTATGATGGACCTAGATGTCAGGTGTGAAAATCGGCGCTTGCCTCAGCTTTGTGATTCATCTTCACGCGCTTAATAGTCAACGTTCTGCTCAATGAGCGCGACGGCTCTGGAAGAGCGAGGCTTCATGGAACACTTGAAGGGTTTAGGGTGGCTAGAAGGATATACATCTGGATCAGTGCCGGACGTGATCAGATATCCAACATACCTGATTGTGCCTGACAATGGATCAACCTCAGGGGTGATCTCAATACCGTTCTCGACGACCTTCGAGATATCGAACACAGCCAGTGACATCACAGCGGACAACCAGACCGAGGATTCAGCGAGATAAATACCTGTAGATGAAAATGAATTCAACGTCAGAATATAATTTGGGAGTCGGGTATACCTGGACAAATACTGCAGAGCAGAAAGTTAGCATGGCACAAAAACCTGCTGCATGCTTACCGTCTTCCAAAACCGAAGCAGATCGTGCGTGGGTCTGTCTCAGGCTCTTTGCCTAAAAAGCGTTCAGGATTGAATTGCGAAGGGTTAGCGTATCTCTTCGGGTCGTTCATCATGAACCTGCCATCATATTCTGTTCAAATGTTGAATACGGGAAAAAGAGGTACCGACCAGATGTTAGTTAAGATCAAGGAACCTTTTGGGATGTAGTACCCGTCGTGGATGTCATCCTCAGAGACGCAGTGGGCAAAACCTGACATTGAAATACCGCTCGGCAACTCGATAATGCGTTAGATGAAACACACAAACCGGTAGGGATAACAGAATGCCATCGCAGGGTCTCTTTAACAAGCGCTCCAATGTAGGGGAGAGAGTCTTGGTCGGCGAAGGAGGGAAGACGATCAGGACCGATGACAGCATCTATTTCGGCCTGAGCCTTCTTCTGCACGTCAGGGAATAGCGTCATAGCTAGGAAGAACGCATCGATAGTAGCAACAGTCTGGGAAAAAGTGTACCGCTCTCAGAAGATGATTGTCAGAAATATAGAACGAGGGACCAACTGTGTCAAAAGCACCGGCGTATAGGGCTGCAGCAGACCATTTCACAATGTGCTCGTCTTCCGCTGACAAACTATCGCCTCTCAACAGATTCGAGGTGAAAGACTCCGGGGCAATGCCAGCAGCCTGTGAAAGTCAAACTTGACCGCATACTCGCAGAGTTATAAATGATTGTCACCATCTGATCCACGACAAACTTGTGGGGTGCACAAACCAATTCTTCAAGGTTGTCGCGCCATTCGCGGGCCAGACGCTTGAAGCCAGCACCAGGGAACCATTCAGGGACCTTGATCACTAAAAGTGGTGAGGCCATTGGAAGTAAACGTCTGAATGATATGGCTTACAGAATGGCACAACATCAGCCAGGAAAGCACCAGGAGCGGTGGCATGCGACCACTGGGCCATAACGCGGTCTGCAAGGTCGACGAAGGGATCGTCGTTCTCTTTCACCTCGTACCCATGAGATATGCGCAGAATCACAGCGCCAGCGGTGCTATAAAAATCAAGATCGTGTCGATGCAACGATAAACGATGCGTACTGTCGAACATGCGCCGGCAGTTGATCGGGTTTCGCGAGCACACGCTTGAGGAACCGGTGAGTCTCGACCTCCCCGACCTGATTGTATATGGCCACAGCGGCGCGGGTGCCAATGACGCCATGGAAATTTTTGCGGTGCCGGCGCAGCTGGTCCCCATAAGGGAGGAGAACCATAACGTTCTTCCAGCCAATAAGTTCGCCACCAACAGGAAGAATAGGACGGTCGGAGTAAATAGCGCTCTTGTTGTCCAGCATGTCCATCGCGATCTTGACAGAGTTCACCACCACGATGTGTCGACCCAGAACATTAATATGCGAAATGTCACCTGTCGACAAGACGTTGAAATGCAAGGTTGTGTGAAACGAGAGACACTCACCATACTTATTGCCCCAATCTGTGAAGGTGAGCCAGGGCCTGATGTATGGCATGTCCAGGACGTTCCCAATGAGAGGCCACCCCGGAGGACCAGGGGGATATGGAGGGTTCTTCTTGTTGAAGACCTGCTTAAGCAGATATACTCCGACACAAGCAAGGCATAGGTCGAGCGCAGTGACGTTGGTGAGAGCCAACATGATCTAGTACCAGGAGAGGATGATCGACTCGAAAGTGGGGTTATAATGGAGCTTGCAGGATCAGATGAAAGAAGTCCAATACTGACCATCTTATTTATAACTCTTGGGCGCATCACGAGGCTTCCCTATTTGAAAACAGTGCGGATCATCAACCTCCCTCAGTAGAAACCTACATGTCAAGTATTAGTGATAAGACTCGGAAGTCAATTTATACCGGTCAATACCAAGTACCGTTTCGTACATTGCACTGTCACCTGTTGAAGTTAATACCGCCCGCCCGGTGGCGAATTTTTCGCTACCGTCAGATAGTGGGTGTTACAGTGGGATTCGTCCGGTAAATGGCCACTCTGAGGCCAACCTACATATTAGTAGACTCTTGAACCAAAGTCTTAGACTGATAACCAGTCTGTCTACAAGGCGAGCCGTCGTTGCAGTCTGCAGATGGAGCTATGGAGCTTTGGTGCTGAGTTTAAACGGTGGTGATCTCCGTCGTGTCACGGTGTAGTAGCTTATTACCATACTTATTATGATGGCAGAGACGAGGCCCGCAAAGGGTTTTTCGATCTCAGACTCTCGTTTTCTGCTTATGCCGATGCATAAGTTTGTATGTGTCCCAGCAAAGACTGCATATTGAATCTCGAAGAATCTTGAAGCTTGATTTTCGACAGACGTTTTGCAAGCCGACTGGGAAAAGAATACTGACAGCATGCCGTTCAGTACGGTCCAAGAACTGATAGAAAACCAAGCCAGAAAAAACAGTTTAACCGGGAACCCGGATTGGTTCGGTTACGTTCGATGGTGTTGCTGTCTGCAATCATCATCGATGAGATCACAGTGATGGTTGATATCGTGCTCACGTGATCAGTATGCACCAACCTATCTATATTTATCAACTCTTTTCTGTGGCAGTATTCTGGCCAGTTGACTTCTATACTTTCATTTCTCCATCAACAAAAACCGTCCCTGGTGTTATTCGCAAAGAAGATCATCCAAACATTTTGATTACACGGATGTCTCACTGCCCACATCCGACACTATCCCCAGTCCCTCGACCCCATATTCTTGAATAGCTTTTGAATGATATCAATGGCCTCTCTCATGGAGATATACTGGAAGGGGCGCGCATAAGAGTCGTCACATCATTTCTCAGGTAAATTTCAAAAAGGATATGAAGACCGTGCACCACCTATTGCGCGAATGGTTTCGTATTCGCAATCTCGGTGGACGGCTTCCCATTCCCTTTACCCCATTGCGTTCAGAGGTCACCGACGGTGTATCAGCAGCGAAAAAGTATCTCGCAGTTTTTAGAAAAAATGAAAATCAACCGGATATCCCTTCGCAACTGTAGACTAAAGTGAGCATATTTGTTTCACGTCAAGTAGAGCGCCGTTTCACATCGTGAAAAACGCAGGCCACTTTGCAAAAACTTCCTATTGTGTCTCCGGGCGCCGGTTCCCAGCCCTCGCCTTATTTCTGTTGGAACCGGTCGTGTCAGCAATACATCCAGCAACGCCAAAACTAGAATAAGAAGTCAGCAGCTTACTCCATGAAGTTGTTTGGGTGCAGTCATCGCAAAATAACGGAATACGATGGGACTTCTCCTTGAAGAAAAATGGTACCAGAACGATAAAAAGACGAGTAGTTTCCGATCCTTCGGAGGACCCTACTATTTCTGTGGGCATGAAAAAACACGCGGTACCGGGTGGCCTACCTCTCCCGTAGACACACCAATAGAAGGACACAACAATCATTCCTTATGTCAAGCCCATATGTCCTCACCTGAACAAATTGCGGTACAAATTATGTTGACGGCACTAGTACTGAAGGAACGTTCCCGAATTCCCATACCACACCTGCCTCTACTGTTACTCCGGCGCCGCCAAATTTGACTCCAGAAAAAGCAACACGCACGTCGCACATAGGCACAACGTTAGGGTTAGCTAGCGATCTCAAGATCGCATCCGTAGCACTGCCACTTGCTCAACTGCGCATAACTCAAATCGAGCAGGCGGGCGTCTTCGTGAAACACGGCGGATGTGTGTTTTAGAACCTGTCAGGGCCGCCGCGGTCTAGGGATCATCCTACTAGTACTTACGCGCTCGGACGAACACAACTGGCGGCGATGGCAAAACATCAGAGACCGATCGATTCAAAAGTCTTTTCTGCTTCTTCACAAGGGTTGCGACTGCACGGGTGAACTTTCGGAGGTGTCATCGGGGTTCATCGGTTCGCTGATGTGACGGTGTGAGATGGTGCGTTCGGACTCGGAGAAGTTCGATGGGTGTGAGATGGTGCGGACTCGGAGAAGTTCGACGGGTGTGAGATGGTACACTCAGAAGAAGTTCGACGGTCTGCCACGAGCTGTTAGGGTATCAAACGTAATATTATTAACGCTGTTAGAGTTTAAGTCGGAAGAACACTTGTTTGAGGCACGAGGAACTCGTTGTTAATCACTCGTACTCACTACCATGTGCATTTGTCGGTAAGTCAAGTGTCGTCATTATTAACATCGCATCGGCAGGTAGCAGTCAAGCAAGTTGTCAGGCAGACCGTGTACGCTGTTGGTAGGCAATGGATGTCAGTCCTTATTTCTAGCACGCATCCATTGTCAGAACATTGTAGCGAAGGCAATGGCCATGTGGATACCTAAACTACGGCAGATTCACAGAAATATCATTCGCACATTGTAGATTATTCCAACAAGATGAAGTAAGATGTCATAAATATACGATATCGAGATACACGACCAATCATCTTGCACATCCTCTGAGTGCAAGATACAAAATATGACGCATTGTCAGATGAAGTTGCAACCCAAGGCAACGGATGTATCCCTGCGTTGTTCTCCGGGCATCTCCCCGAGGTACTAAGCATCTTCCTGGATGAGCACCAGGGACTGAGCAGAACGGGGCTTAATAGAGCACTTGAAAGGCTTGGGGTGGCTAGAAGCGTGTTTGTCTAGACCAGCACGGCGAACGAAAGCAAGCGCGACATACCTGATTGTACCTGATGAGGGGTCAATCTCAGGGGTGATCTCAACACCATTCTCAACAACCTTGGAGATATCAAATACGGCAAGCGACATAGCGGCAGACATCCAGACAGATGCATCGGCGAGGTGGAGACCTACGTAAGCGACGTCAGAAATGTCCTGAGGATCGGCACCCTCTTTGAGCTAACTAACCTGGGCAGATACTGCGGAGCAAAACGTCAGGGTTTTGTTTCCGAATAACAACTCAATACTTACCGTCTACCAAACCCGAAACAGATTGTGCGAGGATCGGTCTCAGGCTCCTTTCCTTCCTTGGCCAAGAAGCGGTCAGGGTTAAACTCCGACGGGTTGGCATATGTCCGAGGATCATTAAGCATAAACCTGCCGCAAATTCAATCTTGTCAATATGACGAATACAGGAGGAGAGTACTAACCAAACGTTGGGTATGATCAAAGAGCCCTTGGGAATGTAGTACCCATCATGGATGTCGTCTTCAATAACACGGTGAGCAATGGCTGCCATTAAGATACCCCCTTGTCAACAATAGAACGCTATAAACAAAGTACACAAACCGGTAGGGACGACGGCGTTCCAACGTAGAACTTCCTTTGCGAGTGCCTCAGTGTAGGGGAGGGAGTCGCGGTCCCTGAAGGAGGGAAGACGATCAGGACCAACGACGGCATCGATTTCAGCTTGAGCCTTCTTCTGCGCGTCGGGGAAGAGTGTCATGGCCAGGAAAAACGAATATATTGCCGAAACTGTCTGAAGAAGGCATGAGCCTCAAAATGTCATATTTGAAATATGAAGGTCGAATCTAACCGTGTCGGCACCACCAGAGTACAAGGATGCAGCAGACCACTTCACGATGTGTTCCTCTTCGGCAGACAAAATACGGTCTTCTAACAGATTCGAGGTAAAGGATTTCGGAGCAATACCAGCAGCCTGAAAAATTGAAACTTCAACTCCTAATCAGAAAGCTACGAATGTTAGTCACCATCTGATCCTTGACAAATTTGTAGGGTGCAGCAACCATCTCTTCGAGGGTCTCGTGCCATTCGCGTGCTACGCGCTTGAAGCCAGCGCCAGGGACCCACTCGGGTACCTTAGCCACTACAAACAGTCAGGACTTGGAAGCAATAGTCAGAATGCTATAGCCTCACGGGATGGCATGATGTCAACCATCCAGGCACCAGTAGCGGTGGATTTGGAGAATTGATCTACAGCAAGGTCCGCAAGGTCGACAAAAGGGTCGTTGTTCTCCTTGACTTCATAGCCATGAGAGATACGCAGAATGATGGCGCCAGCGGTACTATTCAAATTCAGCCATGAAACATCAAGTATGAATAAGGATGGACAGCACATACTGTCTCACGTGTGCCTGGAGTTGGTCCGGTTTCGCAAGTACACGCTTCAGGAATCGATGAGTCTCGATTTCCTCGATTGGTTGGTATATGTCCATGGCGGCGCGACTACCAATGACGTGATGGAAATTTTTCCGGTACTCGCGTAGCCTGTCACCATAAGGGAGAAGAACGAGAGTGTTCTTCCAGCCAACGAGTTCACCGCCCATAGGTAGAACAGGACGGTCAGAGTAGACAGAGCTCTTCTTTTCCAGCATTTCCACCGCAGGCTTGACAGAGTTCAGGATTATGATGTGCTGACCCAGAACCTCGACGTGTGAGATGTCACCTGGACGGGCGGTTAAAATTCACGTTTTTTTTGTGGCAGAACGGGAGACACCCCACCATATTTCTTGCCCCATTCAGTGAAGGTGAGCCAAGGCTTGACCTGAGGCATGTCTGGAATGTTCCCAACGAGAGGACGGCCGGGGGGACCAGGGGGGTATGGTGCGGGATTCTTCTGCGTAAATACCTGCTTTACGAGATACACGCCGACGCCAGCAAGACCAATGTCTAGCCAGGTAATGTCAGTGAGTGTCAACATGGTAGCAGTGGAGATAAGATATTTTCAATGAGGAGTTGAAAAAGGAGGGTACTTGAGCGAGTATAGAAGTTTGGACCTGACGGTGCAGGATGATATAGTATTTGTGTATAGGAACTTCCTCATTTCGTTGCAATCTTCTCGAAGCGCGAGAGCAGCTGATAATGGATGGTCGTAACAGTAGTCGTAACATGCACGCGTAAAGATGCTTGTCAACCGGATAATAAATTGGGACAACCTTCAGGCACCCGCGGGACATATTTGACGCTGGACGTCTCTCACGGACAATGCTTGCCTATTCCTACCTAGTCTCCTCCTCTGGTGTATACAAAGGGCGCCGCCGCATCATCCAACTAACTCTTCAGGGTCGTACAACAATTTATCATAACACATGTTTCATACTTGGATCTTGGAGAAATGTAATAGATCTTGCCGCAAACTAACATTACGATGCAAATCCGTGTATTAATATTCCTCAAAATGCAATGCTCTAGACGGTGATCCCATGCGCCGCAGAGATAGAGTAGCTATAGTTCTTCCAATGACCAGATTGGTGCAGATCATACGTTACAATGCAAAAAGAACGATTGACACCAAAGTATGGGGTGGTACATTCTGTACTTCTCATCGCCCACGTGGCACTCATGTCCCGAACCGACTAAACTGCCTGAGCACTTTTAAGTTCCGTTGCGGATGAGTACTGCCCGTCCATGCGGATCAGCGATAGATCGCGGCCCCGGTGTAAAAAGAAAACTAACCTCATCCCGAACGTACTCCTGCGTGGTATCAATTTTAATCGAGATGTTATTCGGAATTCGCTGATATGATTCGATCATAGGTGAGCTAAGCCCTTTTGCAAAAAAAATTAAATCCACACAACTTACCTTTTGCGCGGTACCAGTGCTATTAGAGCTTTTCTGAATGCCCTGAAGTGAGAGCGACATATTTTCATCTCGGGTATCACCGCGAAGACTCTTGCGTGCGTTAAGGGTTGCCAGTAGAGAGTTGCAGTAAACTGAAAAAAAAACAATGTCATCAATCTCGTGAATTTCATATTGCGGTTAAATGGTACTTACGACGGCCCAAGCAGAAATAAAATGCAATGTAAATGAAAGTACCATCCCACACGGTAATCTGCGCCACATTTCGGTCAGAAGCGCAACACCAAACCATTTGCGATTTGCTACGTACAGAAATGAGTGACATGACAGCGCAAATGCTGGTGAGGAGACCGGTGTTGATGCTAAACAGAATCAGCTTATTGATCATGTTGTCGGACCTCCGGAATCCAGTGCGAGATTGTTGAAGGAGTGTGCAGAGTAATACAGCGATAAGGACATCTCCAGCAGCCGCCAAAGCGTTCACAGACATAGACAATGGCTTGAGCGCAGTGAGTTCCGCGAACGTCGTCATATTGATACTAGAGGTAGTTTCCATTAGCTAGAATGCTTGATGTATTCCTACACGACTCACGCCTTTGCAACGTATACTTTAGATATCATATTAGTGGACTAGTTCCTGAAGAAAGGAGCGCATACTCACTGACAACGAGGAGGAATTCACCAATAACAAGGGTCATCACAGACAGGGTTGCAACCAAACTCTTGTTGCTTACTGGCTGAAAGTAAGCAAACGCTCGCTGGTGGATAAATGTCACACATACGTCTGTATACACGCATGGTAAGGAAGCTTGCAGGACGAGAGTCAGCACGACGCATTCTTTTCGGAAAGGCCTCACACCGACCTTTGAACCAAAAGTGCTGTGAAGCCATTGAATAAGACTTCGATCTGTCACATTTGTTCAAACAAGAATCACAGACTGATGATACGCAACTTACAATCAAACTCCAGACCAGTTTCCCGAGGTCAGCAGCGACGCCAAAGTCCGTTACAAGATAAGTATACACTATCAGAACGTGATGTTCAGCGCCAAGATAAATGTGGTTCGTATCACACACTAACCTGTATGTGTAATCAGAGCTTGATGCACCGAGTCTGATAGAAGCACAGCGCCAACCTATATTAAAAAATCCCGTTTAATGGTGGAACACATTTAGGTCATCCTACGTGAACGTACCATGAGCTTGATGTACCACGGATCCGAGGGGTACCGGCTGTAGTAGTACCATGTCTGTACGCAAGTGACTTTGTGCAATCATAAACATTAGGCCAAAGAGCGAAAGCGCATAAACATACCACCGTAGAGCCTGTAATATTCAAGTTTCATTTGAACACATTGCTTGACTGAACAAATTTGAGCACCTACGTGGCAGAGACTACAACCCCAATTAAGAATGCTCCAAAACTGGACAATGTTGTCAAGTCATTGGGGTATGTGGGGGATTTGAAGTATACGCACGTATTATCCAGAACACCCATGGTAGAGATGTATATGTTTGAACGAATGCGGATAAGGGTGCTGAAATACCTGGTGTAGAGGGGAGTGTCGGGTGGTAGCAACAGCTGGAACAACCTTTTGTATGATTAGATTCAGTGGCCAGCTGTTTTTGGAAGATGCCGTGAGGGCTGAAAAAATGGTGCGAAGTGACAGGCTTCCGTATAAAGCTGATGCTGACTTGATGGGCCGACCCGAATCAGATTCGGCGTCACATGAGGCTCCCAACTTCGAAATCGCAAGTTGCCAGAATTTCCGCATTAGACGCAACTACTCTCTTCCTCCACAGACCTCGCCAGGACTCTTCTCAGGGCTGCCAGGGCTGCCAACTTCATTACATACTACAATACTTATGACCATAAGCCCGACGAGAAGGTCTTTCATAATTGAACTTTGAAGGTTCACACTCAGTAGTCTCAATTACAGTGCTAGTAAGTAGTATGAGCACGCACCATAACGACACCTATTCATTACCGATTAGTGCTCGATCAGCGCGCGCTCTCAAGTTAAATTTTTCAATTTCTGGGGTCTCTTCAACAGAAGGCTTCCGTTATGGTTGTGCGAAGGCATAAAAACTCTTAGGAATCGCCGGTTTTCGTTCGGTCGTTCCATCGTTCTTCACTGGACTAGGAAGCGCGGTCATCCGATCCGGCCAGCTAGAAATAGACAGTTTGCACACGAACACAACACAAGATCTGTCTGGAGAAATCACCCTGAGATAGCTGTAAAGGCACAAAGGGCGACTTACAACGTTACCATCTTCCCAGTCTTATCAGCTTCATATTGCGTCGCGGAGCTCCAATGAAACGAAGCAAGCTCTAAGAAAATCCACAGTTCATGACGTTAAGTCTTGGGCATGAGAGCACATCAATGGATTGATAGCAACAAAGAGCGAAGATTCGCACATGTTCTGTCATATTCGCGCCAGGTACTGCTAGAGCCAAGAGCTCTACAGCAGTTACATTAAAGTCGGCATGACGGAACGATAAGCTTGCCCAGCTCCCCTAGAACGGCCGAACCCTGACAAGTTAACTTAATCGGCGCTTAATGCAGGTAATTTCAACGCGTACATGTTCTTGGAGATTTGAGGTTTTCTCCCATCAGACCATGATGGATCATGAGAACATGGGACCAAACTTCGTGGGCGAAATACTGGAGTGAAATATTATTGTTAGCCAATCAGGTTCAATCCGATAGGCCCGTGACATGTTCGCGGGTTCACGGGGATGATACGTTTTAAACGGTATGTTCACGAAACAAAATCAGCTAGTCTAGTTCGATGGTAACGGGTGTGCAAGTAGTCGGACGTAACGTTTTGATGTTCTGATAGTGAAAGTTGTCCGCGGTGGAACGGAGCCGTATGAATCTATCTTGATCCCGACCTGTCGGGCGCTAGCAGTTGTACTTGAATCTTGATTATTCACAACGCTAGCACTAGTAGTCTTGACTGATAGCACTAGCCTCAAAGGTTCTGAACAAAGTACTGAACAAAGGGCGACCCTCAAATGTGCGGTGGCGTCGTTTTAATAACTTGAAGGACTTGAAAATTTCGTCCGACATGAATGGGTGGTACCCTGATACGCGCCAGCTGGGGGGCTTTAGCTCAGGGATCACCCCATAGAACAAAGGGGCACAATGTCTAATAGTAGCGGTAGCCATCAGGCAATCCGATGAGCTCATTCAGGGTAGTTAACTAGGAGGTGGTCCTGGATGAGGAACCTTACTAAGTGAAAATTTTGCAATTTGCAATTTGAATGTTAGAGGCCGCTGCATAACACGACCAAATAACGCCTCCGAATTCGTACGTGTCAGAAATTTAGTCCAAATATACTAGGACTGAACACCATGGCAGTAAGTCTCCGACCCCATTTCCAAACAGAAATTATACTCACCGAATTTCCAGAGCCGCTGCTACACTCTTCTATGCTCAACATCAAGATTGGCTAGCGCGCGGTAAAGTTCCAGCATGTTTGAAATTCTCGTTCGAATGCTAAACTTTACTTTTGCAGCATTGCCCTTGCTCCGTTAGCTAGCCGGTCGAGATGGCTTGCCACAGAAACTGTATCGTCGTCTGCAGCAGCACCTCCTCCTCCCAGTGACCCCAGAATTGGCCGCATAGTGGACGACATCTCTGGACTGACACTGCTGCAAGCAGCTGACCTTGTCACGCTCTTGAAGGTTCATTCGTCCCTTCTAAACACATTTCGAATATTACTCATGATCACGAAAGTCACGGCTAAATATTCAAGAAATTGCAATGCCAGCTGCTTCAGCCGCCGCACCCGCCGCCGCCGCCCAGGTCGAAGAAGCAGCAGTGGAGGTGGGAAACGTCTCATGAAGAAGGTGTATTCATTAACAAAACTGAACCGAGCAGGAGAAACCGAAGGAGAAGACTATCTTCAATTTGAAACTTCAGTCCTTCGATGCCGCAGCGAAGCCCAAGATCATTCGTGAGGTCAAGGCCCTGATCCCGAACCTTACGCTCATCGATGTGAGTCTCGGCACATGCTCATTAAAGGGGTATATACACTAACTCGGGGTTAGGCGAAGAAGTTCGTAGAGTCTGTACCTCAAGTCCTCAAGGAAAATATGCCCAAAGAAGATGCGGACAAACTAAAAGAGGTTCTCGAAAAACTGGGAGCAGTAGTGGTACTTGAGTAGATCATTAAGTCCTATGTATAGAGCACGTTCGGGTTATAATTCATTCGTTATAATTAAGGAGATTGCAAATTAGCTCGAATATGTCGCAGCGAAGTTCGAGATCATCCATGAGAGGCTCAGAACCGGACCTAACTCGCATCAGCCGGGAGTCTCGGCGCATGCTCAGTTAAGGGATATTCAGGTCTCGGCCGTCTATACAACAAGTCCCCAAAGACGATGCAGACAAACCGAAAGCGGTCCAAGTCTTGTGTATACAATGAGCATGTTCAAACCATAATTCATTCACTATAATTAAGAAATAGGGTTGCAAGTTAGTATGAATGTGATTGGCAAGACTGTCCAATAGTGGCGCGTATGGCGATACATATGGTCACGGCGGGAGCAATGACAAAAAGGGGGATAACAAGGACTGAAAGAACGAAAAAAAACCTTTAATCCTCCGAAAGATAACGATATTCAAACCGGAAATCGCTTTTCTTGCGCTGGCACCATGATCCCTCCCAATCGAAGTAAACATACACGCCTTGTTCGTATTCTTCTGTTATGGCTTGCGGCTCCGAGTGTCGCTGGAACCATGTCATATATTTCACATGGAATCGCCATGATTGGCGCTTCAATTCTTTAGCAGCCATATATCTAGAAGTTACGTGAGCAATTTCCATTGAACGTAAGATTGCTCTCGTACTGCTGGTATGTTCCCGGTAGGTAATAGAAGACGTAGAAGAGAGTCTCTACGTCTATCTGGGAAAAGATGCCTGGGGTGCTCAGGATAGGATGAGGAACCTGAGGATAAAATGCTGGGGTCGCAAAGGGATTCCGTGGCACATAGTACTTTGGTCTAGGTAAACAACACATTAGCCCCTATCAAACATAGTTGAATCGTAATGTGGTACTTCTCGGTGTCCTGTGGCTGTGGCACATTTGAGTAACCGCCTTCAAGGAGTTTGTGCACCTCTCCGAGGTTTGTCATACGATGAGGAGCTGGTTATCCGTCAGGATTTTTTGCCCAAAGAGTCCAAATATGACAAACCTTTCTGCTTGACCGTTTCAAACGATGCCACAAGGTCTGATAGAGAGCCAGGGAATGCGCCTGAACCAGCTGGACGCGAAGGAGGATGCGGCGGCTGCTGAGCTGGTGCCGTTGAAGAAGGCCTCTGCGAACCTCCAATTGGCTGCTGGACAGGGGCCGGTTGCTGTTCCACGCTCTGTGGGACCTTTATACCCGGGGGATACTGTTGCGCCTGCTGTGTTACAGATGTCGAACTTGCGGGTGGAGTTGGAAGTACTGATGAAGCTATTGTTGCCTGATGTATCTGTTGAGGTAGTGGCGATGACGCTGACGCAGGCAACTGCGTGGGGGGTTGAGTAATCTGCGAGGCTCCATTAGTGACCAGTTGGAATTGTGGCACTGCCGATGCTGATGCTGGTGGCTGTTCACGTTTCATGAGGCTTCATCGTGGGCATAATACCGGTAAACACTTACCGGTGCAGCAGGTGAAGGCGCCCTGGCGAGGTGAGGTGATGCTGCAGGTTCTAAGCAAAAATTACGTCTGTCCTCGTGCTCCTGGAACAAGAAACATACCTTTCTGTTGACGTTGCGGCGATGATGTGGCCGCAGGACCGCTTATAGAGCTTGGAACAGCCTCCGATATTGCTGGTGAATCCTGTCCAGAATAGAATGACCCCTCTTGTTGATGTGATGCAGCAGATGATAGCATCGGGCTCGTGACCGAGGGATGTGTCAAGCTTGGCGAGGATGTGAATTGTGAATCTTGCAAGCCACTTTGCGAAGCCGACGGCGTTATTGAGAGTGTAGATGTCGTTGCTTCAGGGAAATTCGTTGACGGCGTGGGTGGAATAGGTTGTGATGTCGAGGGCGTTGGGGGTAATGCTCCATTCTGTTGAGACGATTGCGGAGTGACGGCAGCGGCGGCGGCTGCAGCATAGCGAATTGGTGTATGCACTGGTGGCCGTGGGGTTGCCGGTTGCAAGTTAGCTCGTAGAATGCTTGCCATCGGCTGCTGTACAAAGTTTGGATTTGGCGGTGGTTTGACTTTTCGGACGAACTTTGAGTATCACCACCCAGAATTAAATAAAAATACAAACAAACCTTCAGTTGCAATTGATGGTTCTGGTAATGTCTTGTAAGTCACTATTGCAATGCATGAACCAACACGTACTCCGCAATTGAAGTGTCACTCCAGCCTTCTTTTGCACGGGACTTTCAGCACGTTTACTGCTCGCAACACTTTCCTCGTCCTTCTCATGTCGTTTGTTCGGCGTTCGTGGAGGAAGGTCTGCCAAAGTCAATTCTACAGTAGTGGTATGAGTAGCAAATACATACCATCACTTGCGATATCTGACTCGTCGCTATCTTCCTCGTCGTCACCAGCCAGACCGAACTGTTCCTCCTCTTCTTCAAGATTAAGTTCGTCGTATATGCCCTCATATTCATTGAAGTCCTCGTCCTGCACCCAGAAAACGCCTTAAAAGGTCTCAAAGTAGAACATACTGCTGCGCAACGAACCGTGTTGCTTTCCACGAAATATTGTACATCTTCCTTGAGAGCTTGTACACGATCCGTGGTCAAAGAACCATTGTCCAGGAGACGAAGGATGAGTTCGAGTCGGTTGACGTGCCATTTTCGACGATCATTGAGGTGTTCTAGATCTTCCAAACGACCAGCAGATGATGAACTCTTTCCGCGTTTCTTGCCGCCGCCGCCCTGGAGTGTCTCAATTTCCGCTTCTGCCTGTTCTACTTGCAACAAAAGATCTTCGACCTGCGACTGAAGCCACGTCGTAACCTCGAGCTTCTCTTGGGCTTTAGGATCCAGTTTGGCCGACTGTATGAGACCCTCTTTGGAGAATGCCTTTGTCTTCATTTCCTTCTCGCAGGCCTTGAACTTCTCCATTTGCTATACACACAAATATGAGTAACAAGTTGTCGGAAGGGTTTCGGAATGGGAAGACGCGTATGGGTATGACATGAAGCGACGGAGACGCACAGTTTCTATTAGTCTCCGGTTTTCCAGGAGTGCGGACTTGTCTTTGATGTCATTGCTTGCTACCCAGGCCTTGATCTGGTCGCGTAACCGCTGGAGCTTCTTTATTTGTGTTTTCAAGTCAGTCTCCAGTTTCTCCTTCTGCGTCTGGTTTGTAGAGGCCTGCATCTTCTCATATATGCTTTCAAAGACCTCGACGCCTTCGCCAACCTTCTTTAGTGTACGGTCGATTTCGGCTATGAAATACATAATAGAATTGAGCAAATGAAACTGTAAAGATGAATAGAAACATACTTTGCAGCTTTCTGGCCGCCATTGTGAAGAAAGCACAAGTTGAATGGAAATACAATTGTCGAATATCAGCTAGTCGCTCTGAATCGTAAAATTGACAATTATTTGGCTCATATAAGGATTACATAACCACGGGATGGAACTTGTTAGAAAAATTTCGGAATCGGAGTCCGTCGAACGGCACATTGAGCTGGACAATCTCAGCGACTTGCTATGACTTTTAAAGTCTACCTATGACCTGAATGTAGTCTACTGTGGACTTGAGCTCCGGATAGTCACTTGGCATTATATCATCGTGAGAAAATTCCCCTAAAGAGGTCATTAACAAAAGCATGTACTTTGAATTTCAATTGGTCTCTCTGCTCTTAACCCTCGTCTGCTTCGTCGTCTCTTGTCAGCTTCTTATGCTCCTTCATGATGAAATCCCTACGTAAATCTCTCAACGGACACCGCGATATCCACCGTCTTGAAATCTCTACCCCTCTACCGTTACCTTCTGTATCTAGACCTCAGAATTCTTCTCTACCCCCCCAAAAAGTAATCCGTGCAATCGCATCATACAGGCCACAGGGCCCTCAGCAGCTCCCTTTTCAAAAGGGTGACTTTTTTTATGTTACGGGAAGTACAGAAACTCAGGGGGATTGGTACGATGCACATAATCCTGTAACCGGGGCTAGAGGTTTGGTCCCAAAATCTATGTTTGAAGAGTTTTGCAAGAGTCCAGCGTCAGTACAATTCTACATTCGTTCATCTGCGCGTTAACAACCTGTACAGTGTACGCACTTCTAGTGTCAACGTCGCAGTAAATAGTCCCACCCTCCCTAGTCCAACATCTCCTCCTAAGTCTCCAAAAGCACCTGCATATTTTGCAATAGTTCTTCACGACTTCATAGCGGAGCGCGCGGACGAGCTTGACGCCAAATCCGGCGATTGCATAACTGTAGTTGCACAGTCAAACCGCGAATGGTTTGTCGCAAAACCTATTGGTCGACTTGGTCGGCCAGGTTTAATCCCCGCTTCTTTTGTGGAAGTTCGCAATCCTACAACAAATCGCCCAGTAGAGGATGTCAACGCTTTGATTGACAGTGGAGATCTACCAGGCGTTGAAGAGTGGAAGAAGGCCGTATTCAATTACAAAGCAAATAGCATATCACTCGGCGTCATAGAGGAACCATCTGCCCAGCGTTCCAGCACACAACCTGAATCTGCACCACCTCCCCGCACTTTCTCCCCCGTCCTCTTATCCGAGGGTATCCTATTATCAGCCGACGTCGTCTCCTTTCACAATGAAATGAACGAGTACTGGTTCCGCACAGACGCTATCTACCAACCTTATGATCCTCACGACCCTCAAACTCTTCCAAAAGCCAAACAGCTCGTCCTATTCCGAGTATATAATGACTTCTACGATTTCCAAGTTAACCTCTTGCAGGCGTTCCCTCGTGAAGCTGGACGAGAACCGGACTCCGTCCGGATACTCCCCTTCATGCCTGGTCCTGCCGAAAATGTCGACGACGAGGTTACTGCAGCCCGACGGGAAGAACTTGACGAGTATCTCCACAAGCTGTGTGGTTTAAACACCGTTGGTGCCAGCTATATTCTTGAACACCAGCTCGTGCGCGAATTTCTATCGCTCAAACCTGGAGATGTGGAACATGATATTGAACCTCGCTATGACGAGGTCAGGGCACTCTTTGCCGAAGAAGCCACAGAAGAACAGACCGTAGCGGAGGAATTTGAGGAGGAAGTTCGTGATACGCTTGGGGATATGAAATTATCAGATAGAGATGATCGAAGCGAAGGCTCAGACTATGGGGAGGACCACACACCCCCTACTCATATTATGTCTCGTGACTCTCAAACTAGCGCAACCCCACAACCTCATCGACCAAACACAGCGACATCACATCACCGCACAGGGTCCCAGTCTAAACACAACGGACGCTCGTCTCCATCATATCCACGTCTTGACACCTCCCGTGCAAGTGCTTCCTCTCGATCATCCTTTGCTTCGAACTCTGCTTGGCAAGAACACGCCACCCCATCTCCATCATCTCCCAGTTCGTCACAGCCATCTATCGCCATGTCCTCCCGATCTCGTTCCCTATCAAACGCCACTAATATGAACGCCCCTCCAATGTCCGCTGGTAATTCCCAGACAGCCTTCGTTAAGATCAAAATATTCGATCGTGTCACTGATGACCTGATCGCCATTCGCGTACATCCTCGCGTGACGCACGCTGAACTCCTGGAGAAAGTGCAAGCGCGATTAGGCGGCAACGTCCTCAATCTTCGATACCGCCATAGTCTCAGTAACGAATTCGTCGGCATCGACGACGACAGAGATTTGCGAGAGTGGTTGGATAGCACGAAGAAGCACGTTTTGTATGCTGAATAACGATGACAACGGACGGACCGTCGTGCAATTTTCTTTTTCGTGTTGTTTGTTGTCGAAGTATCAAATTACTTATATTTTAGACTTTTTATTGTATTCGTCTTCCTTTCTCCTCTTTTTATATCTCCATCTCTGATTTCTTTTTTTATCTGTGTTGGCAAATGTATTCTGTAGTTTGTTGTTAGAAGTAAGCTGTTTATTTTATGTATACCTGTGTACACCCTATGATCCTAGTAATAACACTCGCAGCTGGTACCACGTATACATGTAATTGAATTGCGTCATTAATGCCCGAGTCATCGCCGAAAGTTCATTCACTCCTGATTACGTAACCTGCATTGGAAACACTTGGAACCAAGCACGACCAAATAGACCTTCTGCATCAGTTCACCGACATGTCCTTCATTCGTTATGTGCGGAACATCCGCAGAACAGGGATCAAACAATGGTGGCATCAATTGCAGTACATTGGAGATGCAAAAGCTGGGACGCTTATCGGAACCGACCAGTAGGTGCTCGCCCCACATTCCTCACAGAGTTTGACTGCTCGGATAGGTTCGGTAATAAATACTTTGAAAACCTGAACCCTGACGATGAAGTTCCAGGTGCGTAATACGTTCCTGTACTTCGATATGATATTTGATTTACGGCTTATTATAGGACGTCATAGATGGGTGGACTTTACTCAGGTATGGTCTCGTTCGTCTTCAATTGGATGAGAAGCGGGTATAACCGTGTACTGTCTCTAGCATTACAACAACGCTACCCAAGTCCCCCCCGAGTGGCGTTCGTGGCTATCGCACATACGGTTACAACCACCTACGGAGGATGCTGTCGTGCAGAGCCTGACTCCGTCATGGAAAGCGGTATGTGGTTATCATGCGTACCCGGTTTCTTTCAAGTCTAATTTCAGAACAGCCCTGGGTAGAGACCCTGACGGGTACGAGAGGTGCCTATCGGTCGTATAACACGGTGAAGCCTAAGATTAATGCTTGGGAACCGAAGGTCATAACACGGGGCGAGGCGCATCCGTAGGTCAATTGTACGGAGCCAAGTCATTCTATATATACCACATTTACTGTGAGATATGGATATGTTCTAGCTCAATGACATCATCTACAACGTGTTCAGCGATAGCAAGGCTTGACGTCAGGCCAGGGCTCTCAATACCCATCAGGCTGACCATTAGTCCTCTCCTGCTTCCATCAGCATAGTCCTTCCGAATAGTAAAGTCTTGGAACCCAGACAACACCAACTTGGGACGGATTCCGACATAGTCAGGTCTGAACCCTTCAAATGATACCCCTGGTAGATATTCGGTTACCGCTCTGTGCATCTCTTCTAGCCTGGAATCGCTGGGTTTTAGATGCTTCCGCCAAAAATCTGCGTTCTCCTCATTAAAATCATATTCTGATGCATCAGCCGCTGCTTGAGAGGGTGGTGATATCCACTCCAGGTCTGGCCCAAAGCGCACTTTGCCTTGTAGATCAAGGGTCAGATGCGTTCCGAGCGATTGGAAGGCGTGCTTGTTGGGCCCAGTTTCAGGGCATGGGTATATGAGCCGACTAACTTGAGATATGCCTGGACCACTGTAAGCCGCGTACGAGCCCCGACCGAAGAACATGGGTATGCGTGATGCTTTGGGCAGCAGAGAATTTGGAATGAGATTGGCGGAAAGGCCAGAAGCGTTGATGAAGGTTCGAGCGAGCAGGGAATCTCCTTGCTCGGCATTCTCGGTGACAGTCTGAACTACCCAGCCCTCTTCTGAGCTAAGCCTAGAGATCTCTTTGCTCTTGTACGGGTCTACACGAACGACCCGAGTAGAAAATACCAATTCACCTGCTTCCGATTCTGATATATCCTTCTCCAGACTCTCCATGAAAGAGTGGGAGTCGACAATACCTGTCTCTGGACTCCATAACGCAGCAGTAATGTCCGGCGAGAGGTCTGGCTCAAGCTCGCGTGCTTGCGCACCGCTTATAAGCGAGACAGGGAGCACCTGGTCTTCAGCTCCACGAGGCGGCGAGTGCTTGGGCCATGATAATTGTCTGGCCTTTGCAAAGAGGTTCTCGACGTACGCACGCTGGTGCTCGTGTGCTACCACGAGTTTTCCAGTCTTTCGGTACGGGATGTTGTATTTGTCGCACCGTTCGTACACGAGGTGCCTGCCTCGCAAACATAGCTGCGTCTTGAGTGATTGTGGAGGATAGTAAAGTCCTGAAAAGCCATTACATCAGGAGATACGAACATAGTTGACGTTGCAAGGTGAGCTTACCAGCGTGTACAACTTCTGAGTTGCGAGAGCTATCCACCCGTAGTCAGCGTAAAGCGAGCAAGATAATACCTATGTCGCTCGCCTCGTTTCTTCGCCAGCGCGTGAATGTCTCTCAACTAGGTATGTTGATTTCGTCGGGAAGCGCTCGGATAGTCGCTGGGCGACAGCCAAGCCTACAACACCTAGCCGTAGATGAGCGTCAGCGCGGTACGAAGTTGATATTGCGCGGGACGGACCTCCGCCCACAACCAGGAAATCTACTACTGCATCTGGACTCTGGACGAAGATGGTGTGAGAGCCACCACAGAGCTTGAGTTTGGTAGTTTACCTTGTACTTGAAGCACCCCGTTGCGTTTAGTGCAGCCACCAGCCCCCGTACGTTGGTCGCTGCCATAAAGGCCCTCCAGTCTCGCGACTCTCCGGCGCCTGATAAGTTTTGGTCAGGTGGCGCTCGGTTAGATATCCTCCTCGGCCCAATTTATCTTATCAGGATCTAGTATATATAATCTCTTTGTTTGTCACTCAACACTTTTGCTCAGCACCAAGTCTTGCACTACGCTAATACACACTAGTACTGACGCCAACTTGGTTGCTCGTCGCCGACCGGAAAGAAATTCAAAATGGCTGCCGTATTTCCACAACCGGCGGAGTCCTCTTTCGAGGAGAAGATGGCTGCTCTGGAGAGCACCCCACTCTTTATGAAATCTCTACCTTCAGAAGAATCTAACGACCCTGTAATTCAAGCCTTACAAAGCCTCGCCTTCGATGGAACACCAGATGGTGAGTGAGAACCTTCTCTTCTCTACTGTAACACTTCGTGAACATGCGGCTTCTTCAAGAGATCGCTCAAAATTTCAAAGAGCAAGGAAACGACTACTTCAAGGGAAAACGCTATCGAGAAGCAATTAGCTTCTACACGCAGGGAATTGATGCCAAGCCATCTGATATTGCATTGCACGAAGCTCTGTTATGCAATCGTGCCGCATGCAACCTCGAACTAAGTGAGTAATTGGGCTACTGGTCGATAACGAAGATCTGACCAATTCGAAGAGAACTATGGTTCTGTGCTCAGAGACTGCTCGAAGGCGCTTACCCTGAATACGAAGTCTTCGAAAGCCTATTACCGCTCGGCCACGGCATTATTCGCGCTGGAGCATTATGAAGAGTCCCTCGATTGTTGCGAGAGATGCCTGGAGTATGACCCAGAAAACAAAGGTGTTAGGTCAGTCCGCGATCGTTCCGCAAAGGCGAAGGCAGAGAAGCTTCGCAAAGAGAGTGAAAGACAGGAACGAATACATAACAAACAAAGAGAGAAGAAACTCCTGCAGGTGGCGTTCAAGGTACATTCTATCTCGGTCTCGTCATCGGACGTCTGACCATGCTTCAGGAACGAAATTTGTTTGCCGTATACAACCCAAAAGGGTCATCAGAGAACCCATACGAGCCTCACTTTGACCCAGAGGACCCTGAAGGAACGACGTTGATAATCCCCGTGTTCTTCTTGTATCCACAACATGCGACATCGGACGTCATAGCACATTTTGTTGAAGATACCACCTTTTCGACTCATATTTTTCAAATGTTTCCGCCGCAGGCGCCTTCACCCAGCTGGGATAAAGCCGGGCAGTACATTTCGAACGCCCTCGTGGTATACGCAATAACAAGAAGGAAGCGGCTACTCAAAGTTGGCAAGAAGATGTCGTTGAGGGACGTGTGCAACGCTGCGAAAGCGAAAGAAGGGGACCCTGACGATGGATTAGAATTGAAAGACGGGTGTTTGACGTTTGTTGTTGTTCCAAAGGGAGAGGTAGAGCAGAATTGGGTAGATGAATTCAAGCGGACACGAGTCAGCTAGACACGAGGTGTAATTGAATTATTGAACAGGGGTGTTTCCAATCTGAGAAGCACGTGCACAATGAATGTGTTGGTCACTGTTTGGCAGACACCATACGGTAAGACTCCTCGCAAAAAAGACATCGACGAAGGCGTCAAGCTCGGTGAGTACGAATTGCTGTTTATTATGGTGTTCAACAGTGCAGGATGGATGTGCATATCGAGCTACGGAGCAAAAATTGGGGTCGAATCACTTCGATTGGGTGGATGCAAGTTATGAGGAGTGGATGCTGACCATAGGATCATCTACTACAGGGCCTCTATTTTAGCCATGTCTGTCAACCACAAGATCCTCCGTACTGCAAATGCCCCTACTACCTCCCCTGATGAAACTGAGGTTTCCGTCGCTCAGGCCCTAATCGACCTCGAGAACAATGTCCCTGAACTGAAGACTGAGCTTCGCGCTCTACAAATTTCTGCCGCACGTGAAGTTGATGTACGAGGTGGAAAGAAGGCTATCGTTGTGTTCGTTCCCATTCCCCAACTAAAGGCATTCCACAAGGTGCAGCAGAGGTGAGGATAGTTATCTCAGTGGGAAGGTGTCATTGTAATCGATCTCCCGGATCTCGCAGACTCACTCGTGAGCTAGAGAAGAAATTCTCTGACCGCCACGTCGTTTTCGTCGCTCAGCGCCGGATGCTGAGCAAACCTACCCGCAACTCACGGGTGAAGCAAAAGAGACCCCGTTCTCGTACACTCACCGACGTACACGAGAAGATCCTCGAGGACCTTGTCTTCCCGACTGAGATTGTTGGCAAGAGGACCCGGGTATCTGCTGACGGATCAAAACTTTTGAAAGTGTAAGTGGTGTGGTTTCCGATGGATTGACGTGCGTGATGCTGAATAATATTGCAGCATCCTTGACCCTAAAGATGCAACATCGCTCGAGTACAAGCTTGATTCGTTCTCTTCAGTATACCGCCGTTTGACGGGCAAGGACGTGACATTCGAGTTCCCCCCTGCAAACCAAGAGTAGATTACGCGATATGATGACACATGTTCCGGTTCTTTGCATTCTCCGATAAAAATAAGGACATACTGCTTATGTCCTGTTTGCGTTATGTGCTGTGATATTCATACCTGCTATAGAATGCTGAGCGCCGAGCACTAGTAAACGTGCCTGCTAAGGCGAACACGCAGTGTTTAGTTCGCTTGCAAGTTTCTTTTATAACCGGGTTATTATATGAAAGAGCTCTTGTGAGCGCTCGTAGCTACAGCAATTCGGCGTGATTTCGGCACGTGGTTTTTGTGTCGCGTCTACTAGTGTTTTTGAGTTGATTCATTTCATTGTCTTCCTTGCTTCTGTTGCTAGTCATTTTCCCGCTTCCTTCTCTCTTCCTCCCGCCCTCCGTGGCACTCCTCCCTCACCTTCGACGTCGTTCTGCATGGCGGAGTATCCACGCATGGACCCGTACTCGAAGTCCAGGTATGAACACGGGATAGATGCCAAAATTGTGGTCATGGGCAATACAGGTTCGTTGTTCGGATACCAATCGACTCAATTCACTGACATGTTCTCAATTAATAAAGGTGTGGGCAAGACCAGCCTACTCCATCGCTACACTCAGAACAAGTTCGATCCCAGGAACATGACGTCCACGACCGGGGCTTTCTTCGTAACCAAGAAAGTTCATATCGATGGTTTGAAGGTTCGACTTCAACTATGGGATACTGCAGGACAGGAACGATTTCGAAGTATGGTATGAACTCACTTTTGCTTATAACCCTTCAGGTGGTTTACCAGCGTAATTAGGCCCCCATGTATTATCGCGGAGCGAATGCCGCACTTCTCTTGTATGATATCACGAATGCTGCTACATTTGAGGACATTCGGGGATGGTTAGCTGGTTCGTAGCACTACATTTGACTTTGGCGATTCTTTTCTGACATCATTACCACTCGTTTCAGAGTTGAAGAAAAATTGTCCGCCAGAGCTCATCATTTATATCGTTGGTTCCAAAGCCGACCTACATCATCACAGACAGGTCACATCTGATCTAGCCCGCCTATCGCTGCATACTTGGTTTCCCCCTGCGCGCGCCCCAACCCCTCCTCCCCCTCCTCCCCCACCATTGTCAACACTATCTTATATTCGCCCCAGATTCACATCCTTCACTAGCATCAAATCAGTTCCTCTAAACAACTCCCCAATGAAGTCTTCTCCGCCACACAGCGCGTCCTACTTGGATCCTGCTGTTAGCCATTCATCGCATTCATCTGTGCTCAATCGATGCAATACTGGTTCTGGCCTTCCGAGAGTAAAGACAACAGCCCCGGCCTTGAACAGGTCAAAAACAGAGGCTTCCCATTCATTACAATCGCGATTTGGTTCACACTTTGGGCGACATGCAGGAGGGTATGACGCTGCGGATAGCAGCAGCAACAGTATAAATGAAGATGAGGAAGACTTTGATGTCGATGACCAAGAATGGGGACTTCATAAGGGCATGGAACTTTTCGAGGTCTCAGCTAAAGATGACTTTGGTACGTGTGCTCGATCCCCATCTTGATCTTCTCATTCAGCTATTTGCCTACAGGCATCGGAAACCTCTTCGAATCGTTGATTAATGCAATCATCGAGCGGAAGGACATCATTGAGCGCGAAAATGAGCTCAGGAAACGTGATAGTGTCTTCCTATCAACTGTCAGCGCGCCTACGTGGGCCGCTCAGGCCGAAGAAGAGGAGGCACGAGAGAAGGCTCGATCCACTTCAGGCGGTTGGAGCTGTTGTTCTTCGTGAGCTTGTCCCTGCCAGGTGTCAATACTTCTCAGCTATCTGCTGTCTTTCTACTCGTCTGCATCTTACCGGTCCGGCATACATTCTCACGACTCATTGTCCAACGTGTTCTCCGTCACATCGATCTCCTACACCCGATATTCAAGGTCTCTTGTTCTCTTTCGTCTTTACAGGATGCTATGTTCTTTATGCCACTTTCTATGATTCCTATAGGTTCACCCATACCACCGAGCCTCAGGACCACTGTTTACAATACTATTATTCACTTCCTTATCTCCTCATACCATATACTACCTTAAGTAGATACAATTTGTGCATGTGTCTATAGTCACCTCATTCAGCAATCTTGGAAGCTTCCAATCCCTTGCTAGGTTGTAATTTGGTGTGTGTCCGCAGACTGAGAAGGGAGAACACCAAAAAAGGCAGGCAGGGTCCTTGATGCTGGAAGAGCTGAGCTACTAGCACATATCCGTTTCGTTCCTCGACCACCATATCTCTCCTTTCTTCCGAGCTAATGGAAGGAGACAAAGCAGACAAGGTCGACAATGTGTGCACGCCAGAGCACTGTTTTCGTGCTTTCGATGCATTGTACTGCGCGCTAACATCTAGCGAGCATATCTCGCCTAATTTTGCCGACGATAAATAGTAAGTGACCGTATCATGTTCTGATCTGAATGTGTGCTATAGTTATGATTCCCTAGTCCATTATTTGTGACATGGAATACCAGATCATCTCGCGCAGGCAGACCGCCCAGGCTGAGGGGTTGCATCGGCAACTTCGATGCCATGCCTCTTAGGCAAGGTCTTGCAGAATACGCATTGATCAGTGCATTCAAAGACTCTCGTTTTCGGAAAATAGAACGTCGAGAACTTCCGTCTCTCGAATGTGGGTTAGTACATCTCGCCTTTAATATATACATTGATGCATTCAGTCGTGACGCCCCAGAATATCCCTTCTGACGGATTTCGAAGACGCATCGTCATATCTAGATTGGACTGTTGGCACTCATGGGATCTACATTAGCTTCCCGAATCCATCATTATACCCACCATCTTCGAGCGCGCCTTCTCCTTTATCTTCGTCAGCATATCTACCGCGATTCAGCTCCAGAGACACTCTGACTGCGACATATCTCCCAGATGTCATACCTGACCAAGGTTGGGATAAGGTTGAGGCTGTGGAAAGCGCTATGCGCAAGGCAGGATGGAACGGCGCCATCACGGAAGAGACGTTCAGGACCGTGAAACTTCGACGATACCAGAGCAAGCACTGTGTTGTTGGCTGGGAGGAGTTCGTCCAGTGGAGGAGGGAGAACGGTGATGACGACATTTCATGATTGAATTTCATGACCCAAATCAGTTAGAACATCGCAATGTATCACCATCAAATTGTCGCAGCTTGTACAGATATTAGGGTCGGATGTGTACCTATACGCGAATAGATTGACAACTAGTGCCCACCACTCCCGTTGTTGCCGAATAAGTCTTTCCGCAGCCTGTCCAACCGACCACCCCATCCGCCACCAAAGCGCTGTTCAAGTTGTAAAAACACCTTTCGCAGCTTTCCCGCGTCATTACCGCTGGCTTTGCCGAAGGATATCAAGATCCAGTAGATCAGCCTCTCACTCGGCATGACATCTGCGGGCAAATTCATGAAAGCCTTGAACACTTGATGAAGATTCTCGAGGTTCCAATCATTTTTCTGGATAGGGCGGAGACGCTCAGATAACGATCCGGGTGGGGTCCGCAGGAGAAGCGGTTTCTGCGCATGCCGCGCGAAGCCGAGGAATATTCCCCGGAACGCAGCAAGGGTTGGCTGATAGAGGGAAGGTTCACCTGTCTGCTGACTGATAGCAGCCTTCGGTTCCCTATTGGGTGTGGAAAGCATGTCCACGAAGACGTGAAGGGCCTTCATAATTTGTCCATGATAGGCAAAGGCTTGGATCAAGGAAGTATATGTGATCTCGTCGGGTATTATATCGCCCCGAATAGCGATGCCCTCCACATCTAGCAGGTACTTGATGGCTGCCTCGATGTCATAATCGCCTACATCGAGCTCCGGTTGCAGATTGTGGCGCAGCACGCGGTAAATCGTCGAAGCGACATCCATATGCCCATTCCGGCCATAGGCCCATACACATGCGTTGATACCATCCAGACCAGGCTCAAAGCCTTGCTCTCTCATCTTCTGCAGAGTTGATCGAACACCGGACAATTGCTTTGTTCGCGTATAATAGTGTAACAATGATAGATGGGTGATGCGGTTTGGTGGTAGCCCTGAGGCTCTGAGCAGATTAGATGCGTGGCGGATGGCACTGGGGTCAAGCGAGCGGCCAGCAATGTAAATGAGGGTTGTATATGTAATGATGTCGGGTTGCACATGCCCCATACCGGGTTCTGCGGCCAGATTCTCGTCGTCGCCCGGGTTCTCGGAGGGCTGTGGTGTGGTCATTTTACTGAAAACTTCCACAGCCGCTTTGTAGTCTTCGAGACTGCATTTCCGCCATCGCTTTCCTGCACAGTCTAGTAAGGCATTCCACTCCCATAGGTATATGCGATACCCAGACCGATGTAGCATCGTTAAAACAGCAGAAAGTCGTAAGAAAAGGGTTCGTGTTCGAGGTTTTGCGGAGGCAAGAAGGCGGGCAAGATGATGAAGGTGACGCTGAGGTATCTTGGAAACTCCGGAGAGGTTGTGGATATGATGGGGGAACATGACTGTCAAGGTGTGGTATGCCTCCCACCCATCTGTCACCGAGGTAGCTTTCAATAAGCTGTCCAATAATTCTTGCCGTATCTTCAGTCGGTCTGGTGGTGCTTCGAGCGATTCTATGGGATTCTGATGGCCAGTGTAGTGAGGATTGGGGTAATGATGATGTGGGTTTTGTTGACCGTAAGTTGAACGGATGCCAGCGTGAATGTGGATGGCTCCGACATTTAGAGACTCGTCTGCGGGTAACGGAGCGCGGGACATCAAGCCATCCTGTCCAGATGGTTTTAAAACGCGTGTCTGCTGTACAGTCGTGTTCGAATGATCTGCCAATCCTGCATTCCTGACCAGAGCGTCGTCTGCCTTGCGCTCGCTCACAACGCAGTTCACCTCTTCTTGAGCTCTTTCTTTCATCATATGAACAGCATGGATATGACGATGGACCTGGAAAGTACGAGACGTTGCCTGTCGCCGAGCGAAAAGTTGTTGAACTTGACGAAGCCAACATGATACTTGTGATGATGCAGGCGACAATCTGATGCTCGACGTGGAGCCTGCAATCATGAATATCCAGTGCAGTCATCCTGTGATAATGATGAGCGTTACTCCGTGATAGATGTCGTGTACATACCGCGACTGGCACTGAAAGAAGATGCTGGCAGAACCAGGTGGAAACCTGGTGACAATACTAACTCGGTAACTGACGTGCTCGATGGAAGTTGCAAAGTGCCAAAAACAGTACACAACTCAAAAATTTCGGGTCTTGACTTTGGGCGCTAAAATTGAAACTACTATAGCTACACATGCACTAAATTCAATTTCAACGACTTTATTCCATCTATCTTATCGTGTCGAAGAGATATAGTTTTTGAGAATGCTCCTCAGTCTTGAGGGCATACTTTTATGTAACTAGCACTGGACAAGCGTGGGCTTACCAAGTTCCTCAAGTCAGTTGGCGTAAACGAACACTCTCAGATTACTCCATAACTCATCGTCATGCATGCAGATACATTGATTTGGCTGTACTAGAGCATAGCATGGATAGTCGTGAAAAGATGTAAAAAAACATAATGCCTAAGTAGTACGTCAAAAATGCAATCAATCCCTGGCCTTGAGCGTTCCCAGGAACGCAGCCTTTTCCTCGAAGGTTTGGAACGAGCCATGCTGAATTCAAGACATGAGATGATTCCTTGAAGAGATAGCACACTGTACTTACGCCGAACTTCGATGATGTATCGATGAACTTGAGCTGCACCTTCTCGAGGTCCCGACGCGAAGTGTGGACCATGAGCGACTTACGGAGGGTGATGACACGCTTCTTGGTACCAGGGACCGAGCCCTTGAGCATCAAGAAGTCGTTCTTCACGATACCGTAATGAGGGAAACCACCCATAGGCGTGATTGTCTTGTTCGTGATGTCAGACTCCGTAGAAGCATTAGCCTCATCGCCGCCAGAGCCGATACGGTAAATCTTCTTGTTGAGCTCCGTACGGTGGTGGTAACCATCTGCATGACTGCTTAATACTGCGACACCAGAAAAATAAAGCAATGCGACTTACTTTGACCAGCACGTGCAACGGAGAACATGACTTTCGAAGGATGCCATGCACCAATACAAGCGACCTTGCGGAGACCTTTGTGAGTCTTGCGAGGAAGCTTCTTGGTACCCCAACGATGAGTAACACCCTCGAAACCATGACCCTTCGTGACGGCAATAACATCGATCACCTCATCCTGCTCGAAAAGACTAGTAACCTCCACAGGCTTCTCAAACAGGCCTTGTGCAAACTCGACCTTATCTGCGATAGAGCCACCGTTGACCTGGATCTCCATGAGGTGTGCCTTCTTCTGGCTGAGGCCGGTCTTGCGAATCTGGGTGTGGGCGAGGACACGGACGACAGTGCAGTATTTGCGGATACGCTCAAGCTCACGAGCGGTAGACTTGCCGCCGTCTTCTGCGTGCTTCTTTGCGTAGCGGGTGAAAGCCTTCTTCTTCGAGCGGTACCAGTTCTTGTAGAAGCGACGTTTGACCTCGTCTGATAGATGGGATGCCCAGACAGTGGTGAGAGTGCGGAGGCCACGGGGAGTCTCGACATAGCCAACGACACCAACAACGATCATAGGAGGAGTTTCTATAATCGTAACCGCCTCCACGACCTCACGTTTGTGCATCTCTGCACTTTCTTCAGATCCAAGATCTCTGATAATCGAGTAGAATACGCACTGGAACCAGGACGGTCGAGGTCACGGACAACATGAGTCATACCAGCCTTGTAACCCATCATGGCAGTCAAATGAACGGGTTTCTTGGGGTCATCCTAAAGTAAATGGGCTGTTAATAGAATCCTAGATCAAAATTATTCCACTTGCGCACCTTGGGGAAGGACTTGACTTTGCCACGGTGGCGTGCAGCACGTTTACGGGGGAGGAAACCGAGTGAGCCATGGCGGGGGGCTTCATACTGAACAGATCAGAAAGTATGAGTCTCTCGAGCCTGCCCGTTTCTCGATGGCAGAAGACCAACCTTACGGTGACTGTGGGTGCAATTCTGGTTAGTTCGATGCTTTTATAATGTTGTTTTAGCAGCCTGCTCACCTCATTTTGAAGGATCTTGAGGAGGGTATCGGATGCGAGCTTGGCGTTGTGAACGGTACGCAAGTTTGCTGGCAGTTGCCGGATCTGTGGCTGATGAACTGTACAGTTGATAATTTGAGTTTGCCGGTCTCCCATTTTGAAATTCCCCTAATGGCCAGCATTGGAGGCCCGTAGGTGTTTTTGAGATATCATGATACGGATGCGAACAATCAATTGGCACTGTCTATTCCCTTCATCTACACTGAACATCATCTGGCGGACAACCGAGAGTGCCTCAAGGTTCAGAGTCGCAGTCGATCCTTAGGTGCTAAGTGCCGGCCAAATGAATCACTTCAGATGTCACTCAGTACTTCGTAATTCGATGTACGATAAAGTCCCTCGTGTGCCAGGTGCGCCCGTGATACCATGAAGCTGCTAGCAGTACCCTACTCTGATTCTTCTAGTACAACGAGCTCACGACCCGAGTGATCACGAAATCCAAAAAGTTCGGAAGTTCGGAGCTGTAGCGTGGATAATATTTGCAACATGAATCCGTTCCAGTATAGCAGCACAAATGAGAGACGAGTCTTGTTCATGAGAAGTACCACACCAATATATTGTCCATGTTTTGTGGTATGTACAGAGTCCGACAGTGTTAGTCGACTGGAGATATCTCGTGCTACACATCACTGTCAGTTGACTCTGGTATGTATTCCCGGAAAGCCATTGAATATATGGTAGTTCCTTCCTCGAAGTTAGGCATGAACTTGGCATGATATCCTCGAACGCTAAGGATCAGGCGCGGTCCTGCCACAAACATCTGCAAGAGCGTGGAAAGTTCAAGAATACCACGATAACTCTGAGCTCCCACAGAGGTTAAGGCCTATAGTGATGATGAGTCCTCGAATGTAGATGTTAGCCATGGATTAGCATACAGAGAAATATGGAGACATTAAGCCAATATTGAGGCTGGAACTAACAGTAAAGCTAGCATGCGTGGAAATTCAGCCGAAAAGACAACCACATTCAAATCAAAGGCTCACAATATAAAGTAGAGGGCATGAGTTTTGAGTAACACCGTGAATAAATCACCAATGACAGTTTGTCCTGTCGATTGTGTTCGCAGTTCACGCAGGTGTTTTACAACAATCCAGATTGCAAGACCAAGTGTGAGAGCCTCCCATGCAGTAGCGACTGCATAAGTCTCGAGCATCCGAAGTTGTTGGTTTGCGTCGATTTCGTAAACGCACTGCGAGCCGTAGAGAAACACCTCTGAGATTCATTTTATGAGCTTGATGCACTAGTGTCTGAGATCAACTTACTTATCGAAAGAAGGCTGGTTCCTGATACAGCAATTGCTACGCAGAAAATCGTGACGGAGACGAAGGTCGCAATGAGAAAGATGAGTATCTTTCTGGATCGCTGATACATGGCATGTAACCGAAAGATCATGATGACTTGCATGTCATGTCAGGCGATCTGAGGTACCGTAGCTGAGTAGCTCACCAGTCAACGTGCCATTTATGGGAAAAGTCGCCCACAAGAGTGCGAGGTCCATAACGTAGCCTGAAAAAGCCGAGTTAATGGTGAGCCTCGCAGGATTGAATACTTCAAGAAACTTACAACTGTTTCGGTCAGCATTTAGAATCAACAAGCTGGTGGATCTCACCCCTACGTAGAAACATGATTAGTTGGTAGGTATAATGTATTGATGCAGAACACTTACCGTGTCTGTCGTCAAGGCTCCCGGGAGATTTACTGCATGCCATCAGTCGGAAGAAACGAATGCCGTGCATCATGAGACATACCCAACATGTTACTGCTGATTGCGAGAGATGGTTTATTAGCTCAGTGCCGACTTGGTAGCCTTGCGAACCCACACAGAATATAATATTCCAAAGTACCGCACCTAGAATATTTTGAAATCAGTATAAGTTGCCCACTGCACTGACAGCAGGAGCTACGTACGACAATATATAGAGCAGTCATGAAAGAACGGCGTTGTTTCTGACCCGAATTATTCACGATACCACCCTTTTCTTCTCATATGAAACTACTCACCCAAATCAATTCATACTTCAAAAACCATTTCAGTGAATATATGGTGGCTGCTCGGCAATGAGATCAACCTACCTCCTGGCCGAATGTCAACACTAGAGAATATCACAATGACATCAATAACTCCTTCCATAAGAGATCTTGCTCACCCCAGTCGTACATCACAGCAGCAGACGATGAGACTACGAAACTATGGTCAGAAGTAGAGCGAGAAACAACATCAACGTTGTTCTTCACGAACCTACAAAATAGTTGAAAACACGATACATATCGAGTGACCACGAACTGGGATCAGTTGGAATCAAAGGCATACTTTGTCTGTGAGTGACGAACTGCGAGTCAGTGGTGGGTATATAGCGCACTAGTAGCCATGTCACCCAGAGAAAATTATTAAATTATATACGCGGTCACGGTGCCGGTGAGGTCCAGACCGTAATATTGTTTTAAGCTGGTTTAAAATTCGTGTCAAGTTCTTGCCGCTCGACTTGCGGCAATACTCAAGCCCGTGGCTACTCATTGGCAAGTTCATGAGTACTGTTCGCGCGGCACATCGGGTCTGTCAAACACGTCCTGGGGTCAACCCAACTATCTCACGGCAATCTCACGACTTGGATAATGTGTAAACTTACATCCATGCCGACCTCATGTACATGAACTCTAACCGACTTCCGTTTAAATTTTCAACCTAATTTCGGATCCCCATGCATAAAGTGCGGCTCGTCGGAACAAACCCAAGTTCAAGTCTTTAGCCTTATAAGTGTTAGACTTTCGCTTTAGTAATAAGCGAGATCCCATGCGTTGAGCTCGGGTCCGTTGTGTTATCCAGCAATCGCAGCCCTCGTCCCACTTACAGTCACAGTACTACGACAGATAAAATTTACATAGCATTGAGTACAGGGTATCCGACAGGTGTTAATCATTCCTACACATTAGTGCTAGTTGGCACTTGTAAGGGGTCCTGGGAAGCGATTGCAGGCAATTCAAATATTCCTTCCTCAGACTGGACCAGGAACTCGGCGTGGCATTCTCGAACGCTTAGGATAAGGCGCGGTCCTACCACAAACATCTGGAAGAGCGTGACGAGTTCAAGAATGCCCCGATAAATCTGAGCTTCCAAGCGAGATACATCCTACAGCAACGATGATGAGGGCTCAGATGTAGATGTGATCTATGGATCGACATACCAAGACCACTGGAGATAACAAGCCAATGCTGAGGCCGCATCCAGTAGTAAAGCTGGCACGTATAGAAATTCAGCAAAAATATAAACCACATTCAAATCAAAAAGCTCACAATGCAAAATAGAGTACATGGGTTTTCATTAACACCATGGAACAATCACCGATGAAAGTCCGTCCTGTCGATAGTGGCTGTAGTTCACGAAAGTGTTTTACAAAATTCCAGATTGCAAGACATAGTGTGAGTAGGTGCCATGCAGTTGCGAGTATGTAAACCTCGAGCAACCAAAGTTGTTCGCCTTTGTCGACTTCGATAATGCACTGTATGCCGTCGAGGAGGATCACTCCTGGCATTCGTTGCATGAGCCTGATGCGCTCAAGTCTTTCATGCAGGAATAAAGCTTACTCGTTGGAGCATGGTTGCTTCCTATTGCACCAATCACTGCGCAGGGGACCATGATGGAGGAGTGAACTACAACTAGAAAGATGAGCATCTTTCTGGATCGCTGATACATAGCATGTAACCGAGTGATCATGATGACTTGTATGATATATCAGTCAAATTGATATCACTGAGGTACCGCAGCAGTAGCTCACCACTCAGCATGGAATTTACGATAAAAATCGTCCAGAATAAAGCGAAGTTCATAACATTGCCTGAAAAAGCCCAATTGATGATGAGCCTCGCACGACTGAATACCTCGAGAAACCCACAACTGTTTCAGTCAATATATTGAATCAACAAGCTGGTTAAGAATCTCACTCACCCCTACATAGAAGTGTGATTAGTTGGTAAATATCGGTGCGAAGAATGCTCACCGTGTCTGTCTTCAAGACTCCCGGGAGATTTACTGAATGCTAGCAGTCAGAAGAAAGGAGTGCAGTGCATTGCGGGACATACACAACACGTTGCCACTGAATGTGGATAGCTTATTAATTCAGTGTTGACTTGATAGTCTTGCGAACCTACACAGAGTATGGTAATCCGATGTAGCGCACCTAGAATATTTTGAATCAGCATGAGTTGCCCGCGAACCCATAGAAGCCACGTACGATGATATATAGAACAGTCATGAGAGAACGGCGTTGCCTCTGACCCAAATTACTATTGAACTATATCATCATGTTCTTCTATGTAACTACTCACCCAGATCAGTTCATACTGCAAAAATCATGCTCGTGAAATTGCGATGGCTGCTCAGCGATGGGTCAACCTACCTCTCGCCCGAATGTCAATACTGGAGAATACCATAATGACATCAGTAACTTCTTCCATAAGAGATCTTGCTCACCCCAGTCATAGACCACAGCAGCGGACGATGCGACTGCGAAATCGTAGTCAACAATAGAGCGAGAAAGATGATCAACATCATGATTATCATCCACGAACCTATAAAATAGTTGGAAACACGATAGGTAGTATCGGTATTGAATGACCACGAAGTTGGGTCACTTGGGATTAGGGGCATACTCTGGAATGTCTGCGAGTGGGGAACTCTGAGTTAATACTAACGGACCGGATATTTCAACGTCCAGCGATTGAGTCATGCGGTGACAGAACATCCATGATTTAAGTTGTCTGCAGCACACATAGTAAGTATGATGGAATATCGCTCTTGCAAGGATACTTGGCAGGGCTTCAGGAGTTCAACGTTCAGGAGCTACTAGCGTTCGCGCGACCCGTCGGCGAGGTAGCCAAAATTGGACATCATCATAGTACTACGACCAGATCTGTAAAAAAGAGTTCAACGCAATCCAATTGAATAGGTTGGACTGAACCTTCAAAGCACGTGCTCCCCAGAACCTATTACATAATAATATGGAGTCCTCGGCCTAAGAAGGTTGCCCATTGCACCTATGGCTATGGTACATCTTATATATCTGTCACATCAACGTCAACCCACAGGGTACCCGTACCTTCCAGTATAAATCCATTCTATCTATCTGATTGATCTAGTACGTGTTTACCTCCATACAGTACTATAGATCGCTAACTATATTCCCTGATCAGTGAATTTATCCATTCTCAAAACTCCGAGAAGTGCGGAGTCATATGTCAGCACAAACCCGGCTACTTGTAGTCTGTGACACGTGAAGGGACCAGCGCTGCACTGGCCATGCACAGGATAGGCTCCCGTATACACGCCAATTAGAAGTATTATAGTCGCTACTTCTTACTTTTCAGCGACATGACACATGTACAGAGCCTCGGTAAGCAAACCAATTCATCAAATCATGCAAGAGTATGACAACAACTTTTCATTCCTGGTTTAAGGTCAACTACTGTAGCAAATATGCTGAACTCAGTGCAGTGTGCACATGTAGCCGCATCTGTGTCACTCTGACTCGGACTGGTGCTGTAAGGATACGGCATGTATCCCTGCCATATATTGGCTGATTCGTGCGCTTCAGCGCCTGGAAACGGTACATTGCTTTCGTGATCTATGACATGTTTGATTCCTTTTGAACATGATCCCTGGTGTATTTCTCACAGTGCTACTGCGGTTGAGATAAGCCAGGGTATGGGGTTAAATTGGACTGACTGACTTGTTTCATTCCCGCTTGGCAACGTGAGTTCAAGTTACAGTGTCTGCTGCCTTAGGTCATTCCCTATGTGTCCTGCCGTGTCTGCTGCGGTCATATGACTTATAATGCTTTAAGAGCCCAAAGAAATCACCGGTACCCCGAGTGAGTGTCTAGTCGGTACAAACACAACTTGCAGAATTTTCGGGATATTTGACGTCCAAATTTTACAGAGGTACGAATCAATTGTAGCAGTAGCCCTAAACGAATCCTTACTATCAAGGTCAGAAACCATACTTTGCAAGTCGGCCTCTTTCCTGACTCAAACTGCGTCCATTTTTATCAGTGTTATTTCTCGAACCGATGTCATGCCATCTTTTTACAGGGTAACTGTCCGTCAGATGGCAGATTCAACTTCATTCTAAGCCCCCCTTCACCTCTTTCGCCCGCATAGCTTACCTCTTCTGTCACCCTGTTTGCTAGTGTGATCGGGTTTGTCTATCTCGCACTTGGTTCATGTGATGCTAGCGTGACGACGAGCTCTTGACACCGTGCGGTTGCTGCTCTATGACTTGGTAAATGTCTGGTGTTTTTGAAAATGTTCGAAATTTTTTACAATCACTCCTCCTAGCTCCCTATCTACGGTGTAACGGTGTACTCTGCTACCCTCAATACCATCTACACAAGTCTGTACGAGACATCGGGTGTGATAACTATGGTCGAGGTGGGGCCCGTCTGGCATTAGGTCGCATCCGCACACTCTGCCCGTCACAGGAGAAGCTGATAAGCTGTTCAGTGAGGACGATGATCCAGCGCTGCGCAGGGGGGATCATGACATGCTCTGGGACGTATATCAGGTGTATAGCCAGAAGCATGTAGTCATATTCTAAACAGAGGGGATTTCACCATTTTAGACGTTCCAACCAGATGTGATTCTCCTGCTGATCATACACCAATCCAATTTTTGGAAATAAGAAGAGCCTGAACTACCTTCAAATCTGTACTCTGGTTTGGGCATGCAATCTCGTGCTTTGTTACCTTGTTTCTTCTGACCCAACCGGCAAGTTGCGAGCATTTACGTGATGCATTGGCAACTTCCGGCTGAGAAGAATGTGTCCTGGACTTTTGTTTGTTACTTTGGCATAGTTGCATGTTGAATGCTACCACATCTCGCTTGCTTCAAGCTTCTCAGACCTTGGACGGCTTGCCAAACAAAGACTGTCCTCAGCTTGGCAAGTCCAGTAGAGCCAGTAGAGCAGATGGCCAAATACATGTCGTTAGACTGTTGCAAATTGCGTCACGATCTACTATCTTTCTGCTGAGCTGAAACACCAACTTAACATTCGGGTCAAGCGGCATTTCTCGAGTGTGACCGGTATTGAAATAACTTCGTACTCCGTGTGTTCATACACTGGCCTGCATCACCAAAATTACCGAATCCAGAGATCACATGATATATTGAATTTTCTGACGCCGCCAATTACACATACCTGTGATATCCGACATTTGAAATATCGTATCGATACAATGACATCAAACATACCATCTGTCAGACACAAGTCATCCAGTAGAGTAGCTGTCAGCCAGATATCAGACATATCCAGATACATCCAATGTATTATGTAGAGTAATACAACGAAAAATGCGTGAAACTGAAGTAAAGTACCTAAAGGGCGCCCGCCGCCAGAGCACTAGTGTCGGTGTGGAAAGCGTTCATGAATTGCAAGTTGTTGGTACATCAATGGAAGCGAGGTATGAGATAGGTGCTTGATAGTAACGACCGTGATCGAACAGACTTTTACAAGGCAGCATTTCAAAGGATAACAATAAATGGGTAGCGTTCAAGACTGTCAGGTATTATTGACCAAAAAAACCCTTCACTCTCCACATGGTGTCCAAGGAAGCAAGCTGGGGAATCTGATTAGCAGCGTCATCTGGGGTTATGGTTCATTGATTTGACGACTCCGAGAACGCTTACCAGTTGAGCAAAACCTTCCTCTCCGATGACTTGTGCTACGATGAATTCTAGTTCTGCATGGGATAACTTGTGAAGGGCCGGAGTGTCATGCAGTCACTGATGCAACAAGCTGGGCTCGAATTGAATTACAAACTTCTGATAGTCGACTTTCCGATTGAACTTCATTGAAGAGATCATGTGACGCTCGAGGGCAGTGGAGGCGGGGGCATCATGTTGGGACTACTGAGAGTAGACGAGGATGGTTGGGAAGAATCAAGTAAAGAGCCTTTGGTAGAGTAGATGGAGCCGGGCAGTGCTTGGCATTGGGTGGACTTTGGGAAGATTATCCGAGGTGTTTCTGTAGGTATAACGAAGGTGCCGTCGTGAGATGGTGTAGCCACGGATGTCGTTTTCATAGAACTGCTGCTCAGAGCCACAGGAGTAAAATTAACTGGTGTCGATAGTGCGAATGCTGGTAAATTAGATTCGGATGATGGATTTCCTGAAAGAAGTGTAGTCGGCGCGAGTCTGAACGGAGCCCCACTCATTGATGGCCGAGCTTGTGAAACAGCTGTGAGTATAGTACCTTGACGGGGAATGTCGTCAATAAGGCCTGTCGTAGCTACAGGAGGGATGCGAGTAACCAGAGGCTGCGGTTGCGGATTCAATCTACAAGGACAAACAGGTTGGACGGCATCGATAAACTGAGCTGTGCTCGCTGCAGTGGTAAATGTGACCCGAAAACGCCGATATACCTGAAATGCTGCTATCAAAGTTCCATATAATTTGAAGGCGAACAGAGACAAACTTTCCCGCAGAAGAAGTCTTCGCATCCAAGTAGAGGTTAATAACGGGTTTGCCATTCTGCATCTTTGAGAGCACAAGGTAAGTTTAATGGAAAGCGGCATGGATACGAAGAGGATGCGGCAAGTCACGTGGACAGCTTCGAGCGCCTAGTCAGACTCATAGTCCGTGCGATGTTCAATCCTTACACCGCTGAGGCTGTTCATCAGAGCCTAGTTGTGCGTGATAAACACGGACAATACACGCACCTCTACAGCTTGCAAGGAACTGGTGCAAGCTTTGTCAAACAAAGCACCTAGTGGCGAGCATGTAGCGATAAACATCATAACGAAGTCTGGAGGGCAGGATCAGCACTTGAGCAACTCGCGTAATGCGAAGCCGTGCATAGTGCTTGTATTGGTGGTATGAACGGACTGGTACTAACTGAAACTTCCGTAGATGACGGTCACATGACTGTGTTTATTAACACAAACAACACGTCAATAATGCCACACTCGATCTTTGCTTGTCTTTCCTTAATCTTTCGATTTTATCTTTCTTTCCCCCACCATCATCATGGCGTGTCGTAAACGCTCTAACTCAATTGCCTCATCAGGCTCATCAGTAAGTATCCTCGTGTAGTTCGAACTCAGTATCATCCGTGGCCCTTGTACCTCCAAAGAGGGCCTCAAATACCAAGCTCAATATTATCATCAAAAAGGTGAGTGTATGCGCATATATGTATATATTATGTACTTATCTCATCCATCAGATGGATCCAGCATCGTCTACTCGCATGGACTGAAATATCCTTCTAGCATGCTTTTTCTGTCCGATCAGAGATTTTCAGAGGACGCCGACAAATGAGTTTTTTTTTGAAATTCACCTCACGTTAATCTAACACTTCGCAGAGCATTCAGACTTCTCACATGTCTATGGGCCGGAGACCCACCAGGTCAAGACTACGACAATGACCAGACGTGTTTGGTGGCTACTTGTTGGAGTGGGTGAGTGTTTTTTTTTGGTATTGTTTTAGGTGTTATTGACCTACTCATAGATCGCTCATATTCCTGTTCTAGTGTCCATTCTCGATTACCCACATTTGCATACATAAGCTCAGAACGATACACTCAATTGTACCTCACTGCTTTGTACTACCATTAATTTAATGCATCACATTGTTATATCTGAACGCAATTGCAATGTCTGATGAATCTGAGCGAAATTTAAATGCATTATGTACATAGCAATGTTTGATATATCGGTACACTAGCCTAATGCCAGACTATAGTCATATGGCAGTCGCAATGTCAGAATTGAGTTTCCTAACATTACCTTACATTGAGACCTTGCGCCAGATACATATGGCAGGTATGGTGGCTCCGACATGGTAATATATGACCATCTCTGGATTCGGTAATTTTGGTGATGTGGCCATATTAATATCCATACGAATTTCATAGAACTTCATTGAAGCCTAAATAAACTCGCGTCCCCTACCCTCAATTCCACATTCTTGCGATTATTTTCTCAAATCCTTCCTCCAACTCGGCCTTGAGGCCATCCTCATAGTCCACCGTTTACGTCTCGATAACTCCAAGCCGATCATCATGCAAATACGGTTATAAATAATAAAGAAGTATAGTAAGGTTAGTGCAGTTGTCATGAAAAACGCACTGAATCAGTCACGTATAGACAGGTGATCGATGATCCGCAGTGCGCAGCGGCGAGTTAGTCCAAGTCAGGATCCAATGATCCGATCTTCGTTTCAAGATTGGTACCCTGTCATTGATATTCTAGCTCAAATCCTCATTCAATCACACTGATACAACTTCCCCATGGGTACTGTGGATAATACGTGCGTATCTTTCAACTTCACATATGCATCACCTAGTATAACTTGCACAGTTTTGGAGCGTTCTTGATTGGAGTTGTAATCTCTGCCGTGTAAGTGCTCTTTTTGGATCAACAATGAGTGTAGATTTCAACTCGGATGTTGCAGGCTTTATGGAGGTGTGTTTTCGTGTGTGTGTATTTTACGTTGGTAGGAGCTCACAACCACACAAAGTTACTTGTGTGCAGACATGGTACTACTTTAGCCGGTATTTCTCGGATCCTTGGCACCACAAACTTATAGTAGGTTCACGAAGGATTGATATGCACCATTCTCTAACAGCATATAGGTCGGCGCTGTATTTGTATCCGACTCAACCCATCAAGCTTTGATTACACACGTCGGTGAGCACCGAATATAACACGTGTTTGTCTGTAAACTGAATATTGAATGGTAGTGTACACGTACCTTGTCACTGACTTTTGTAACGCTAGCGATCTTGAGAAAATTGTGTGGAGTTTATCTGTGGGTTGCGTACGATAAGTGCCCAATTCTCATCTGAATTTTTATTTGCGTCATAGGTTGAAATTCTGTTCAATGGCTTTACGGGGTTTATGGTTCAAAGGTTGGTGTGATACCTTTCGAATAGAACGATTCTCATTTATCGTCCTTCCAGCTTCCTCGCCAAGCGTGTCTACCATCGTATGTGTGATCTCCTCCCAGTGGACGATTGCTTACTTTCAGCCAGTGAGCAACAAGAACATGATTGCAACCGTATCAGTGGTGTTCATTGTCATCGCTGAACTTGTCATTGTTGTCAGTGAGTACGCGTTTTTGCTTCTCGTAAATTTGTCTATTAATGTGACATCCAAAGTATATGTTATAAAAGCGTAATTTGTGTCGGAAATTATCAAGTAGAAGTCCGCTGATGCACCCCTCTTCAGTGTCGAGTTTACGACCTTCACTGAAGTTCGCCAGATCAAGCCATTGTCGATGTCTGTGAATGCCGTAGCAGCTGCCGGAGATATCCTTATCACTGTCTTGCTCTGCACATTCCTCCAACGATCTCGCACTGGGTTCCGTCGGTCCGATACCATGATCAATAAGCTCATGCTGTTCACTATCAATACTGGTCTACTTACTAGTGTTTGCGCAATGATGTCCTTCATTTCTGTATGTAAAACATCACAAACGGCTCGTTACTTCGTTCCTGACCCAGATGTGGCACAGATTGTAGTGTGGCCTGATACCTTCATTTACAGCGCATTCTATTTCTGCATGGGACGTCGTAAGTACACTGCAGTCAAATTATGCTGTTCAGGAGGTTAACAAGATCGTTCTCAGTTTACTGCAATTCCCTGCTGGCAATCCTCAACGCACGCAAGGGTATTCGCCGTGATGGCGATGCTTGTAACGAGCAGGTGTCGACATTGATAGAGAGAGCCCTGGGACCTATCAATAGTCTCATCGACTCGTCGCAAATGGTGAGCTCCGCGGATTTGCACAGTACATTTCTCATGTGCAAGCAGGAGATGCCGAACGACCTTGCAATTAGGATAGATATCACGCAAGAATGCATTGAAGATAAGGTCAGTTATGTTCTGTACCAGCTCTGTGATCCAATGCTGATTTATATATACGCCGCTTTCTATCCGTGAAGGACCTCAAAAGGGCGCAGTCAGTTTAATTGCTATACTACGGATGAGAATCGCTAAATGTGCCGGCTCTTACTCGTAGAAGAGTAAGCACGCTGTGCCTTTGACATTCATTCGGTGGTATATTCTTCACTCAGACTTTGTATGTATTTCATCGAAACACACCCGGCAGTCTTCACTTGTACATATTCAATACAAGCGGTGACCTTCGGCCGTTGCTTTAAAATTATTACAAAGGCAGACTTTTGTACACTATATTTGCACCAATTTTCTTCGTCTCCTCTTAAAACTCGACGGCTTTTGACATGGGACGTATAGTTGACTAATGAGTAAAAGGATCTGTTCTGAAATCGAGAACTGTGCGAGGGAGTGAAAGCTTGGCAGCCTTTGAGAGTAGTCGCAAAAGAATCTGTTTGCGTTCACTGTCCAACAGGAGTAGTAAGGATGAAAATAAAACGTGATTCGTGGAATACAGTGGTTCTTGAGCTTTGTGGAGAGAGGAAAGCACGTTCGAGGCAAGCGCGAGCCCGTTAGTCAGTACGTGCGCTAGGAAAAGAAAAGCGAGAGCTTCGTCAATGTCTGTTTCACAGCCACGATCAGAATAAGCCCCAACGCATGATTGCCGTCGCCGAGAGGTTCTATTGGTTCCTGTGAAAATAGCATAAGCAACTTGAGTGAGACAACAGTGGGTAACAAGAGGACAGTGAATATCGTTTGCATATAGAGGTGAAGTGTGAGTAGGACTGCCATCATCGGTCACTGCAGAACCAATCATGGGATTCATGACGCGAGCTGCGAGCATCATGGCGTGAGATCGCTCCAAATGCTACCGTCAAGTCACCATCAGGTAGAAACAATGTAGCCGTTATTGTCCTATTGCCATAATACCTAGATCCATTTTGGTTAGCGACCAATTCACTGGAACGAAAGAACGAAAAAGGAGCAACATCAGTAAATTCACGAATTGCTTAATTTCCTTTTAAGCTCTTATTTTTCTCACCCAAGAGCGGACAAGAACCAGAACACCTCCTTGTCACAAGGAGCAACAAGCTGCCAAGAAGATCCCTTCCTCTTGATTTGAGCATTTTCGCACTTTTTTTCATTTGTCCTACACTTTTTGCACTTATTTTTAGAACGAGCTACATTACAATCCCCTTATGTCGCACTTATTTTTAGCTTGTTCACACTATATACACTTTTTCACACTTGTTCACACTTGTTACCAGGAAAAATAATTGCATTTCAACCGGACAAGAGGATTAAGTAGATAAAAGGTTAAACAAGGAGAAAAATAAGGACTAGCAAGTAGATTAATAACGAGCGTGACAAAGCAAACGGAGGCGGCAACGAGACATAACGAGCGCGACAAATGGAGGCGGCAACGAGACATAACGAGCGCGACAAATGGAGGCGGCAACGAGACATAACGAGCGCGACAAAGGAAATGGAGGCAGCAACGAGACAGCATGTAAAAAAGACCAGGGAACATAGCATGAATAACCTTGAAGGTACTAGCAGCATTGAAGCTCCTAGTCAGTTGCAAAATAAACTACAAGAGTGAAGGACATTACCTCTAGAAAATGAACGCTTGCTCATCCCCAGATTCTTTGTCCACATCCATCCGCACGCCACCACGCCTCTTCGTGGCGAGGCTCTGCGCAAGCTCAGAGTTTCGGATAAGGACCGAGTCTGGCAAGCGTGTGATAGACACCATGTAAGCCCTCGTGTGCGCACCCCAATTGGCTTCTGAAAATGCCAAGGGGACACTGCTCTGGTTGCCTGTGGACGGATTGACGTCGAGCGGGGTCTTGTTGCCTCAACCATTGCCAGAGGTGTCGATGTCTCCTAGGAGCATGTGTCCATTGACAAAAAGCCTGATGGCGCGTTCCATCTGAAATACAGGGTAAGTTAAGTCAGCTGTATGAGAGGGTAGAAAACACGTGCTGCTGCCGTGGCAAGACTAAGAGCGCCCTTCGAGTGCCCCTGGCACTGTATCGTTCGTTCCCGGCAGGTTGACAGCGCCGGACGTGGCACACTTGTGCTGCACAAGAACCTGTACAATAAGGTCAGATGCGTCAACACGCATAGCATCTTGGTCAGCCTGCATCTGTGCCTGCAAAGTAGCAATACGCTGATAACTTTCTTGTACAGCTTTTTCACTTGCCTCCTTTGCCTCCCTTTCACGTTGGTCGTCAGCGGCCTTCTCAGCAGTGGTACGCTTCTTTCCACGACTATTGATTAAAATGCGCCCAGGGATGCTGAGTTGCGTTCTTAGGTCGAGTCCCCATGCGCGTTGTAACTGCGTCAGGTTGAGACATTCTATCGATAAACGGTTTTGTAGGCTGACGAAAATTGAAGGCAGTGGGTTACCAAGTTGAAGGTGAGTTTCGTCACTCTACAATTTGTAGCCAAAGCTGACTCTGAATAATATTTCTTAACGTATTGAATTGAGGGTCGATTGCAACATCCGGAGCATCAATATTCGCCAGCGCTTTTCGGCACAATGTGCTCAACAAAATGACATGTCCCGGATTGAAATACCTTAAGTACGGTGAGTATCAATGTTTACCAGAACCTTTCCGGTGATATAATGACGTCTAATAGCCTAGGGAATGTTCACCAGAACCTTTCCTGTGGTGGGGTGACCGTCATCAATGTTCACCAGAACTTTTCCGGTGGTGCGATGACATAACTGTCCATTTTAACAAACCCTTTCTGGGGTAGTGCACATTTTCGTTCCAACGGCACCTTTGCAAGGGTAATTTTTTCTTCAATATTAGCGGCTGGTTTTAAACCTTCACTAGGTCCATACGTTGCATCAACACTACTCATATGATGCGCAGAAACCGGCCTACTCACCGTGCCCTTCAGTTTCCATGCCTATCTCCAGGTTGTATGCGCTGGTTTCGAAACATCTCTGGCCGCACTCAACACATGCACGCGTCCCATCCCATTGCACCTGCTCTGGATCTTCCCCAACTGCAACAGCTTCCATCTCCACCTCAGTCGCCTCCTCTTGATTTCCTGCCACCCCCCCCTGATTTCTCGCCACCCCCTCCTGATTTCTCGCCTCCCCAATCACCACCTGGTCCAATGGCTGACGATGAGGATCCAGACTCAGAATTCACTGATGCGAGCAAGCGTTACTATTGTACGTATCACTCGCTCCTCAATGGTAAGTACCTTTCAATCTGCGCTTTTCACGTGTTCTGATTCTGACACGCTCTTAGGACGACCATGCACAGCTGACGGCGTGTTTCTGCCCCCTGGCACACCACCAACTCCTGTCCCACCGAAGTCTCCTCACGACTGGAGCCCGTATCCTAACGATATTGAATTTGCAACGGCAGAGTTTGTTTTCAAACAAAGCCATATGTCTAACAAAGCTACAGACTTATTACTCGACTTAAATGCTGCGCAGCTGTTGAAACACGACGACCACCCTCCATTCGCGGATCACAAGGATTTGCACAAGGTCATCGACGCCACACAACTTGGCAATGTCACTTGGCAATGTCTCTCGATTCAATACACAGGGGAACACCCTGAACATGATGCTCCTCCGTGGATGGACAGAGAATACGAGGTCTGGTACAGAGACCATTCGCAAATGTTCGAGGAGTAGTTATTCATAGTAAAATTTTATCTACTTGTAATCTACGACACACTTTAGTCTTCCTTGCTTTTGGCGCTTGTTGCACTTGTGGGCACTTGTGAATCACACATTTACTTGTGAGTGCTTGTGAAAGAAAAATGACAAGTGCATAAGAATAATAAGCGGCAACATGTTGAAGATTTTCGTGACAAGTGGCGAAAAAGGACGCTAAGGAGTTTGTGAATTTACTGATGAATGAAAAGTGGTAACAGGATGTGAGCTTGCGTCAGTGTCGTACGGCGTGCTGGAAGGTGCAGATGGTATCCATGTGTGGCTGATAGTGTCGTGAGACACAATGGAAGAGCAACTTGGAGAGGGAGGGCACGCAAATAGATTGCAAATGAGCAGCACAGCATGACGGAGTAGACACAGTTGACACCGAGCCAGCGGCTACTCATGCTGATCTATCTTAGACTAGTCACTCACACCGATATGTAATAGCTCGCTCGTCCGACTCCGACTCCTCATCATCGAGCAAGCTCGACGGCGTATCAGTGGTGTCATTTACTGTAGTGCGTGCCATTTCTATGGTGGCCTCCACATACCCAGCAGGCTTGCTCAAAATCGACTTGATAAACGCCTTGGTTGGTTTGGACCAGAGAGTCGCCGAAAATAAAAATGGTGTCCCCATCGATTTGTTGAGGACCTTCGGTAGTTCGATGACCACTTTACTGCGTGATGCGGACGACAACTCATCCTGAACCTTCACTTGTTTGTTTTTGATCAACCCAAGGGCTTGCTCGATCTTTAAAAAAATCAGTGCGAATAAGCCATTTTAAATTGAACTCACCGCTACAGCAGAGAGGGCGAGACATCCCGCTCATCACAAGCTCATGCATGTCGAAGGAGGGAACCTCCACATACCCTTTGATGACGTTGAGGTGTGCTGTGTCAAGCAGCTGTAAGATGAAGGGAGAGCAGTAAGCTGTGAGAGGAGATGGACTATCAGGGTTCTCATATAAGAAGGCCCAGTCGCGGACAAGGGACGTTGCCAGATCGCTAGGAGCGCAGTCGGAATTACGTGTCATAAAGTTCACGATAATGATTATGGCTGTTGAGCCAAAATTACTGTGCCATTCTGAGATGTGCTGTGCAGTCTAATGATCGATATAGTATTAATAGAAAAATTAGATATAACAGGGGACTTACAAGTGAATGTACCACACCATTGTGAACGAGAACAATATTAAGATCTTTGTATACTGCGTCGAAAATAAGCTGAGCGTGATGGAGAAGAACCTCGTCTGGGATAACCCAGATGTCTTCATAACTTCCAGCCCACAGCATTATGGTAGGGAGATATTTATTCATCCAGCGCTGGTCTGCTTGTATGGCTGCAGGTAAGTCAACTGTACAATAGGCGTCACGTGCTTTCATGTGCTCCGGCGTAGTGTCCACTGGTGGTGTTTGAGCTTGGCAGGTATACCGCAAACACGTGCAGCAGAAGGCTCGATCTTGGCCTTTTTTTAGCAGGAGGCTGACTATCGGCAACAGAAGTGGTGACAGACGTCTGTACAAGTGTCAGAATGAGCAGTGATAGAGCCATGATCCTTACTGAGGTTGTCGTACGCAAAACCTTCTCCTTCTTCACCACAATAGGTTCAGGCTGAGACAATTCATCAACACACACGATCGGGTTGTTGACACCTTCAACTTCCATAGACCAATCGGACACCACAGACTCAGCCTCTGACACTTCATCTAAGACAAGAATTTCATTAGCTTTGCGCTTGAAGGATTTCAGATTTGGTGCCTGCGTGAACGGAGTCCTAGGCTCCCGCGATAACTCAAGCTCCGAGTCATCATATTGTAGAAGTCCTTGGCCCACCTGAGGCTCATCAAAGTCGGAGTTTTCATCGAATATTGAGACGACCTGCTAAGCAAGGAATTAAACGCTGGCATCAATGAATCACTACCACTTACCTTAGTTTTCCCTTTGTCTTGCTTCCCCTCTGTGCAAGTAGCCTCATACTCTAACGAATCATCAATTTCATCTCCAAAGGCACCAGTAAGGGCATCGTCAGGCACATATTTGGTTTGAGCTGCAGGAATCGGAGTCGGAGGTTGAGTGGCTGAAGTTGCTGCAGAGGAAACAGTGTTGTGTGAAAAGATAGTCGAGGGAGGCTCTCGAGTCGAAATGCTGGATGCACGGGATGATGGTTCCGACTTTCCAGGCTTGACTCCTGAAACCCAGTTGGTCACTCGACCACCTAATGCGAGTTTCTGAGTGGTCGCATTGATACTGGAAGTAAGATTAAGGAAAAACAAAGTTGATTCGGTGAGGAGCAACATTGTGTGGCAGGCTCAGCTGATGCTACTTTGACCGTGACATATTTCTGTGTGTTCATATATCAGGCCCAATATAGAACTTAATTAAAGCTTGGGCCTAGTACACGTGCTAACGCGTTGACGCGGACGTCCCGTACCCTCAATCACCTTGTACCACAAGGTCACTATTCTACATATTTTCTCGAATCCCCCCTCCAAGTCGGTCTTGAAGCTTGAGGCCATCCTAGTCCACGGTGTCCGTCTCGATCGCTGCCTCCGGGCCGATCATCATATGGTGCAACTAAGGCTTCTTTTTAGATATCTATAGTAAGGTTGGCGCAACTGTAATGAAAAACGCGTTGCATAGTCAGACTCAGGTGATTCACCTGCAGGATTGATAATCCGTGCTCAGCGGCGAGGATTACTGGCTGAGCGCTGACCGGTTACCGTTGAGAACGGGTGTGGGATTAAGGCAACAGGCATTTAAACCAATGATCCGAGGCCCGACCTTCGCTTCACGATCGATGGTACCTGTTATTTAAGCCCTTTGAAATCCTCATTCATTCACACTGATACAACTTCCCCCATGGGCACTGCGGATAATACGTGCGTATCTTTCAACTTCGCATATGCATGACCTAGTATAACTTGCGCAGTTTTGGAGCGTTCTTGATCGGGGTTGTAGTCTCTGGCGCGTAAGTGCTCCTTTTGGATCAACAACGAGCGTAGATTGAAACTTTGATGTTCCAGGCTTTACGGAGGTGTGTTTTCGTGTTTTTTTTGGCGCTAGTAGGAGCTCACAATCGCACAAAGTTACTTGTATGCAGACATGGTACTACTTTAGCCGGTATTCCTCGGATCCTTGGTACAACAAACTTTTAGTACGTTCATGAACGATTGATATGCGCCGTTATCTCTAACATTATATAGGTCGGTGCTGTATTTGTATCAGACACAACCCACCAAGCTTTGATTACACACACCGGTGAGTACCGGATGTAAGACGTGTCTGTCTGTGAACTGAATATTGAATGGTAGTGTACACGTACCTTGTCACCGACTTTGGCAACACCAGTGATATCGAGAAACTTGTGTGGAGTTTATCTGTGGGTTGCGTGTGATAAGTGCCCAATTCTCATCTGAAATTTTCATTTGTATCATAGGTTGAAGTTTTGTTCAATGGCTTCACGGGGTTTATGGTTCAAAGGTTGGTGTGATACCTTCTGAATAGAACGATTCTCATTCATCGTCCTTCCAGCTTCCTCGCCATGCGTGTCTACCGTCGTATGTATCATCTTCTGCCAGTGGACGGTTGCTTACTTTCAGCCAGTGAGCAACAAGAACATGATTATAACCGCATCCGTGATGTCACTTGTCATCACAGAACTTGTCATTGTTGTCAGTGAGTATGCGTTTTTGCTTCTCATAAAGTTGTCTACTAATGTGACATCCAAAGTATATGTTATAAAAGCGTAATTTGTGTCGGAAATTATCAAGTAGTAGACCGCTGATGCACCCTTCTTCAGTGTCGGGTTGACGACCTTCACTCAAGTTCCCCAGATCAGGTCATTATCAATGTCTATAAATGCTGTAGCAGCTGCCGGAGATATCCTTATCGCTGCCTTGCTCTGCACATTCCTCCAACGATCTCGCACTGGGTTCCGTCGGTCCGATACCATGATCAATAAGCTCATGCTGTTCACTATCAATACTGGTCTACTTACCAGTGTTTGCGCAATGATGTCCTTTATTTCTGTATGTAAAACATCACAAACGGCTCGTTACTTCGTTTCTGACCCAGATGTGGCACAGATTGTAGTGTGGCCTGATACCTACATTTACATCGCATTCTATTTCTGCGTGGGACGTCGTAAGTGCATCGTAGTCAAATCATGCTATTCACGAGGTTAATGAGATTGTTCTCAGTTTACTGCAATTCCCTGCTCGCAACCCTCAACGCACGCAAGGGTATCCGCCGCGATTCTCATGACGAGCACATGTCGATCTCGCTACATAAAGCTCGGAGACCTATCAACAATCCCATCGGCTCATCGCAAATGGTGAGCTCCACGGATTTGCACAGTATATTTCTCATGTGCAAGCAGGAGATGCCGAACGACCTTGCAATTAGGATAGATACCACGCAAGAATACACTGAAGACGAGGTCAGTTATGTTCCGTACCAGCGCTGTAATTCAATGCTGATTTGTATGTACACAGTTTGCATCTGAAAAGGACTTCAAAAGACCTCAGTCAGTTTAATTGCTATGCGGATGAGAATCACAGAATGCGCCTATCTCATCAGCTATTACTCCTAGAAGAGCAAGCATGCTGTGCCTTTGACAGTGTGCAAATTCATTTGGTTGTATATTCTTCGCATAGACTTAGTATATATTTCATTCCAATTCATTAAAACTAACTCAACACACTCGGCTGTCTTCACTTCTTCACTTATCCATTCAATGCTAGTCACTCACACCAATACATGTAGCTACACAAATAATGCTTTCACAGAATGTATTTAATTCCAACATGTTCGGCCCTTGAAAATGTAGCAGCGAGGGTACAGAGAAGGAGCAATCACATGGATCTCAATATTACCATTGGCGCTTATGCAGAATCGATTTGGCACAACACGATGAAACGCGACCTGACGCGTTTAATTAGTTGACCAATTACCAAAAACGCGCTTGTCACAGAGTGACACGTCACGCATGCCACGGTGTTGAAGCCGTTCTCAGATCACAGCAACAAATAGGCTTAAGCCGGCATCGGCCAACACGCTCGTTGACTGCAAACGCCAACATGTCCGCCATGGACGTAGACCAAATTTCTCCAGATCCATCTCCCGTCAACCCTATAAAACGCGCTCCAGTCACGTACGGAAGGCGTAGGGACCCCCAGCCTGAAATACGCGACTCTTCTGTGACACTCACCGACCGCAGCTCTCCTCATGTAGAATCGAAGCCCTTGGGCGGTAAGGAAAGCGAGTCCACCCATGAATTGGCGCTCGATGTGCTGCAAGGCTCACAATCCTCTTCAACGACTTGTACAAACGATAACGACACGGTCGATGCCACTTCTAAACATCAATTTGGCTGGAGAGCTCAATTGAAAGCGCTAGATGAAGCCTTCGATAATGATCAGGAGCCACTTGCACAGCCTCGAGTTGCTGAACGGTCGTCACTGTCGCCACCCTTTCAACCTCAATCCTTTGCAGACAAACAAATCATTCATGCGGATGCCACGCCTCTTTCTCCAGTACCACAAAATTCCGATGGGTTTTCTGATGGTACACTGTTACCCCCTACAAGCGACCCATCTGCCTCCCCAATTGATGAGTCTCTTGAAGATTCACCGATTATTTCTCGCAAGGTCAGACGTTCGAGGAATTGTGTCGACTCTGATTCTGAGCGCGAAGAGTCCAAAAATTCCTCCTCGGTATCGCCTGTTCACCATCCAATTAACACTCCTTTGCTGCGATCTCCTCCCACGCCTTCGACATCAGAATTAGAAATGCCTTTAACGAGGCCCAAGGCTAATAAAGGCAAGGGGAAGGCACCTGCTCGGGATGTCCCTCCGCTTCGTTTTGAGAATGAATCAGTTTCTACGAGTACCACATTAAAGAAGGGTAGCAAATCCAGGCGGAAGGACGAATCGGCACGCCTCAAAATCAAGGTAGTCTGACCTCTCTCGCACCTATTCCATTTCTCACTCATACGACACATAGGCTCCGACTAAAAAGGACCTGCGCGAAACTGTTTTGGAGAGTTCGCGGATTACTGCGAGCAAGAATGTCCAGGTGGTCCGTACTGAGCAATCAAAGTACACCAAACATCGACTTTTTGAGCTGGTCAAGTGGGTGACACCAGGTTTTTATCCAAGAGAATGCTGCTGACTTTGGCCAAGGGATGAAGCCTTGCGTAAGGAGCAAAAGCAACCTGAGCTCCCCTCAGATCCAATATCTATTTTTTCCTCGCCTTCCGTACTACCCGCTGCTGAACCACGGCAAAAATTCGCGCGAGGCGAATCTTCATTCGGCGTACCTTCACGTTTACTTGGATCTTCTACTATTGTTCATCCCCGTGCACAAACTCCTCCCAGAAATCTGCCACGGCGTGCAACTTCCCAGCCACCGTCAATGGCGTCTGATAGCACTGACGAAGAGATGCCGAATCTTACCGACCTACTGAGGCAAGAGCAAGCCAAACGCAAGGAAGCTGATGACAAACGTGCTCTCGCGGAGTTGAAGCAACGAGCCCTTCAAGACGCAGCTAGGCGGTCATCTAAGGCCGGAGATAGCGATGATGATTTAGAGATTGTTGATAACAGCATGCATGTGACAGCCCAAGAAGAGGCGGCGAAACGCAAAGCCGACAAGTTGCAACATATCACTCCCTCGAAGGGGAAGGCGAGGCAGCTTGCGTTGAGCCGGAAATCCATGCCAGGATCGTCAGGCTCTCGCGCAAAATCTTTTGCACAAGCCAACATGTCCGAGTACCTCAGGGACTCCGCGATGTCGTCATTCGATCGGAAGGGAAGGGGCAGGGACAAAAAGGTCCCACTCACCACACAGCAATTAAACAAAGCGCTCATACAGAAAGCTGAGGCCAGCAAGCTTGCGACAATCCAGCAGCGAGAAGAGGACTGGAAACAAAGAGGAGGCAGGATATTAGAAGAGCCTGTAGAAGCTGGGGAGAACGCATCATTCAGAGACAGGCTTGATGTATATGTGCAGAAGGGGCTTCAAGTGGCAGAGCGCGATGACTCTACTGTTGGCGACATGGAAGTAGACGACACGGACGAGGACGATACGGATTATGCTCCCGAAGAGCGGGGTTCTGCTAGTCCAGAGCCCATGGATACTGATGGCGAGGGCGACAACGATCGGGAGAACCAACCAGGTCTTGTCGATGATGATGCAAACCAACAGACAGACGTTGAAGATGAGGAGCGCCAAGTACACAGGCGCGGTATTCGTCGTCCTCTAATGGTGGCTTCCGACGATGAGGATGATGCTCCTAGAATTCTTGTGCCAGATTCTTCGATGCAAGACTTGACCTCGGACACCATAGTGACACGTAACTCGGAATCAGACCAAACAGAGGACGAGAATGACAAAGAGAACAGTCAAATGTTGATGTACGATAGAAGCGAGGATAAAGAAAACAAGGCTGTCGTTCGACACTCGCCTTCATTCGCGAGACCTACCTTAGGTAGTATACCGGGGTCCCTTGTTGACGTCGATGATGCTGTTCACCTGAGATCATCGTCCTCGACATCGTTGGGAGGTTTCGGTGGTCCCTCTGATTCACCCGAACAAGATTTACAGCGTTCGCCGTTGAAGGAGATTGCTCAAGATGACTCGTTATCGGATTCCCCAAGCTCAAAGTCCCCGTTTACCACCAGACTCCTCCAATCTACGTCAAAACATCCGACATCCCTACCAGGAGAATCGTTTTCCGACATTGAGGACGAGGAGAACATGGTTAAGGGTTTCGAACCCCGCACACTACTACCTTCCTTTTCTGAAACCCTCGGCAAGAGCAGTCCTGCATCCTTTGTACCTCGGGATCCTCTCGCAAACACAGGAGGTTTTTCGCAATTTTTCTCAGATGAAAAGGTTTGCAATCTTCTTCGTTGTAAGTCAGTCTGGAAAATGATGTGTGGTGGTTATTACAGGATGAGGGGCCCAGCTTCAAGGAGGGGAACTGCAATGAGCTCGCTTTGTCACTTGATGTTGGACTGGAGCCTGCACTAGAAGTCAGCAGTACCCTGCGCAGGAAGGCTGACAATATTTTTGAAAAAGAACAGGAGTATGTTATAGAAATCGCAAACGGCGATCAGAAGCAGGATAATAACCCTGAATGGTACATCCGAGAGAACGGGTGAGTCTATCAGAGTGGCATCTAATTCATTCCTAGAAAATTTGTTTGCCCTTAGGTTCTTGACTCAGACATCGGGGCCTAATGCCGAACAATATCGTGTCAAGTCCTTGCAGATGTCACCACTTCTGGCATCTCAAACATTGATGGGTGAATTAATTCCGTCGTCGAGTGAGCGTGCTCCACTCCAAACATTGTCCTTCAAGGCAAGGCAAGAATCACCGGATGTACAACCTCTTTACCGACTGAGGCGGCGCAGTAGCTCGCCATTGGAGAGGAAAACCGCCATGCAAGACGACGGCTCCCTTCTACCTCCTCTACTAATTTCTCAGCTGCCCAAAAGAAATGCGTTTGATGTCTTGGGAGGGCATCCAAATTCCAATGCGCCCAAACGAAAGCTGGAGAAGTCTGAATTCATTGCTGCGGAGGCCGAGGAATCAGACGAAGACGAACTGATTGGCTTCGGGCCTATCCATAAAGACGAGGAGGCAGAGGATGATGATGATGATGACGAGAAAATTGTGGAGGGTCTTGTCGATGATGCGGTCATGAATGCCGAGACAGAAGCGGCCGATTTGGTCCAGGAGAAGTTCAGGTGCGCATTCAAGGTAGACTATTGAGACAGCCAACTGAAACATACATAGAGAGCACGAGGACGAAGATGACAAGAAATTGGAGAAGCTTCACCAGGATGCTATTGATGGTAAATTTAGAATGAAGCGTCGCGACCGTGGTATCGGGTTCGAAGAGGATAGCGACGATGACGAGGAGGACGAGAATAACAGGCGAATACGACGGGGTATGAACAAGAAGCGCAAGATTGATGGTGATACTCTCGAAGATCTAGGCAAGTGGTACAATCGTTAAAACTCCAATTTTGAAGCCGACGTCTCCCTCCATAGGTCGAAACCAAGAAACAAAAGCATTCTATGATGCATATCAGCATGAGTTGATTGATGACGACCTTGAGTTCGTCCATTTGCAAGCAGATACGCGAATGGTCAGCGAAGATGAAGATGAGGAGACGGGGAAAGTGGTAACGACCGAAGATCTGAATGCTGAGCTAAGGGAAGCCGCAAGGAATAGAGAGGTAGGCCGCACAGCGCATTTTCTACCTTTGTTATCACTGATCTTGGGTAGACTTCTGAATCTATGGATCTGGAGGACACATCATGGATCGACGGGGCCGACGAGAAGATCGATCACCATGTTCCTGTCAAAGTGATGGTAGAGCGCTCCAACAATGCACCTGCAAAGCGACCTGCATTGTCCCACACAGACTTTGGTCTAGAGGTCTGTTCTGCGCTCGATGAAATTGAAATTAATTGTAATCTGATAATCTCCTTTCATAGCGCCCAAACCGGACATTGGAGAGTGACCAAGAGAAAACAAAGTTGCGTTCATGGGCAAGAGGTCAAGGCGGCGGCAACCAGGGGACTGGTCGGTCTGTTGTCGGTGCAGCCATTACAGGACACGCCAAGGCCAAAGTTAAGACGGGCGGCGGTTCCTTGAGAACAACCCAAGTGGCCACCGGAAGTAATTCTGTCTCAAGCGCACCTGTTCCTCGCCGACTGGAGAAGGGGCGAAGTATGCTCTCCAGTGTATCCGATAGGAGTAATCGATTTGCGTAGTATCTGGCGTTAGCATCTTGATTCATGTTCAATCCTATGCCATCACCATTGTTGTTCCGCCAAAGGTCTATTCTGTACATTTATTTTCCACCTGTAATAACATCACTGCAAAGTAAAGATGCAACAAAGAACACGTATGTTGACAAAGCAAAAGTGTGGATGGAAGGCGAAGAGAGGCATGTACACCCAGAAAAAGATGAACAAGGTAGATATCTAAGATGGGTATCGCGGAGATATAAATAACGGGCGATAAGGCTCTACGAGACTCGGCCCAGACATTAGAAGTGTGAAATGATTGAAGATGCTTGTAATTTAGTGATATTGATGTCCAAAATTTCTTCCAAAACGAACCCAGGATGCGCGCGGGCGAGTGGGTTGGATGAGTGCGATATTTCGTGATTGGCGTGAGAGCGTCGGGGATCTACGTTTGCGTGTACCCGTCTGAATCTTTTTTGAAAGGATGAGTTGGCGAAAAGCAAAGGTAAACTGAATATATTCACTTTATGCCTCAACATGATAAGTTTGGCCATGCACGCTGGAGGTCCTGATTCCTTGAATGGATTACCTGGAAACATTTGAAAAGGCAGCTGATAACAACTCAAGAACAGAACTTACGGGACGCGACGAGAGCTAAACCTGACTCGTGGGCATCAAGGAGGTCGTCACCAGCCATGATAGACCTTCTGACTACAGGTGAAAATAGACATAGCAGGATAATAGCGGAGAGAAAGGTGACGAGAAACATGGAAAACATGGCCCTAATATTTAATGGGAGGCTGGAAAGCTGCGCTGAGCACCAGCAGGGGCTGCACGAGCGTCACACGTCGTGAAAGACGGCGGGAGGGAAATAATAGAAGACGGTTGGGGGATAACAACCAGAGACTTGTTAAAGGCTTCGATCGACTAAAGTTGCTCAGAGAACATAATGCTTAGTCATCAAAGGGACGTACAAATCGCTATTATGATGCCGGCATATTTGGTCACCATGATAAATTTGTGATCAATAAGAAGTGCTTCAAGTTCTCAGTGTGCGACATGGCCGAGCTGTTGTCAACGGCCACAATCACAGCGACGGGCCTTCTTTGTAAAGCATTTCTCAACTCAGGGCTTTGCTCCATCACCGTTAGCAACCTCCATATTCTTCTGGATGCTCTACGGAACGACGAGAGGCGGCGACATGGACAGGGCGTAGTAACAGGTGTGTCTCGTAATTCGTCTTGGTCAACGCCCACTCATCCACGTTTAGTTGCGAATCATATTTCCACGTCCGTCTTTCGAACTTCTCACGCAAACGTCCATACTGAGAGTTAAGCCTGGACTGCCACAGACTAGACGATCCACTTGCGTGGGGAACGCTCCCAATAGAACTCTACTTGAAGTCCAATACAACACGGTGGTCGCTTGGCGCATCGGAGATAATGTTCACCAACCCGTATGTTGTACGGAGATAGTCGGAATGTAGGCGACTGAATGTAAGCTTCGGCCAGGAAGTCTGTTCTCCGCTTTCTTTCGTAAGGGCCAGGTCTTGGAGACGTTTCGCGGAAAAGGAATCTTCCAACCTTCCGTAGATATTGCCATCAAACGACTTAATGAAGGGCATTGGGTGGGTGCCAGGCAACCTGACTTCTTCTGTGCCCGCATTAACAAATCTCAGGTGCATCTTTTTGGAGAGGGAAAAATCAACCAACCACCCGACTATCCGCGGACAAACGGTGTCGCTCGCTTGCCGCGGTTCAAATGGGGAGTGTAAGTCACTCTTTTCACTCCTTTGAATATTCAGTCATCACACTTGAAACGCTCAGCGGCCGAATCCTGATGGAAACTGCAGTTCCCCCTCTCATCATACCGATGTGGCTCACTGGTGTGGCATCTGGAACCACTAGTGCGCCGTCTTCTCTAACGTGATGTTAGGTTTCGACAAATTGATGCCCGAACACCGCTCGTTCCCTTACAAGTACTTTCCAAGATTAGGTGTCAGACTTGGCGTGGCGTTTGGCGATCCAATACCGGTTGAAGAAATAACAGCTGCGTTGAGTGCGCGCTCGTACGTGCCACTTGTCACGGAAGATGGTACGAATTCGAAACTTAGCAATGAGCTTTACCCGGGCGGCTGCGTTGGTCGGACAGCACACAAACGACATATGGACGTGGCCCGGAGCGATGTAACTGCGACCATCCAACGAGCGGTGGAAGCTTTGGGTAGACGAGTTTCTGGGGACCTTCTCAACGACTTTCGTTCATAGTTCAAGGGAGGCTATTAATTTACGCAACAACCATGTGTATCGTAAAGACTGTCGACCCACGGATATACACTCTGATTTTACAATGGCATGTAAGGCGTGATTTGCATAAGACAATGTATGAGCGAAGAATGTAGGTATGGGTTTGAAACGTGGATTTTAAGAATCTGTGGCAGGTTGTCCTGGACAAAGTAGCAAACTGCTTACATCAGATTCTCCCGTGTAGTACCAAGTACAAAGCACCTAAACACAGTTGACTAGATTGAACTTCTGCTACTTGGAGTGGAGAAAGACTCACCATCATAGCATAAAATGACAACAAAATAAATCCCTCTGCCCAGTTTGTTTTACTGTCGGCAGTTACGAAATTGACAAGGAAGCAGGCACCTAGGAGTAGTGCGACTTCAAAGAAATCTGACGGGCTCTTCAGCTTTGGTGGGAATAGCATCATACTCGTCAGTAACGCACCAAATAGCAAGTTAAAAGGCTTTCCGGTGCACCACCCAAGCAGAGTTAGGAGCGGCATCCAGAGCAAGACGAACTGAATGCTCAAGTCAATAGCTTCAGCTTTGGCCAGAGGATTGGGTGGATCAGGATCCTCAGTCTTAAACCATAGTCGGCGAACAGCCTTCTGCAAATAGTAGCCTGCTGCAACAGCTCCATCCGCTGAGAAGGAAACGAAGGGTATAAGGACCAAGCCGAACCACTCCGACGTGATGTTGGAAACATGCCTCACAGGCTCGATGCTATCCACCAACTACTGAAGGTCAATGAATGTAGACCTAGTCGTTCGACGACACTTACCCACTCCGAGGTCACAGCCACAACCGCAATGTTAACAATCAGAGCGCAGATGCAGACCCATTGGTTAACCTCAGGCTCCTCTTTCTCTAGTTTTGCTTCATAAGCCTTGAGCTGGGCGGGTGTCAAAGCATGGGTCAACGAGTTGTTTCCAGCACCAGGAGGGTTGTGATAGAAAATCCGCGAACAGATGTATCTGACAGCAGGCTTTGTCACAAGTCTGATGCAAGAGAAAGAAAGGAGCCTACATAAGAAGGAGTAACACTGCAAGTCCTCTGCTCATGTTCAAGAAGTCGGTTTGGGTGCTACTACCAAGGTCTGGGAGCTCGCCGTTGGCCGATATCCCAGTGGAAGTACTACCACTTATAGCCGCATAGAATGAAGCCGGCAACAACAGGGCCAACACCCTGTGCATGTAAGAAGTTGTCCTCATAACTCCAGATGATAAGAAAACGTACCCAACAGTAAGCAAGGTATGGTTGAGTTGTGTGTGGGCAGGATGCAGGTCCTGTTCCCATATTCGAGCACCGCCTGTCAAAAAAGCGGCTCCAGGAACAAGAAGGAGGTGCAATAGGATCACACCTGCAAGATAATGTAATTTGTCAATAGTGTGAAATAAAACTGATGTGTTCGAAGCTTACCAGTGATGGTCGACTGAAGTAGCTTGAGCCTTGTAAAGTATGTTTGCATCACGCCGATGATTGCATGTTAGCTAACGGATTACTTACTCGCACTTGAGCAGGAGTATGATAGCGAGGGTCACCTCGACCGTGCTGCAATTATTTAGGCTATGAACATGGGATGAATGAAAGAGAGGTTCGTCTTACTTGTTCAAAGTGATCGTGATCAAGTCGCCAAGATCCTTGCCGCAATACAAAGCCATCTGTTCACCGCAGTAGTCGAACAAGCACTCGTGTGGTATAATTGTCAAGAAACAAACTACACAAGAAAATGAGCGCTGCTGATGAAACAATCGGCAGACGACATACGTGAAAAGACAGCAGTATGATAATCGACCATATTTTCGTCAAAATGCGCCCACCATGCTACAGGCGTCAAGAGGAGTAGTATATTGAGCCCTGTGAAAACAATGAGATACTCGACCACATCGCACGGGCGGCGGAGACGCACATGAACATCCATATATTTTCTTAATGCTCTGTATCACGCCGACAGGCTTCTTGCCTCGGCGAAGGAAACGGTCGCAGGTGGTTTTGAATCTCGGTTTCAGAGGTTCGCCAGTCTCGGGATCCCGAAGATTCACTGAATCGAGTTCTTTGGCCGAGAGCGGATTGGGCGAGTGTTGCACACTACATTCCTGAGAGATGATTTGACTGCCTGAGATGCTGGTGTTTTGTCGAGTATGGGTAGCCCTACGTTCTGCCATGGACTAAGGGATAGGGAATTTGGCTAGGGTGTGATCCTGGTAACTTATTATTATACAGGGCACGCGTTGTGACATACTAGTAGACGTGAAGCTCGGAGTCGAGAGACACCGGGGAACATGGGCTTGGCGCGATCGATCATTGGGTAACGGTTACATGATATGCGGTGTCCACTCGGCTCACATCACTCAAATTGAAAGTGGACCGCTGGGACAGTCACGATTAACAGCCCTATAGTCACCTGCAAAGAGCTGTAAACCCTGTCGCAATATCAGTGAACTTGTTCGCCATCCTAGATTATGTCCGAATCATACCGTAACTTCTGTCCGGGGCCTGCAGGGATGCGTGGGTAGCGGGAAGCTAAGTAGTTGCGTTATCCAGGTTCCAGGCTGTGCCACGCCACTGTTCGGGTCTATTACGGAATCGGAAATAGTTCTGGGCCTACTTACTAGTAAGCTACTATGGAGAGACTTGAGCTCAGGACTAGTACTGACACACCGTAACGTTCTGAGTCAAAAGGAACTCCAGCGATACGTATATTTATCAGTTACTCAGTACTCAAATTTCCAGTCCATCACGGTGCTATGCTGTCTCGAATCAATGATATTTTTGAACTCCGGTCAGAAATGATGGGCATGATGCGGCATATCCACATAGCCATGATATCTTTTCCAGGCTGTAAGTGATACTTACTTCTGTATATGCAGAGGCAACCGCAACGCATCGCGATTGGTTGTGCTGTCAATATACAGGATCCGTTGGAGGTATGAAATCGCTACCACTTTTCGCTGCTATGCTACTGTGACCTTCCTGCTCGCATCTGCTAATGCCCTCATTGTCACCTACCGCAACTAGTCCATACTCGTCACATCGCTGTACATCACGGACACAAAATCTGCAGCTACAAGGTCAACCCCACTGATGTCTACTGGGAAATCAAAATTCCGCCTGTGAAAGTTTCAACCCAAGTTTGAGCTGGTCTCTCGGAGCTACGCCTCTCCGACATGTGACAGGACCAGCTTGTTAGGATGTCACTCAATCAGATGAGGTTGCTAACTTTATAGCGGCTGTGGCGATGTGTCACGCGCAATCTACGGTTGCTTCCATATACACAGGGGTACAGGCTAGCCAAGAGATCAGAAGACAGTTGTTCTTTCTGGTCCAAGGAGGCGTACACATGCATACTCCAGAAGTGTGTGAACTACTGAGGTTGACTGAAATACCAACCTTCCACCTTCTCGAAGTCACCGGCGGCCACGCGGAAAGTTATTCGCAAGATGTAGGAAGGAATGCGTAGTCAACGGTGTCCATGACTTGACATCGGAACACGCCGTACCACGTGTTTAGGCTTCAGGGGGCCTGGATTGCCGTGCACCACGCATCCTAATGAAAAACACGCTCGATTGCTGCTGCGCTGCTCATCTTGTGCACCTGGAAGAACCGAATTCCAGTTTGGTCCTACTTGCTACAAACATGAAGTGAAATCTTCGTCCATCTTATTCTCCAAACTGCTTTCAGAGCTGCAACACACGAGAAGTCAACTATCGTCCAAGGCTATGTGTAAGACACGGAGGAAAACAGAGGCGTCCGATTGGTCGAATGTTGCCCATCCACATATATTCTAGGCTTGACCACGCGTACCATGGGAACTTGAGGGGGCGTCAAGCACGTTGGAGAAGCCATACAACATCATGACTGGTCTACCTTCCTGTTGAGCTTGTTTCACAGAGAATGCAAAGGATAGGGGAAGTTTTCGAGCATCTTCGAAGTAAGTGAATTCCATAGTTTCATCGATCGTGTCTTGATGGAACGCATAGATTTTATCAGTCGAGCTTCCGTGTCAATGCACAGTCGAATTATCAGAGCACTGCCATCAAGATACGGCTCCGTTCCCGCTGTTCCAAAAGTCACGCTGATAAGTCGATGATGGCGCCATCTTTAGATTTGTTTCAGACGCATTTCGCCCTTCCATATGCTTTGCTATAGCATTCGTATAAGTACGGTCACAGAAGAAATGTAAGCTCGTGCTTGCCTCCAGAGTCCAGACGATCCCGCATATGCTTGATATGTTCAAGTTCAGTGCTTACGGTATGATCTCTTTTTCGATGTAATCCACAAAACTAAACTAAATATGAGCATGAACAGGTCAAACAAATGTTGTGTAGATCCGAAGAGTATGCAGACCGACATTTTTGGGAGTTACGGAATTCGTATGTCATGATGACGACGCAGATCGGTTTATAGATTGATCGCAAGCTTGCGATACCCGGAAAGGTGGGTGCGTCATATCGTGGAAGGCGGGGGCGGCATATTGTAAGAGATGGAGCACAACTGTTTAGATCGACCTTTTTAGCATCCATTTGATCATGCAGTCTAAGTGTGTTTCAAGTCTGTGCCTATGGCATGCGAGAAACACGCGAGACGGATGAAACAAAGTCCGAGCTCAAGATATGAGTGTACTATGTAACCGGAAATGAAACGAAAGATGGCATGCATAACTACGATATTCGCTTTAGATGACAATAGTAAGTACTAGGGTAAATTGGATTGTTTGATCCCAAAGGTGTTGACCAATAGACCACAACAACCTTCAACAATACTATTATGGCTCTTGTACAAGTCTGAAAGGAAGTCTTATACCGCGTTGTTCCTTCCATACCCAGTTCGATACGCTGGGCCATGGATGTTGTTACAAAGGTGGAAAACTGGATCGCTAATTGGAGCAAAGAGGGAGAGTCAGAACTGTGCGTAGCTGTTTGCTTATTTTTTTGTGGCGCTCAACCTGACGCCCTTGATTCGCAAGTCGAAATTTCCTCATTTCACCTCACTCAAATCCTTCCGACTCTATTTGCGCAGAGGCTCTCACGACTGCTTACCATGCCCTTCTTTTGTCTGTCCTCACAACCTGCCAGCCCCAGCAGAGTCCCTTAAATGCGCAGGCTCTCGTAGCCTTTATCCAGTCTGTCCTCCTTGCACTTCCGTCCTCCTCCTCTGCGCGTGCGGGTCCACCCGTGCAGAGTATTGTATTCGGAGAGATTCTTGTGGATGTTTTGTGGTCTACAGACGCTCAACTGGACGAGTTCCTGTCAGACGCGAAGTCTACTTTAGTGAACTCTGAGCAAGCTTCTGGAGGCCAACAAATAAAGGACACCCCGAATAAAGACACTACAGATGTTGCAGAAAATGCAGCTCAACTGAGGCATTTCGTTGAGCAAGACAAGGAAACGTTAAGCGAGCTCGTCAAAAGACTTCTGGTAAGTACCCGTATATAATCCTACAGCATCCTGAATTTATCAACAAACAGTTCACTGGCATTGTTGATCTCGCCGTATGTCGAGAGCGCCTTGACTTAACTCTTCTTGCCAGTGCTGGTCTAGTTTCGGATAGAATGTCATTTGACAAGAAGGAAATACGCACTCGCACTGGACTTTTGTGAGTCGCATGTAAACATTGAATCATAATGTCATCTAATTTTCGTGCACGTAGCTATAAGCAGAACAAGTTCAACCTTCTACGTGAACAGTCTGAAGGCTACAGCAAGCTTTCGGTGGAGCTCACGAGTTCCTTGGGTCCTGCACACTCACATGCTGATGCTAGGCCGGTAGAAAGCTATGCCTCTATCGAAGACCGTGCGCGGCAAGTTTGGGAAAAGGTTATAAGCCTTATTGGTTATTTCGACCTCGACCCAAATCGCGCCTTGGATATTACCTTGGATGTATTATCGGTCAACGTGGCAACTCATTACACGTTTTTCTTGGCATTACTCTCATTTTCTCCATGGACTGGACTGTATAGGCGTCCTACAACGTCCACTGCTAGCCATATGGCTGTCGATCCCGTTACCGGGGACAAGAGCCTGGATGAAGTGTTGCAAGTCACCGAAGCAAATGCTGGCGATCAGTCGACACCACCTCTAGAAAATGATAGCGGCACGGAGTCTCGAGTGCTAGCACAGGTGCTTGGTTTCAAATTCTCTCATTACCAGGTCAGTTTTTTCGAGATGAATTGGTGCTTGCAATTCACTCTTCGTACAGTCATCAGAGACCCATGATTCACCCCTGAGGAACCTCTATCTAACTGCTGCCATCTTAATCAGGGAGGGTTTTATTACCGTAGAAGATCTTTACCCCCATGTGAGGACACGTCTCTGTCGAATGCCCGTTGACTTCCTGACAATGCAACAACAGCTTACTCCAAGGGATGTGGACATTGAAACATATCACAAGGATTATCTTGCCCAGGTTCAACAGCGCATTTCTGAAGCCAAGATTAGCCAGCTCGCCATGGCAGCTCCTTTGGAGTCATCTAGCTCAAGTTCGCAGCCTCGTGTAGAACCGACGGAAGTTAAGAAGAGCGCCATCGAGTCCAAACCTCCTAACCAAATCGCTGGGCTGGTCAACGGCCTTCTCTCTGTAGGAGCTTTACGCCCGGCGATCGCTATTCTGACGAGGATTCCTTGGCTTGTTGACGCTCACCCCGAGTTGGCCGATCTAATTTTGAGGGCTTTGAAGTATTCTATCGCTCCTCTGTATGATGCAACATTCGTCCTCAAAGAACGCAATCCGAGTTTTACACAACCTCGCACACGGTTCAGCGCTACTGGAACATTGGCTGTTCCAGTTCGTAAATATCAGCTATCATTAATAGCTCCCACTCCTCCCAGCACAGCATCAGTCGATTTCGTATTTTTCTTTCCTGACTGGACCCAACGCATCCCACTTTGCACTTCCTTCGACGACATGGTAAATGTGATTGAGCCTTTGATGAGTTTCATTGGGCTGCACGTATCGCGCGACGCCTTGTTTGTCACGAAGATTACGAGGTTGGGGCGCTCACAGCTGTTATCCACTGTAAGTCACTAGTTTACTCGTCTAACTGGTTTTAACTCGAACAATCATAGATTCCCTTAGATCCAATTTCCAGAAAACCGTCAGGCGAACCCGACGTGAATAATCCCGTTCGACAGTTTTGGTTCAAGCTTCTGCGGCTGTACTTTCTTCCTGCGCTCCCTCTCATTCGAGGCAATGCAGTCTGTACCGTTGACATTTGGAACGTCATTCGACAGTACGAGACGACTGCAAGATGGAGACTATATGGAGAATGGAAATCCGGCTACATATCTCATCCTGAACTTCGCATCCGACAAGTGCAAGCTGACCGTGAAAGCAAAGGCATTTTGCGACGTCTTTCACATAACACAATCGAGACGCTGTCTGGAACAGTGGCGAAACTGGCTCATTCGAATCCTTGTATCTTCTTCATGAACGCCGTCAACCAGATCATGGCATACGACAATCTTGCCAATGTCGTTATACAAGCATTGCGATATGTCACCAATATGGGATTCGATGTGCTCGTGTATATCATCCTTGAGGCTCTATCAAATCCCAATAAGAACCGTGTCAAGGATGATGGAGTCAACACTTCCGACTGGCTTCAAAGTTTGTTCTGTTTTGCTCCTTTGTTTTTGCCGTCCTTAGCATTTGTTTTAGGTCTGGCGTCTTTCACTGGCATGCTTTTCCGGCGATACAGTGCTGACCTGTCGCCTTTGTTGAAATACGTGGTTCACCAGTTGTATAATGGCCAGACGACAGAGATTGTCGTACTGCGGGAGCTGATTTGGAAGATGGCAGGCATCGAACCTCTTCCAAGCCTTTCGGATTCGCAAATCGCTGCGATGGCCGGAGGACCTGCTCTGAGAATTGAAGCCGTTGCCTCAACGACTCGTGGCGCTCGCCTTGATCCAGGTGACGCTGTCCTCAAAGGCCCACAACGGCTCGGAAAGACCATGTTAGAGACGAATCTAGCACTACCTCTCCTTATCCAAGTGGCACAGCAGAGACAGTCCTGTGTTTTCAAAGCTCCTGATGCTCACTTGAAATCCCTTGCCAGTTTGTTTGATACTGTAAGTCAAATCGCGTCATATGCTGTACGTGCTCTCATCATTGCTCTAGACTCATGGTGTCCTGTTGCAATATTTGGATCTGCTTACCTCGCCAGCCGTAATCTTGCCCAAAGACTATGCAACGCGAATCCTGCCTAGCCTTGCAGATCTTGGAGAGTTGTATGGGATAGCGCCTCCTATCTGCATGCAAATCATACGACCTATGCTGAATGCTACGATACTGGTGAGACATACAATCACTTTTAGCATACGCGACAACTGAGTAATGTTGTAGAGTGCTGCCCAAGAAAAGGAACGACTTGCTAATGAGGAGGCGGAAAAGAGACTGAAAGCACGTCTTTCTGCGGCAAAGCGCGAGCCCACCACCCCTAGGGTGGATTCACCTACTGGAATCAATGGAGCCAGCACTCCACGAGACACTGGTGATCAGAAGTTGGCAGCTGACAGTGTGGCAGAAGATGCAGTGATGGATGTCGAAGTGACTACAGCAACTTCAGCTCCGTCTGAGGTAAGCCACACTTAAAATAAGATAATAACGTTTACAAGCTTATCTTTGCAGAGCCCGTGGATACCGGATCTAGAAGCTCTTTTCGACGATGTTAAGCAGATTGCCAAGAACAGTGCTCTTGATGTGATTGGGTAAGTTATGCTTCTGGCGAGGTACCTGTGGTATTCAAAACTTTACAGGCCCGGTTTCTACTTAACTTTCTGGCAACTTTCCATGTATGATCTCGCGCCTCCGGCAGCCCGGTATGACGAGGAGTGCGCTGCTTTACGGACACTGAGCCGTCAAGAGGACTCCAAGTACATAGCAGCTGACCGTTCTGCTGACAGAACGAAAAGGCTGTCAGCGGGCTCCCATCGGGCTAAACGAGACAGATATAATGCTTTTGTGAACACGCTTGCTCAAGAGTTCAAAGAACAAACTGCTTCGAGAGTGTTCACGATGAAACGACTTGCCCGAGAGAAGCACCATTGGTTCGCCCACAGTAAGACTCCTTCAGTCACATCTATCTTAATTTCTGACATCATTCTAGCCGAACATCGCTCATCGGTATTGGCTTCTGCAATCATCGAGCATTGCATTCAACCGCGATGCCTCCTATCGCCTATGGATTCAGACTTTTGTGCACAATTCATCAAAGTCATGCACACACAAGGGACTCCAGGGTTCCCTACTCTCGTGGTATATGACAAGGTATGTCCCTTTTGCTCTGTAATCTACCGCATATTTAGGAGTGTTGTTAGTTGCTCGGGGACCATGTGAAGGCGGTTGTCTTTTCCTGCAGCGAATACGAAGCCAAGAACTATGGTGAGTCGTCTACATCTTGCGATCGTGGCTATCAGTAACCGTAGTCTCCAGGGCGCTTTTTACTGGGGATATTGACGGATCTCTGGAAGTGGGCTCAAGATGAGCAGCTCTTTTTGTTCGAGAATCGCACGAAAGTTGGCGGAAAGACTATTCTGCTTCCGGGTTTCCAGCATAGATGGTCAAGTAAAGACCATGCGAGTATTGTTCCAGATGACCTTCTGTCATGGACCGGGTTCAAGCAGATTCTCCGTAAATGGCATCGAAAACTGGGACGGGTATGTTTTTAGCAGTTTTCTGATGATCAAGCTAACATCCATGCTTTTAAACAGAGTCTTTTGAGCTGTATTGAGACAACGGAATTCATGCACGTCTACAACGCTATCATCGTGTTGAAAGAGATCCTTCCCGTTTTCCCTCTTGCTGCAGTGGGCGACGCCGGACCTGCCATCGACAACGTAATGGAGAAGTTCCTGGAAAAGGAAGAACGTGGTGATCTCAAGATTCTAGGCCGAGCGTAAGCCTGTTACTCCAGGTGTCTGGAACAACACTCATGATTAACAGTTATTCCGCGAGTCTGAAAAAACGAGAGCCGTTCTGGGCAGTGCCAAAGCCAATTACAAGCAAGGTAGTATTCACCTGTTGCAGAGAAGGACCTTTTTTAACGTTCTATCTACATAGTCTAATGGAGATCCTATGTCGCCGAAGCCAACAAATTCACTAGGTATTCTTCCTGAGAGGCAAGCTCGTACACCGGCTCCTCCTAACGGTGCTGCAACGCCGGCGGCAGATCGGGTTAGCACTCCAGTTCCCCTCCTTCGTACCAATGGAACGGCCCCACAAGTTGATCGACCCTCCACACCAGCAACGTCCACCAGGTTAGCCATTGACAGGCATGTACAGGTTTCCATGTTATTGTACCAGTTACTCATCGCCTGTGTAGCATTCCACGGCCAGAGAAAGTGAGACGAGTACGACCTGAGAAGGGTAGCGAATCACCGGCTCCCGATGGTGATGCCAAGGGTGTTGCAAAGTTTGACGTGATGGATGTCGACGCACCTCCGAAGGAACTGAAAGCAACGCAAGCTCCAACCCTCGAACACATCCTTCGCCCTACCCCTCGTCTCCACCCAAGTTCCTCCCAAAATGCCCTTCCGTCTACTCCGACCACTAATCCTAAAGATGCACCCAAAGTTCAGCGGCCATCGCCGTCGAGTTCTACCCCAAATGCGTGGGAAACCCCACACTCACCACGCCCTAGAACTGACGAGAAGCAGACACAACCGTCCCCAAGCGAGGCTATGCCACCACCGTCTGCTCCAAGCCAGACGATCTCGGCGCAAGAACTGCGCGAGACTGCCAAACAGAGTATTGGCAATCGCCCACCAGATCGGGCCGATGATAAGCGATCTCAGCCCGGCTCTGGTGCCCCATCCCCAATTTCTCGCCGCCGCACTCCTTCTCCTCCACCTCGTCCTGGTACAAGAACTCACAGCATGGAGAGCCGCGCCAGTGGCCGACGTTCTGACCGTGGAAGTGGCGATGGTGATCGTCCTGATGACAGGCCATCTGACCGTGAGGCTCGGGTGGAGCCTCGTGCACCTACAGGGCGTAAAGACGCTGCCACACACCCCCGAAGTGATAGAGGCACCCGAGAGCGAACATCTACGCGAGACAGTGATCGAGACAGAGAGAGTGAAAGAGACAGAGACTCTCGGCGGGACAGACATAGTGAAAGGGAGCGTGACAGAGACAGAGAGAAGGAGCGGGATCGAGACAGGGAAAGAGACAGGGAGAGGGATAAAGACAAAGATCGCGATCGTCGTGACCGAGACAGAGAACGTGATAGGGATCGCGACCGTGATCGCGACCGTCACCGCCGAGATGAGAAGGATCGTGACAGGGATTCAAGGAAAGATCGCGAGGTTTCCGGTCGTGGTCCTCCTTCTACCGCAGCTTCTGCTACCCTGGACACTCGTAACTTACCCACTCGTCCCGATCCCACAAGGCATAGTAGCAGGGCACAAGTTGGCGATGATGCACTCGGCAAGAGAAGACGTCCCATTGATGACGAGGTACTAATCTTACACTATTCACTGTCATGAGAGTGCTTAACATTTGACAGGCTGACCGTAATACCAAGAGGAGCTCCCGTAAAGAGGGACATCGTGAAGATCGCACTCGCAGGTCAGAGAAGGAGAGTCACGATCGACCTCGGGAATCCGATCGGCGTCGAGAACGAGAAGCACCTGAGGCTGAACCACGCCACCCTCTATCTGAACGAGTACGTCGCTTTCGTACTTTCCATCATCATGTGGCTCACGGTATGGCCTTAGCCTAGCGAGAAGCGATTGCCAGAGGGTCCTAGAAATTTACCTCCTAGTACACCTTCTGCACCACGGGCGATGGCATCTGGGGATGCGTCCAGAACCAAACCTGATATTACTCCTAGCCGAAGTGGTGGGGACTGGAAGGGCCCGCGTGACCATGGCTCACACACGTTCCCGGCCTCCACCAGTGGCGGGCTGAGCCAGGACGTGGCTCCAAGTTTACGTTCGCGCATTGGCGACAAAGAACCTCCCCGCACGGCTCCTCAAGCACCGTATCGCTCTGAAGCTCCGCATAAGGACGATGACCGCGATAACAGAAAACGAACTCTAGCAGGTATGCTATCATAAATTCAACGTATTCATGACTCACTCTAACGAAGATCGCGATAAAGATGTCGGCGAGGCCACCATCTCTGCTGCAGGAGAACTCTCGTTACAGCCTCAGAAGCGGCCACGGATCAATCGTAATCGGTACAATCCCCATGCCCTCCAGACTCATGGTTTAGCCAAAAGGACCTTGCCTATAGATCCACAGGCTGGGGATAAGTCTCGATCCACACGTTAGTTTGATTCCAGTTTTCCCTGCTATTTGAGTTCTGCAGTATATATCGTTACATTAGTACATTGTGCACAAATGAATCTGACTGATGAGGCTCCACTCTACACAAGTCATGAAAATTATTATATGGTATGTAGCTGTGGTGAATGAGTGACTACGAGTTGAATCGATGATATCCCGAGTTGAATCGCGGTAGGTGGCCAATAGCTGTGGTCATCTTTTAATCAAGGTGAGGAATTCCTCCCGAGTCTTTTGTTGAGTTCGGAAACAGCCCAGCATGCAGGAAGTGACAGTAATGGAACCTGGTTTCTGTACACCGCGCATGGTCATGCACATATGGCTAGATAGAACCGAAACAGTAAGCATAGAAATGACAAGCGTCGTAAACACTTACGTTGCTTCCATAACGACTGCCACTCCGCGGGGCTTAATTGCCTCCTGAACGGCGATAGCAATCTGTTTAGTTAATCGCTCTTGAACCTGCAGACGACGACTGAAAGTTTCGGCAATGCGCGCAAGCTTAGAAAGTCCAAGGACTAGCTGATTTGGGATGTACGCGATAGCGACCTATGGAAAATTCCGAGCATGATTTATGAATGTCAGTGGCACGCGTAATATCGGAGGCCACATACTTTTCCTGTAAAAGGAACCAAGTGATGTTCACAAAGGCTGGAAATATCGATTTCACGGACTAGAACCATCTCATCGTGATCCTCTGCGAACACCGCATCGTTGATTACATCTAGTAAGGCGGAAATGAGATAATAAGTACGCCGGGATTAGATCATAGATAAGGCGTGTTTCACCTGCTAGTCGCTCTTCGTATCCCCGAGTCATCCACATCATAGCCTGAGCGAACCTCTCCGGCGTCTTCAACAAGCCTTCCCGGTTGGGGTCCTCTCCGATACATTCAAGAATAGTCCGTACTGCAGAGACCATCATTTTCTCACGCGCAGCGCGGTCTGGTGTGGTCTCGTTCAAACGAGACACGGTGGATTTTGCTGTCATAAGAATGAGTATCATTGAGATGCCATTCAAGTATCATTGAGACGTACCAGGCCATCCAAGACCATTTGGGTCAGGAAGTGCGCGGTTTCCCTCGATAGCACGAGTGGGCACAGTGAGAGGCGTCGAAGTACCTGAAACCTGTCGAAAGCCATAACCTTCTCGGACTTGGGGAGGACTGGGAGGTGAGGCATGGGCTGATGAAGATGCCAAAAGAGGCTCGTTATCTGGAGCAGGGTCATTCTTAGATTGCGGGTCCCCGCCGTCATGGTAATTCGACCCGAGATTCGTTTCGGACTGCTGGAGTTCTAGTTGTCGTAAACCATTTGACAAGAGCTCAACGTGAGACGTCATTTGAACCGAATTCAGGGATGTTTAGTCTAAGGCCTGCTCAACGCAAAGAAAAAGAAACTACGAGTGAATCCTTATCGCGTAGCGAAAAGAACTGAGCCGTAGTGTCAATACAGCTGCCAACTTGCCGGTTAATTGAGTTCAGTACTCAGTGCGAACGTACCCGGTAAATTTGGCGAATGTTGTCACAGGACCCCGACTGCTGCCCGTGACACATGTCTGCACGTTTACTTCCGAGGCGCAAGCTCTCAGTGTCGGGTGACACAGCGCACTTAAGTCCGACGTATGTTTGCAAGGCGGTCCGTGATCTAACTAAAAATTGATGTAGATAGATGCCGAATCCGGACGACAAGGGAAGGAAGGTCATATATTCTTCAGGCAAGTCACAAACGGCCCTTGGGCCCAGTACTAGTGTACCTCGACATTCAAAGATGCGTCTAGAGAAAATAAAACCCAATCTGGCACTTCAGTAGGACCAAGCCGCGGACGTTTGATAGGCAACTTTTTGTTCTGTATGTAAGTCCGTAAAACGTCGATTTTATATCGACATACAGGTGGGAAGCTCTTGGGCGGTGGCAGTACGAAAAATTGTCTTCGTAAATGCATCGTCCCGAAAGAAGTGGGGTGGCAGGCCTGCCTAGACACGTCAGTGAGAGACAAGCGAACGTAGAAATAAAGCAAATCACCTGGATAAGCATTCGTATGCTCAGGCTAGTGAAACAACGAACGCGCTGTCATGTCGGGTACCTTTGATCAGAAACATCAGACCGCTGCCAATAAGTCTTCTTTTGTGTGGGCGCTTGACCAAGATAGCAGCCCTGAGAGCACCGCATGATAAGTTGATAACATCGTCATAGCTAGAGGATAGTTTTGTGATGGGCATGAATTACGAGTCGCTGAGACACGTACAGTGATATCAAGACGTGGCATGAGTGATGCTTGTGGTTCCCCAAGAGATGGACTCATCGGAAGCGGGAGTTGTAGCACCTGTGGGCTCGGCGGGTTCAAGTGGATTGAATTGGCCACGTCGCCTGTGGATGAGAAATTGAAGCGAGAATCAAAAGACGTGTTCGATTTCATATGAGTGGATACTTGTTATAGTTACCGTTGAGCACATTCTTTAATTTTGAGTGACATCCCAGCGGCCTTAGATCTCGCAGTAATCATCTATGAACGTACCTCCTGATGGTGACCGTCATTGGGAGAGCCACTAATACATAACATACATGTGCCCGTGGCACGGGTTTTCGGGCGGCGTGGAGTCGGGGTCCTCAGTCAGTGGTTGTCACCCAAAAACGGCTATTTGAAAGGATTCATGGCTTGGTTTAGCCGCAGCAGCAAGGCTCACTGAGCAACCCGGAGGTGTCCCATATTCCGAGTCCTCCAAGTTGCCGTTACTAGTAAGTTTAGGTCGGGGATGAGGCCTAGGCACTTGGCACTCGCGTTCTGTCACGTCCCTTTATTGCCGTGTAAGTTTTCTTATTCGCTCCTCCTGAATGCTCACGGAATGATTTCTGCCACCCTAAATCGTTCTTATAAAGTTTCATAAACCTTACTTATGTCTTCTGTTTTGTTCTCACTAGTTTCATGTCCCGGGACAGGTCTGCCAAACTCGTCCTGCCACACCGTTGCTCAAATATCACCTCGGATCTCATCAAAGTTGTATGACCACATACTACTTGTAGCGGAACAAAAAAGCTTTGACGTGAACCACCAAAAAGCTGTGACCCGGGACTCTTCTTAAACCGGGCCCTCTTTCCGGAATGGTCTCCTGGTTCACCGTTCGTATTCACTGAGAATGTGTCAAGGGTTGAAGCCTCGCAACCCATGCTCACCTTCACAAACCAACAGTACCAATCGTGTAAGCCTCAACCCGAAGCAATTCCCCTTAACGTCATGTCACTGCGTCCAAAAGGCATGGCTATCCTCTCGTGTTATTCCTCGCCGCAGAGGATCTTACCTCATGCCCGGCGCACATCGCCCCATCAACGAGGAAAACATTAAATCAGCTGTCACAATCACTCGTGGCTGCGTGTTTGAGTTGTTTAGTGTCCTTTGGAGTCTGCATCCAGTTCGCACCACACTCATGATGGTCATAAACGTGGTTCGGGGCATGTTTCCTGCCTTCAGGGGCTATTCACAAGCAATGATTGTCGATGAGGTCGGTGAATCCCACTTGTTTCCTTCATCTCTCTAACTTGGTCCCAAAGTTGCAAAATCTGATCTCGTCTGGTTGCTTCACTTGGTCACGCCTACTGAAGCTGCTGATCGCGGAAATATGCCGAAGAGCGCTCGAAACGGCACTCGACTCCTTTGCGTACGTTCGCATATTCAGACTACGGAATTATTTTCATGCTTAAAATAGTTCCGCAAATGAGACCGTTGTTCATGATTCGGTGCGCTTTTTCGTGGAATATCAGCAGATCGCACAACGTCTGAGGCTCGACATCCCGACACTCGCGGATCCCGTCGTAAGGGACTGTCTTCAAGAGTCCGATCTCTTCGTCAGGTCATTCAATGGCATGGGCGGGTTTGGGTTGCTTTCGCCGTTCGACTTCGTTCAAATTCTAGCCCAGATATCGGAGCTTGCATCGTATATCTGGGTGCTGTTGACCTTAACCGGTGGCTCTACACACATGGGTGCTTTGTTACTATCCATTATTTCCGCCCTATTCCCTCTTTTCTTGAACCGTTGTGGAATCGCTTCTTCACATCCTGAATCGGCTTATACGAGCAAGGAGGCTCGTACCGCGGAACGTCAGGAGAAGCTACGGAATCTAGCCTATAATGACACCCATCGACCGGAAGTTCTACTCTTTGGGCTTGGACCATGGATACTCCATTCCTGGGCAAATGCTCGCAAGGCAATGATGTATGACGAGCATTTGTCGCCACTAAATCAGCCTTCACTGTCACAAATACTGCACCAGATAAATGTATCCGACCTGCTGTTCGCGCTTCAGAATGTGAGTTGCCACTCTTTCCATAGTTAACAAGAAGGATCAACGTTCCGTAGATTCCAATGTTCCTGATGTTTCAATCCTCGTCTGCGTCACTGGGATCACTGGCACTATATCGGAGTTCAATTCAGTCGGTGGTTTATACTGTTGGAAATCTGGTCAATACAGCTCGCATGGCATTCCAAGGAATATTCTTCATGGGTGCCTTTTGCGCTGCCATGAACATTGAACCTCGACTGGCACCTCTGAGCGAAGACGCGGAATTGTATCCTAGCATACCTAATGGCATGAAGATTGAAGCGAGGTATTTGAAACTATCTATCGTTCCACGTGTATTTACCTTCCATTTCCGCAACAGAAATCTATCATATACATATCCAGGAAGCAAGGAGCCATCGCTACAAGACGTCAGCTTCAGTCTAGAAGCTGGCGAAAGTCTTGCAATAGTCGGGTACAATGGCTCAGGCAAGTTCCGCAAGAAATTTCATTTATGCCCATGTACTTATCAGAAGATGTCCAGGGAAGTCTACTCTTGCCAAGGTACTGCTACGGATTATAGATTTCGACCAAGGTGATCTCCTTATCAACGGTGTGGACATCCGTCGGTTAACTCCGAGCGATTATCACCGGCATGTCACGACCGTCTTCCAGGGGTTCTCGAAATACAGTTCGACCGTCAGAGAAAACGTCGGATTGGGTTTTGTTCAAAACATGCAGTCGCCCGCGGCCATTGAGCACGCCATGCGTCTCGGTGGTTCAGATGCATTCGTAGGCGCATTGCCAAACGGAATGAAAACAAAGCTAGATGCCTCCGGGTTTGAGTTCATGCCGTACTCACCAGCGTCAAGTTCATGCCATGGCATGTCCTCGCGGTTGCAGCATGGCTTGTCTGGTGGTGAGGTAAGTTTGCCTATTGCCAAACAGGCATTCTTGAACTGAATGTATTCTCAGTGGCAGAGAATAGCCATTTCTCGGGCATTCATGCGCGCAGATCGACCAGAAGTTGATCTATTACTGTTCGATGAACCCGTGAGTGTGTTTCATACCTGCCACACTACTTACATCTCATTTCCGAGGGTAGACCTCATCATTGGACGGTTGTGCTCAGAACAAAATTTTTGACACTATCGATAAAGTCTCTCGCTCCCCCCAAGGCGAAAGAATCAAAACAGTGATTTTCATCACTCATCGTTTGTCAACCGCCCGCCGGGCGGACAAAATCGCAATGATGGAAAATGGGGTGAGTCAATCACCGCGTGGCGAGTCTCACGGCCTAACGCCCCTTCGTCATATGCAGTCAATAACTGAGTTCGGGAGTCATGATGACCTATTGAAGAAAGGTGGTTCATATGCCATTCTATATAAAGCATCCGTTTAAAGCGTTCCCTTCGCTCTTACCCGTATATTCTTCCAGATGAACTATTTTGCATACTTCAATAGACTTCAATTTTTCGAACAATACTAATGAGTTTACTTACGCATGTGGCGCCGTTAATGTACCTCTAGAACTTACATATAGCTGTGCATCAAAACTGATCGCTCGTAGAATGGTCCATGTATGCTACGATGCCATCATGAATGTATGCGTCCACATTTTTACCTTCCAGCGGCTCAGCGACGGCCAGCGGACTGTCGCAGAAGCCAACTACAAGGCCAGCGTCCCTGATTCCTTGAATCAGCGAAGGGACCTGCAACTTGTATTACATCACAAGGGTGAGAAAATGTTTAGCGCCACGTAGTTAGGAGGTATCTCACCAATAATTTCGGATCGAAGAAAACACCCAAAAGGTTATTTCGTTTTGCAAAGTCTACGCCAGCAGCTACGCTGGATGACCAATAATGACACCCGGGACTTGTATCATCAGCACGGTATCTGGTCGACGCTCGTTGCCCCTCGTCAATTTGGCCGCATCGAGATGAAAAGAAAACCGGATCTGGTTATACAGTAAGATATGATCTAGCTCCACGATGCGAGTCGGGGAAGCACTGACAATTTGGTTGTTTCCAATTTAGTGCTACACAGACTTGTGGCGAAAATGAAGTGAGGGCTATTCGGCGACGAGCGAACGCTCCACCTAAAGCCGAAGAAGTCTGCCGGATTGTGCGCAGCACGCTATCAACAGCTTCATTCAGGTCCACTTGGCATCTTATGGAACCACGGTCTCGACGCTCGGCAGGCAGTGCCAACTCTAACGTAAGGCCGAGCTGCGTAGGAAGAACCTGCAAAGCAAATTACTTCAAAGAAACGATCGGACATCACAAGATTGAGCCCAAACCTGCATTGCATCCGCAAGGGTAATCATACTGTGTGACAGCATTCTGGACCATTCTTGCGCAGATACTGCTTTTCTAAGCGACTTATCATCGCGCCTCAATCGACGTGCCAGAGCCTGGAACTGGTCTAGATTGACATCCGAAACACCAAGGTCGAAAGAGGCCTCCGGTAAAAGATAGTCACCGAATATCACAGAATGCAGGTCGCGCGTGACTTGCACGGTGATATGCACGTGATTCCCGATCAATGATGATAAGGTTAATGTGTGCAACGGGGAGGCGGCGTTGGAATGTATCGAGGGTGACGTATATGTCGAATCCAGTGAGCCGGGAGATTGCTGCCACGGCAATGATGTTTGCGAATTGGAAGGTGTGCCTCTGGGTATTGCCATTGATTTCCAGTAGGTTTCCACCGCTCCGCCCACTTCCAACGTAACACCTTGAAATGGTGTTATGACACTGATTGAGACAGTAACCTGAAATGAATAGTCAACTGAGCATCTGGCAAGATGAATGGCTAAGTTAAGCCTACTTCTCCGATACTATGAAGACGAGTGTCAAGGATAGGAAGCGTGACATCTGATACGCCATTGCAGCTTTGCAAAACCGATGGATGAGCAATTGCACGCCCAATCGTTTTAGTGCCGAAATTAGGATATATCGAAAATTCCAAGCTCAACCCTTTCAGCGACGGGGATTGGAAGACAAACACATCGCACTCTTCCATTTGAGGCAATAGAATGCTATACGGAGCAGCATTGACGCCAGGACCAGCGGTGATTACCATTTTCAGGGGTTTTGAAGATGGAAGTGACAAATTGGGCGCAATAATAGAGCTGGTCAGACGGGGATGGAGTGTTACACCCGCGCCTCGGAAAAGGTTATTGTTAACGGTAACCTCGACGAGATAGTTCTTGTCCAAATAATTATGCCCGTATACACGATGCGGCATGATCGGAGGGGGAAGTGACAACGAAGGGATCTGATCAAACTCGGAATCCACTTGCATTTCTGTGTTATTCAGTGGAGACTTGGGGCCAAGACTAACGATTTCTGTGGCATGGGGTACCTTCGCTGCAGCTTCGATCAGGATCTCTACACACTCTCGATGCCCATACCAGGCCGCATAATGAACTGCCTGATGTCCTACTTCATCAGTCAAGTCCATTCGAACACCAGCCTCCAAAAGAGTTCGAAGGCAAGATGCGCGACCTTGGCGCGCAGCGTGAAAGAGGGGCGTCCACTCGTGGTACTTGTCTGGAGTATCGCAACCTCCATGGCCCAGAAGAAGCTTGACAACCTCGGCATGACCGTCCCGTGCGGCAAGATGTATAGGGTATTCGCCATTGCTATTTGGCATGCAACGTGCCCCTCTTTTCAGAAGAAGAGATACAATTTCTAAATGACCATGCTGACTGGCCAAAGCAAGAGGAATTAGATTGTCGTTCGGCGCAGTGAATGATGGCAAGATGCACTGGTCGCACAACAGCACTTGTACACATTCCGGACTTCCCTGCAAAGTGGCATAGACCAGAGGGCTGCAATTGTCCACATCGAGAACGTGTGGAGGTAGGGAAGCTTCCAAAAGCCGCTTGCAGACATGCGCGTACCCATGCATCGCCGCATAATGCATGGCAGACCGACCATAAACATCAAGCTTCTTTGGCTGTGATGACTTCTCCAAACACATATTGACGAGGCGAAGAGCCCCTGCGGCAGCTGCTTCGTGGATGCATGTTCGCCCATTGATATCGTCAACGAAGTCGAAGTCGAACGGGACTGTGATGCTCGCGAGTACTAAATCCGCTAACTCAGGTGGCGCATCGACGATAACCCTCCACAGCACGCGAGTGACATTGATTCTGCATCCATTCTGTGTACCAAGAAGATCCGAGTGGTGAACAAGATCCTTGATAGAGGCTTTATCCGAGTTCTCCACGGCTTTTCGCAAATCATGCTCAAAATCGCGGAACGGTCCTGCGTACATATTTTTCTCGATGAAGCTCACGAAATCATGGGCAGCTGGACCTTCAACCTTCAAGCTAGCAGATAGGTCCGTGATATCCAGGAGGCAGGACGCTACAGTATCAGACAGCTCTGATATGAGCTATTAAAATGTATCAGAACAATTCAAACTAAGCGATGACATCGCTTGCCTGCCGATTAAAGACTGGTTGGACCTCAACCTGCCTGGCGAGGTAGAGCTCCTTCGTTGTTGACCGCGACCTCTTATCCCATTTCTTCAAAATCTTCCTGAATCCTGTTGCGTTCATCTCTATAAATTGCTGAAAGGAGTTAGTTCGGGTTATACAAAACAGTCGTGTGGTCATTGAAGTACCTGGAGTTTTCCAAGATCCCTTTCGAGGAGGCGGAAGCCCTCCTCAACAGCACTCCACTCGACATGGTTCACATTGATTTCCTCGGACGTATCAGGAAGCCCGCGTATTGCCGCGGCGCGCCTCTTGGAGAGTAGGGTCTCCAACCGGAGCTTCAGCTCTGCTTCTTTCTGCAGGTAAAATGTATTGATCTTGGATTACCCAATGACATTAAGCCTCGTGTAGGTAGACACTTTGGTGACAAAACACACCTTCTCCAGTTCACGCTCTAGCTTGAAGAAGAAAGCGGCTTTGTGCGCCTGGAAGTCAGAACCACGATCGTCGTCCTGTTGGAGAACAGACAATATAGGTGGTTCATCTGGCTCATCTTGCGTTATCGGCTCGACGGGATTTGAGGTGTCTAGTTGGGCTGATACTGGGACTCGGATTGCTGTGGTACTATTCTGTGAAATAGGTCTCAAGATATCAGCTGGGCGGACACCAAGGGCCAATGCAGCGGCTTCGGACGCAGGTCGATTAGCAGCAAGGGACGAAATGATCTTCTTGAGAAATTTGTAGTCCAGATAGTATGCAGACCATCCAGGGACCTGTTCTGCCTGAATTTGTTTGCCAAACTGTAGATCGCAGCGTCGGTAAAAGCTCTGATTGGCAAAAGGGTTGTATGGTGAGCCTGACCTTCATAATAGTCGTTTATTGTTCAAGCTCAAGAAAGGGGGCTGCAAAAAAGTGGTAGTTGGTCAGACCATGATGGTTGTCCCAAGAAGGGTTTCGGAAGAGCTAACCTTGATCGAGTCCCTAAATTTCATGCACGTGCGTCAAAATAATGTTTGCCCAGATAAATATACGCGGTGATACCAACTTGCCAAGAGCCAATGCGAAATCGATAATCTTGTGTGGCAGTTCTCCTGAGTCGGCGTTCGCGCGATTCACGCTCTTTGGAAGGTTGTAACGTACAGTATTACTTGTGTGTGTTCTAATAGATCGCGGTTCAGAATATACGTATCTATTCATTGATCTACGGTCGTAACGCTCGCGCCAGTCCATCGGTGCGCTGGACAAGGCTTTTAAGATAAGGTTCGTGTCGCAGTCTTGCTAACACTATTTACTCTCAGTAAATTGTTCCTCTGTTCAGGTGGAGCCTGCTCGTCGGTCTGAGCACAATCGAGGAATCTGGCAGCGAATAAGCCGCGTCGTCACAATGTACAACTTTTTCAAGTCCAGAGATATCCGCGACTCGTTGCTTAGTATTAGGCAAACACCCACAACTTATAAGCACGGTAGTTTGAGTTCGTACATGCAGGTACTTCTCCAGATGCCGATGAGTTTTGAATTATTCTGAATCTCGAGAGTACACCCGTTGTGTTATAAGAATCAGATCCACTAAGCATTTGCACTACTTGTGGATGGGGCAAGTAAGGACGAAATTCTGACCCGAGGGATACTTGAATAGGTTACAATGATTGACTGAAGACATGTTTGAGCTTCAGCGCAGAAGTGGATCTGTTATGTACTCACTACGAGTAGAGGCTAGAATCGAGGAGTGTCGGGAACTGGTCAACGATCTTATTTGAGCCATCCATGAGAATGCTTTTCGTTGGACCACCCCTAAAAGAATAAAATAAACCATATCCCCATTACTTGGATGGGGCAAAATGACCGTCAAGGCCAACTTTGTGAAGGGTAGCCGAATATGCTCCGATCTATAGAGCGAACATCAAGAACTGTAAAAGAGCTTTGAGGAACAAGTACGCCTCGGATTCGCTGTCTGGATTCCGCAACACAGCGTCTGCTCGATCATAGAAATATCTCTGAGGAAGAGTTGGCCAGGAAGAGTTAGTATCAGTCGGAGTCAGAGTGTGAGGACATCTGAATATTCGATGAATACTGTGGTATCTCAAAGGTGAAACGATCTACTTACTGATTTAGCGCGCGGTAGGCAATCGAGTCCGAGTCTAAATTCACATGGTTTGTCGCGGAATGTCACATTATGTCTATCACACGTGACAAAATGTCACAAAAATGCACACATAGAGAAAAGCGCGTCGAAGGAGTTCAGAGCTCTCTCCAGAGAATCTAAAGCGCCACATTTTCCAAAACCTGAACTGAAATCTTACTTTGTCATGCATCCAGTATCCTCTTTCGCGCTCAAAACGTATTAGGAACAACTTGAACCATGCACTGATGGGGAGTTTCTCCGTGGTCCAGGAACAATACTTGCAACACCTAGTCCAACCCATTTGTCACGACTCTATGCGACGGACATCATCAGTCACCTGCCCTATCGTCACTCAGCCCTGAGAAAAGTAAGAATTACAAAAAGCGGTACTCACCACTTGGTCCCAGTATCCTCAAATCTGCTTTGCTCCCAAACTGCTCGCCCTTTTCGGTATGTCGATGAATGGGCTACCAATTGGTATCCCAAAATGCAATCGAGAATCAGATAGAGAATTGTGCGCGCTGCAATGTGAGTATCATAGGGAAGGTTGTCAAAGCATGGGGGAGAGGTACACTGCTGTTGGTGAGACGAGTGAACTTTGAAGATGGTGTTTATTCAACAAAATACCTGCCAAGGCTGAGCGCTGAATTTCATAAATTCAGGTCCATGTCAAGTTCATGCAAGTACAATAATATTCTTTAACCACTCTGGTCCCAATCCCCGCGGAAAATATTTACCGCAAGCTGATTGCACGAATTCTTGGAGTTCTCTAAGACGGAGGAGCTATGTAAGATCTCTTTATCGTACTTCAAGCTGGGGAGAAGCTGTTCAGGGAAGATATGATTTATCGTCTTTGGGGTGTAAGCCACTGATCCTTTCACTAGAATAATCGATAATCCAATGGAAATAAGCCATTACTGATACTCTCTCTTGAGTCTGGCTCAGATGATAAGGAACCGAGCCAACTCCCTCTGAGGCCCTAATCCCTCTCCTATAAATTGAATTTGGGTAACAGGCATACTTACAGTAGGGTCTCATCCCGGCTATATCTGACTTGTCTATCACATTCAGACATTTCACTCCCTGTTGGGTTCTCGTCCAGTTCGAAATCATTCAACTCATTCAGACTATTCTTTTGGCAAATTTGTTTTCACTGCTTAACTGCTGGGAACCCCTTACTAACCAAGTAAGTTCTTGCCGTTTGTAATTCCTTTACCATTATAACCATTCGTCAATGGTCTCTAGGGGATATATCTAAGCTTGATAAGAGAAGGCCAAACTTATTGGCGTTCATCAAACTCTCATCACGAGTGCTCTTCGCATGTGATGATGCCGTGAGCAACCCCTGCTGCCTCCATCCATCCATCGAGCAGCTCCCTACTGACTGTTGGGAGTTTATTTCTACACGTAGCCCACACCGGCCTCGTATGCACAAGTAGCGATGCATCTATTCACGAGCCAAAGGATCTTGGCGATTGGCCGATCTTGTTTATCAGGATGAGTGTCGTATCCTACTGAATGAGATTGGTCAATCAACATCGAACTCAAGTTTTTAAGTACTTTTTTTGACTACATCTTTGAACTTGGTCAACAATATCACTATTCTATTTGTTGCCAGACCACCAAGTAGAGGTCTAGCCAAGTTACGCCGTTTAGCGCATGCATCCGTTCTATATTTCTGTGCGCATTTGTTGAATATACTGTGATTTGATCTCCGTATCCAGCTTGGCGTAGCTGGACTTAATCGAATACAGTGCATGGTGTACTATTTCTTGCTTGAAGGACTATATCAAGCACTATGTGCAAACTTTTTACACACGACAAGTATCGTCATCGTGAGCATCCAGACATAGATTTCAACAATTCAAATGAGATGGGTGGGCAACGTCGCAACGCATAGGAAATGCAAGATTTCAAGCGGAAGTCTGACGCGCCCCAGGGCCTAGCAACTAAGAATGTCATAGGAACACTCTTCATATGATTCTTGGTAGTTAACTACGAAAAAACACACAAAATTAGTAGGTATGATGTACCAATGCAAATAGATGACTCAGGAAGCGAGCGTCAATTATACCAAGACTTTCCTGAGCTGCCACGCCTTCGCGGGGAGGAGTGTTATCGGGCAATTACCATGTTGCTCGACGTGGTCGTGTACGCAGCGGTAGCAGAATACGTAACCAGACGGCAATGCTGTGGCATTGTGAATAAACTCTTTGCAGAGCGGGCAGTATCCGTATTTTGTGTTGTCGATGGTGATCCCTGCGGGATGCGGTGGAAGGATCTGAGGTGGAGGGATAGCTGGACCAATAGGGGATATGGATAATGATCGCGCAGGGGAGCCCGGGGAGTACCACCATTCCAAGAATTTGATGAAAAAGATGGCTGTAGGTAAGAGAAGCCTCAAGGAGTCGAGCAGTAGTTGGGGTGATCGCAGCAGGAGCCGTCGAACTACAGCTAAAAAACCGCTCTTTGTTGGGGAAATAGCATTTGGCTTCGCTTGTGCAAGCTACCCAGGTGGTATGAGTGCAGTGTGAATGACTGAAATGGTAAACTCACGAAATCATCCATATTGAGTCTTCTGAGATCGACTCCTATCCAAGCTAACCATGGGCGATAGAATGGCGTACGATCGAATAAATAGGCTACATTATGTGCGAGAAGCCATGCTTCAAATCCGATGTTGAACCATGGGTATAGTGTTTTGAACTTTCTGCGTAAAACGCCTGCCATACTCTGGAAATACCTGTCGAGCATTGTGTCATCGTGAAACGGTACTGCTCACCTCGTCTGTGAGTTCTCGTATATGTCTTTCGCTACCTCCATCTTCCAGGATATCAGAATCAATGCCTCCACCGAGCGACTCGTAGTAATCCTGCCCTTTCGCTCGTAGATAAGGTACAGTAATCTGGGTTCACAGGGGTGAGGGGTTGTCTGGTCATCACCGAGAATTCTTACCAGGAGAAATAACGACCGCCAGATCTCGCGACTTCTGAGCTTCTCACCGGCTGGTATTCCACCAACAGCAGCTATTGCTCGTTCGGTCGCTATCCAAGGTCTTCTGCGTCTCTTCAGACCGTAAAAATTCTCAGAAAATGATGCATCTAGTAATATTGATAGCGCACTTGAGTTCACTGCATCAACTTGCCAAATCTACTCACTATGTTTGCGGAGATAATGGCGTTCGACGAAAAACATGATGAAGGCATAAAACTCTTCATGGCGGTTGACTATACGAATCAGATAGCGGGGGTAACGTTGAGCGAACACCTGGCAGGGGTGAGTAGTGTGGTTCTGTGGCAGATTCTGAGAACTTACTGCAAGTACATACTTTAGAGCAGGTTGAAGCAAGTCACGGAGCTGCTCTTGAGCAACTAATTCAAACAAGGAGGGCTTGAGCGGATCTCCACCCACGTCGTTGAAGAACTCCATGCATGTAGAATGGTCGTCTTGTTCAAGTTGTTAATTCCGGCTATTCACATGTTTCGAATTCACGTGGCGTGGCGTCCTCGACGATGACTGGGAAAGGAACGATGGCAAACGCCTAGTCCAGACTCCACAGTGACTCAAGTTGATGGTTGAACTTCATTGCAAGGTCTATCCTGTGTCGAAGACCCATTGTAAGCTTACTTTTGTGGTATACTAGTTGTTGATACGCTAGCAGGCCTGTTAATAATATATAATGAATTATCCCTTCACCTTCAAATTTGAGTTGTCTGAGCATATTCTATGTTCAAGTTCTATTGTCTTGCATGTAATTGCCTCCATCTGGTATAGAACAATCCCTGCTCCCAAGGTCCGTGGGCCACTCCCTCTCTCATTCTCCTTCTTGACATTCCATTGTACATTTTCGTCCTCATGTTTACCTCCTTCCACGCAATGATACCTTCAGACGCTGAACTCGCTTCTCAAGCACTCACTGAGGAGGGCAATTATCGTTTTCCATCATTTTCTGCGTCTGACGCGGTCACGCTTGGTTTGTCTCTACGCAAACGCTTCCGTGCGTCCTCTCGACATTCAAAAGGCAAAGGCCTCGTCATCTCTATACAAACTATCGCGGGTCATACGTTATTTGCGTGTACCGTGGGCGACCTTGGTCACCCAGCCGGTGTTGGGGATGTTAGTTTAGATAGTTGGACAAGTGTGGATGGCATGGTTGGAGTCGTGAGGCAGACTGGCCATTCGAGCTATTATGTCGAGAAAAGCATGAGCGCAATGGGCAAGTCAGCAAAACAGCTGGGGATCCAAGGAGACTACATTATTCACGGGGGAGGTAAATAACTTCTGCCATATACTTCTGGAAACGAGCAACTTAAGTTTGCTTCCGTTCAGCGTTCCCGATCTGGTTGGACGTTAGTATACGTGTTATTTGTTTATGAATTTGAAGAGCTGATTGAGGCTGTATAGAATGCCCATTGTTGTCCTATCGCTGTTGTTGCTTGCTACTCGGGTTCAAGTCAAGAAGACCATCACGTATGTCTTCTTCCAAAACTCACTCGATTCAACATTCACACACCAACCATTAGCTTGTGGTAACAACTGTACGGGATTATCTTCACAAAATCAACAAGTCAGAAGGTGCACGAATGTCAGCCTCATCTGTTCTAGGGACAGAGATGCATGCGCCTCTCCCGTCTGTACCAATCCGGGAGAGCACGGTAAGCTCATATCAGCGAGTTGAGGTTCGCCAGTTCATTAGCGAGTAAAGGCATGGCTCACAGATCCTTCCCACAACGCACTTGGCATGAGAAGGCGGTCCGAGTCGCCATTTGACCATCATGACGAGTGAGATACCAATAGATGTAACATATATTATCGTGTGGGGTGAGCGGTGGTGTGTAATAGTTATACCAATAAGATGGGTAGCTACGATAGTCATAAAGTGACATGCACTATTCGGAGCTCTCGCTGTGCGAGGGGGCGTGCCTGATAACCCGGATGCTTTCTACAAACAACAATCAGCTACGGAAAGGTTGAAGTAAGAAAGAAGCAATATACCGTGTCTAAGGAATATCTGTCTTTGGCCCTGTGGTGAAGATGAGTCCGCGCTTGGGTCTGGGTCACGAAGCTCAAAGTTCGCCTCAACGTAAACTTGGGTCCCTTTCTGGAGAGTGCGCAAGTAGTTGGTCTGATTGGGATTGAAGCAAATGATGTGGTGCCACGTGGTTCCAGCCTCTTGGCGGTCTGAAGCAAGAGTTCAGGTGATACTAATACCCCAAGAAAACTAGGTTTACTTACTGCCATCAGGGTTAGGAGGTGGAGGTGGGTAGTTAGTGGTCGCAACGGTATAACTGAACACAATTTCAGAAGGATATCTCGGAAAAGACATAGAAAACTTACGAAGCGTATTCCTTGTCACCCTTGGTAGTACGAACTTCAGGGTCTTTGCCTAGTCGTCCAATGAGGATGAGCTTGGAGACATCATATGCACGCGTCGAAGTTGTTGAGAAAGCCTTGAAAAAGAAAATTGTCGGCGCAAGACCATTCTTAGAGGACTATCAACTTACGCGACGCGGTATGCGAGAAAAACTATGACGAGCAAAAGAAAGCATGATTCTGGTCTTTCAAAACGCTTTCTAGCAAAGTTGTACTATCACTTTTATGTGACAGTAAGGTGTTTTGTTTGTGCTTGTTTGGTAACTCGCCAGTCAGTAATTAAGCAATTGAACCAGATTGCATAGATTCTTCTCAAATCTTTGTACATATCTTTGTATCTCCATCTGTAATCTTTAAAATGTCCAGACATAGGCTTGTACGAAATATGAACATCCATGGTATGCACGAATCATCCTGATGGCAGTTTAATTTGATATTCATCGTGTGACTAGATGAATTGGATGATGCTGCATTGTCCGACGGAGGAGACGAGCTCACTCCCGAGCAGCATGGCGAGTGGCCCGATATATGTGCTCGTGATGCACGCTGAGAGCTCAATACAGCTCAAATGACGTTCTGTCTTGAACAAATCAGAGAGCTCATTGGAGATGAAGCAGTCTCAGGCCTCGACGATGACTTCATCAAGGAAACCCTATGGGACCAGTACTTTAATGTAGAGAGCAGTTTATCGTATTTGTATGGTGCGTAACACATCAACCTCTTTAACCTCATGTCTTTCAACTGACGCACTCTTGACAGATGAGCAAGACCGGAGAGCGTCAGCTAAAACTCGCAAAGGTAAGTTTCCGACGTAACCTCTCATTTGTAAATAGTCTTGCATTCGCTCTTCCACCATGTTGTTGTTACCCCCCGTTTTGGATCCCGTTTATGGAACCGGCTACGCCGTAGACGAGACGAGGAACAGGAAGGTGCATGTCGTCTCCACGATCCCTGTGTCAGCCTTCGTACAGTCAGGAGCTAAATGTGTCTTAGTGCGACCTGACAGTATTGATATACTACCATCGGAAGGCGAGGAGGTCCATGATGAACCACAATACGTGGCTGGACCGACAGGCTACGAATATTACGATGGCGACTTGGACCGACCTCGAGTTCCCCTCATAGTATTAGCACAGCAAGGTCAACATGAGGTCTACTATCCCGAGGAATTTCCAGAAGAGGTCGACTCGGATGATATACCATTGGGCGTCTTGTCACGCGGCTCGAGGCTCAGCACCATTACGGAGATTACCGAAAGGACTGAACCCTCTCGCCACTGGCCTTCAAAACAGCAGCTCGTAGCTTTGAATAATCCACGTGCATCAATGATCACTGATACCACAACATCGTACGGAGAAGTTATTGGTGTGTTGGTATCAGCAAGGATTTGATTATGTGACTGAAGTCAGGACAGATACTCGCCAACGCAGTACCGTGGCGCTAGAATATCCTGAGACCGCGATGGACCCAAACTTCATCCCTCCATCACCATCGCCCTCCGCAGTACAACGTCTTTCGAGCTACGAAGCCGCTCCATCGCTTGCTACATCAGTATCACAATCTGATATACGCACAGAGCCACTTCCGCTTCCAACAGAGCGCGCAACATCGCGTGCAAAATCATCAGTTGTTCCTGTACCACCTCTGGATACTCTTCCCGAGATTTCTGATTTCCAGTCGAAAGCGAGCGGAAAACCGCTCCCTCCGAAGCCTCCAACCAGCAGTAAACCCTCTAAATTATCCATGCTTGCGAGTTCTCGTGCAAGTACGAGGAGTTCTCGTTCATCGGATTTGGAGACGACTTCAATACTTACTTACCCCGCCTTACGACCTACCGCTGAAAGTCGATTATCATTTGCAACCACTATAAAACCCCCACCTGCAGAGAAGATACTTCCTTCTATAAAGGCTCCGTCTACCACCCCTTCTTCTATGTCTGGGCATGTCAAACAGGCTATCCAGACAGCTTTGGAGTTAGAAGCTCACGATCGCGAAAGAATTGCGAGACCTTCTCCAAAGAGCGAGTCGAGCACGGCGTCTAAGGCATCGTCAGTTGCTACTGTCAAGCCAACGATGCCACATTCGCCACCTCGAGCTGACGCCACCCCAAACTTGCCCATCATGCGCCAAGAGGTTGAAGCGAAGGCCCGCCCTCAGTCCAAGCTCGCAGCGCTTGCCCAGGCGAAAGCCAGTGCCAATACTAGTCTCATGCCGAAGCTTCCGAAGTCCCCGCCCAGTTCGCCTCCAAAGGAGCTTCCTAAACCTCACACACAATTTTTCACGCCCATCGCAAATGGAGCCACAGCTACTACTGCTATAACCACATCCTATCAGTCACTCCAAAGTCTGTCTAGACCGCAGGCTCAAGAGCCTGCATCGTTAGTTCAGATGCCCGGTGCAGAGCCAAAGCAATCTAAATTGGCAAAGAGGATCAAGAAAGCGAGTGAAAAACCACAGCCAACACCACCCGACGACGATACCGATTCCTGTGACATCATACAGTCTCCTTTATTCATACCAAAGCCAACTAACTCTCGTGCGTCTCCCTCGGCATTCGCTTCTTTACTTCTCGATGATCCTCTAACACCCCCATCTCCCGAAGACAAGGCCACGCATTCAGCTCACAAGTATGGGAGGGAGGTGCCGAACCTTGTAAAGGTGTACGAAGCTTCCCATTCGCAGAGCCACTCCAGCCTTGGTCTCTCACAGTCCCAACGACACAAGTCGTCTCGCCCTAGGGCTGCACTACCGGGGATGAAGATGAACTCGGGATTTGCATTTGACGTTCCAAGCCCTGACGATATCGTATTCAACGCGCGTCGGGGAACTTCTTTTTCCCACAGACGGTGAACGAACCTTGGTTCCCTGCTCCATCCGCCATTCCTTTGTTGTATTTCTCTACTCGCATTTTTATTTTATTCATTCATTTTTCCGGAGGACTTGTTTTCTTGTTTGTTTGTTTCTTGTAGACCAGGTTGTGGACTCTAATGGAACTTTTTTGCTGATTGTCACTTCAGCTGCGAAGGAACGCGAAAAGGCGGAGAAAGCGGCGCAGAAGAAAGTAGCGAAGACACCTTCTTCGTCTGGCTATACCACACCGGTTTCTCAAGCGATGTCTCCTGTGAATACGCCGAGTAAGACCTCAAAGAAGGCTGGTATAGGTGCGAAGAAGTCGGGAACGATGACTCCTCACGGTACAGGGGGTTTGGATGCTCGACTATTCGACATGGCCGCGTTGAATTTGGTATCAAAGGGAGAAGAGCCGATCAATGAACCTCCTCCGAAAATTGCACTGGAGCGTGGAAAGCTGTTGCAGGAAGTTCGGAAAGTCCTTGAAAGGCAAGGAGGTGACAAAAAGGCTGTTAGCTTGGTCGTGATTGGTACTAAGTCTTGCTGGCATTTTCAAGTGATTTTTTGTTGATGCTGAATGACAGGACATGTCGATGCTGGAAAGTCGACGCTCATGGGCCGTTTGCTCTATGAACTGGGGAGAGTTGACGAAAAGACCCGTGTTGCTAATGAGAGAGGCAGCAGTAAAGCTGGAAAGAGCAGCTTCAGCTGGGCATGGGAGTTAGACGGAACCATCGAAGAACGAGAGAGGTCTGCATTTTTCTGTTATTTCAATTGTGCGTACCAACTGATCAACAGAGGAATCACGATGGACATTGCTTTACAATCTTTGTCGACCCCTCAACGACAAGTCACCATTCTAGATGCCCCTGGACACAAGGACTTCATCCCAAACATGATTTCTGGAGCTGCACAAGCTGATTGCGCGCTACTTGTAGTTGATGCTATCACTGGAGAGTTCGAGGCAGGTTTCGACCGCGGTGGTCAGACTCGTGAACATCTGCTGCTAGTTCGGAGCCTCGGTGTATCTCAAGTTATTGTGGCAGTCAACAAATTAGATCAGGTTAGTTTAGGGTCTCATGATTCTGCGTCTTTATCATTGCCGACATGGTTGCAGGTCAATTGGGATCCGAGTCGATTTGAAGAAATATGTGGGTTGTTACGTGCCTTCCTTGTCCAGTCTGGGTTTCCCTCTTCGAAAACAAGCTTTGTCCCAGTAAGTGCCATGCTCGGCGTTAACCTTGTCAACAATGCCGATGCTTCGGTACTGTCTAAATGGTACAAAGGCCCTACACTGGTTGACTTGCTTGGTGAGCTATTTTGCATTGTACCTGCATTGATGTGCTCAATCACATGCAGATAAACTGGAGCCCCCCACTCGAGAAATTGCATCCCCATTAAGATTGCCGATATCCAATGTCTTCAAGGGACAAAATTCCGGAACGGGTGTAACTGGTCGTATATGCGGTGGCGTTGTGCAAGTCGGAGAACGCCTTCGAGTACTTCCGGGAGATGAATCTGCGATAGTTCGACGTGGGTTCCTATACTTATTAGTGCTGTTGTGTGGATGCTGACTGATGTTCAGTTATCGACGTGGAGGAACAGAGCGTGCCTTGGGCAGCAGCTGGAACCAATGCAACTCTGTACCTGACCTCCATCGACCCTATCCATCTGAGCATCGGAAGCGTCCTTTGCCCGCCATCAGATATTGTGCCATTGGCTACAGTCTTCACAGCTCGAATCATAGTATTCGACATCCAGCTCCCAATCACTACTGGTACATCAGTGCGTCGTCTAAACCCTCTCTATTGCATCTCATAACCCTGGAGTTAGATCGAGCTGTTCCATCACTCACGAGATGTACCTGCCACGATATCAAAGTTGATCGCTACCTTGGACAGAGCTTCTGGGGTAGTGACGAAGAAGAATCCTCGGTGCGCTTCGTTCATTTTTTGTCTTGCCAGGATTGTGTCTGATCTTGCACTCAAGGGTCCTGTCCAGGGGTACTTCTGCTGAGGTGGAGATTAGCCTGCGTGTCGCGACCTTATCAGGTCCTACACTCAGTACTCGCCCTATCCCACTGGAGCCATTCTCTGTGAATAAAGATATGGGAAGAATTCTCGTTCGACGAGGAGGTGAGACGATAAGCGCAGGTAAGCCATTGACCATCGGACCTGTCGAGGTTCTCATGGCTTTTCCAGGTATTGTTCTGGACGTTATCTCTTGAATTTAAGACAGTATCACAATAGAAATGCATATATAACACCAATACTATGTACAACAGCCACATGAGCCCTACAGAATTCTCATTAATACAAGGAAAGAGGTATCGTTTGCGCAATGCTGAAAGACATAAGAAGTCGTCTGCGTCGTAAGAGGCTGTGGAAGCGCGAGGAATGCGTGAAGAGCTATCAACAAGCGAAGACGATCAAGATAAGGTAAAAGTAACTACTACTTCTTCGTCTTCTCCTTACGGGAAAAGAACTCTCTCAATTTGACAAAGAGTGACCGGCGCTTCTTTCTGGTGCTGGCGGTGCTGAACTTGGATGACGATGTTACAGTGGGGTCGGTGGTAGCAGAAGCCGGGAATGAAACCTCCTTTGACTCTTTGGGATCATCGTTTGTTGAGGGCATTGACGAGTTGGTAACTTCGGGGCTGTCTTGAGGCTCGGGCGCTGGCAAAGATGGCTCTTTGTTGGGCACGACAGGCCCAGCATCGACAGCAGATGCATCGCTTGTTTGAGCGGGATCTGGATTGACGTCAATCTCAGATGTTGTGGAAGGGGCAGCCGCGTCTAAAGGGAGCGCGACTGCATCCACGAGTAAATCTCCATTCTTCTCTTCAGCTGCCTGTGCTTCCGAATTCTCTCCCTCCGTAGGTTTGCTGTCCTGCTCTCCAGCTTGAGGTTCCTGCGTGACAGGAGGTAGTGGTTTGGACAAAACTATGGGAGAATGCGTCGACGGTTGGAGAACAGAAACTGTTGCATTCAATGAATCGGAGACCAAAGGATCACTTGCATCAATCTCCCGGTCTGGTGCCGCAGATTCATTCAACGTGTGATCGTTGACAGGTAAGATAAGGATAGGGACGACGGGAGCGATTTGCGGCGCGGCCTCAATGATGTCAGGGGAGGGAGCTCCCTGAGCGCTCTCCGGTAGTGCCTCGGCAATGATCGGCTCGATGGCCGAAGTGGTTGATGATTGTTCGGTTGTACCCTACACAGTGAAAGGAACAGAGGTCAGCGTTGAAAACAAATTCTATGCTGGTGCAGTTACCGAAACGTCGACGTTGTCCGTCGAAACACGGGGCGTGCTTGAAAACATGTAGCTGATGCCCGAGGAAACATATTCCAGTGCGCTAGTAACTTCTTCTGAAACGTGCGATGCCGCACTCGTCGCAGTATCCACGATTGTATGGAAAGTATCAACCTCACCGCTCAATGCGGGAGTTTCAGCTGATTCGACGATAATGTTGGGAACGTGATTTGAAACAACTTCCTTGTCAGAAACGCCTACATCATCGACAGCGCTTGTAACAATAGTGGAATCAGATTCAGTGATTCCATCTTGTTGATCCGCTGCCAACGCGTTCTGTGGGGAGGACTCGCTAGACAGCAGCGACTCTTCAGGCAATGTGGTAGTTGAAATCATGGAGTCGGTGGGGCCAGTGGTTGATGGGTGTTCCATTATAGGAATGGGTTTAGAGGGCGCGATAAGAACATTATTAAGGTTCCCGGCACCATCGAACTCTGTTGGGCGGTCATTGCGGATGACCCATTTTCCGTCCACAATGAACTTATATGGAACTTTCTCATTCCAAGGAACCCTGACATTGCCTACGAAACCAGAAGCGCCCTTGGGCAGATGCATGGTGCAGGACCACTACCAGGGTAAGAAGGTAACAAAACTGAGCCTGTGGCGGACTGTGGGTAGACTTACGTGGTCGAATGAGCCAGTTAAGATCACGTCCGAAGCATCACCGTAGGGCCTGAGAGTAGAAGGTGAGCACAAGCGCTCATCAATTTAAGGATCACATACCATGACAATTCGACTTCATGCAAGTCGTCCATGGTGTCAGACGAAGAGTAGAAGGAGGGAGATAACAACCTGCAGAAAACCCTTCCGTAACGTCCTCATGTTGTCAATGATTTAAGCTGAGCCGGGGTGTCACGCTTCGTGACAAAGTATAAATGTACCCTTGTAACAACTTTAACTTAACGCTTGGTACAAAATAAAGAATGCTCAAAAGGCGATATCTATGAGTCACTGTCAACGGCTTCCCTTCTTGTCCGCTCTCCATTCCTTGAACATTCCGTCCAGACTCTTGTATAATAGGTGGGATGGCAGACATCGAATTATCTCACTCATCTTTTCCTCTGCCTCTGCCTTTCCCTTCTCACCAGAAGCCTTCCGCGCAAAATCCACCGACAAGTGGAACAACGCTAGCACCGCCAACGATACGTGCGTCTGCTGGGCACCGTGCGACGAAGACTGTGAAAGAGCAGCCAAAAGTGGCCCCGACACGCTTGGAGCCGATATTGCAGGCGTAGATTGGGAAAAGGGGGTGGCGCGCTCGCCTCTGACCAACCTGAGAAGAATCTCCATCATGTTATCTACCTCAGTCAAATGTGTCTTCACGAAGCGCTGTCGTTCTGTGGGAACACCAACAGGGGAGTTGACTGCCCACCCATCCAGTACTGTCCAGATCGTCGGAGCCTTAGAGACAAGATAGTCAGATTCAAGACTTCTGTCAAGATAGTGAGAACGAACTGGGTCAGGATCTACAACCGCGATCTTTTTTTCCCACCCATCAGCAGCATCTCCTGCTACCCAGAACATTCTTCCAAACATGCTCTTTAGCCACTCCTGGACATCGCCCGATTTAACCCACTTAGGTTCCGACAATGGACGCTCAGTATCAAGATGGACCATTAAAGTGATCTTTGAAGGTAGCGTGGCCTTCGAGAAGGAAGGTAGGGTCTCGTCAGTGCTGGACGCTTCAGAAAGCGTCGGTAAAGGAGAATATGATTTTGTCGCATCAGAAAGTCCTTCGATCTATAATCGTGTCAGAAAACATAATAGTAGACAACCAAATAATCTTACCAAAACGCCCTTCAGGCCATCATCGCTACCTTTATCGAGGGATATGTGGACTTCAATTCGACCCTCAGATCTGTAAACCTTCAAGTATTCGACCACTTCTGCGTCTACGACCAAACGCCTGCTGCCGGCAGCATAAGATATTGACAGGCGGTTTGCAGATGGCACTCGGCCACCTTTCGAGACTACCGTACTTGCTGGAGGGTGCGACGGTTCGCCATATGTTGAACCAGAAGAGGTTGACAACAATGTATTTGAAGTAGGAGAGGCAGGGGGCTCAGGAAGGTGCTCTTGATCCGCAGGTTCGTTGGCAACTTTGGTGTGCATAGCGACTTCTTCGTGCTCGACCGAAATTTCGCCGGTAAGCTCTAAGACAACTTGCTCTTCTGAGTATGTGCCAACACCCATATCCTCGTCGAGAATTGTTGACGTGAGTGACGCCTCTGCTTGAAGGGGCTTCGGGTCGGAAGTCTGCATGTCGGATACCTGCGTATCAAGGTACCCAGCATCATCAGTAGACTGTTTCTCGCTATGAGGCATATCAGACTGAACAACAGGAGGAGAACCACGACCAGTAGAAGAACTCGTGTCAAAGGAAGAGCTCAAATAAATAGCATGAGAAGGATCAGCTAGAGTAGCTGATGCATCAAAGAGCCTATCAACATTTTCATCATCAACAGGCTGGGTGGTTGGCGAAGCATCACCACCCTCTTCAGGTGCAGAAACCAATATGTCCACGTTCGGCTGTATCGCAGCAGCACTACCGTGGTTTACACCAAGGTCAACAGCAGCGACATCTGGGGACGCTGATGGCTTGACCCCTTCAACATCCAGGACAACATCATGATTGTCCCCGGTATGTGAGCCATCAGACTGCTCATGAACACCTCCTGAAGAGGCAATTCCGTCCATCTCAGTACTATGGGAGCCTTTAAGATATATGTCAGTGTGTACAACCTCGAGCCACGAATGGACGCTCCCCCCAAGCTCGAAAGCATCCACCCAAAGCGAAAAATAAGCAAGGTTCAACTCACCATTCCCATTGAGAAAAGTACTTGTAGCAGGAACGAAATGGAGAACACTTGCAGCATGGCTCTCCTCTTCATCCATGTCATCAACAGTAGTAGCTGCGTCGGCATCGGCGCCTACATCGCCTTCATCCTCAGCGATAGCGGCCATGAGCCAATCACCTTCACTGGCAGTTTCTGCCACACTGGGCGCTGCGCTTCCGCGGCCCACTCCATCCAAGTCAACACTGGTGTTATCGTCCACCTGGCTGCTGCGAGGAGGAGGCGGTCTTTCTCGACCTTCCTCTGCATCGCCATCATCATCCTCAAGCTTCTTGCGCTTGCCTTTACGCATGTCTGGAGGTGCAATATACGAAGCATTGTGCGGAATTGGATGCGAGTCATCAGGAGAAACAGGAGTGTGAAAATAAATGCGGATGCGAGAGGGTGGAGGCGTCGTCAACGAGGACGACTGCTCCTGATAGGAAGTATCTGGCTTCGTATCTGCCGCGTCTGTCGGTGCGGGTTCTGATGTCGCGGCACCAGCATGCATGTCTTCATCCTTAACTTGCTCTTGTGAGGATTCCAAAAGAGAAGCAGCGACCTCTTTTTCTTCAGCCTTGATAGGCGATGGTAGCACTCCCCACGTCCATCCAAGTTCAGGCATCTCGAGGCCCACAATTTTAAAGTCAGTGAGCGTGCGCCGATTTTCGTCCTTCTTACCGCTGCTTGCAAATTGCGATGCATCACGGTTTCCAAAATTTGTACTACCATCCTGACGGCCTGCACGACCTGAAGTATGTCCTTGTCCTCGTCCACGGAACGCAGCATTGTTTTGATGGTGCTGATGTCCGGTATTGAACGACCCACCTCCTCTACGATTGTGAAAGTCCTTGTTAAAGCCTCCTCTCGAGCCGTGTCCACGTAGAGAATTTTGTTGAGTAGCGACGCCACCTCGTCCGCTGCCACTATTCACGAACATGCCGCCACCTCTGCCGCCACGTTGTCCGGTTAACCCTCCCCGGTTTCCGCTCATAACTGCACCTCTACCTCTTCCGGAGTTCATAGTTGCCTCCTCTTCCACCAATGCCACCTCTGTTTCCACCTAGGGGCATCTGATTGGCGCCAGGCTGCCCTTGACCCTGACCTTGGTTCTGAGGGATAAATCCCGACATTCCCCGGCGGCGCGGGAGGTGGTTGAAACTGAGGCTGAGGAGGGGGTGCCCCAAGTTGTCGGTTCTGACCGTGATGTTGGTTCGGGCCATCAAACCGTTGGCGTTTGGCAGGAGGAAGATGTTGGGGTGGGGTGTGATGAAGACCATGATTATGTCGAGGCTGCTGCTGGGGCTGTGGCTGTTGTTGAGGAAAATACTGTTGCGGAGGGGCCATTGTTTGTGTCACATGCGGGTACGCAGGCTGCTGTTGGGCTACGATTGGCTGTTGGGGTTGAGGGACATACGGTTGCTGATAGCCAACGGATGGTTGATACGGATTGTACTGTTGTTGAGGTGGAGGTGGCGGTGGTTGGATCACAGGCGGTGGTGGTTGATACTGTTGTTGACTATGTCTCTGCTGCCAGTGCATGCCCTGACCACCATAGCCGTAGTTTGCATACAAAGCACTTTGTTCAGGGGGCGGTCTTGGAGGCTGTTGAGGAGCAGACCATGCTGGAGTGTAGGCTGGAGTCGCTTGTTGCTGCTGTTGCTGCTGCTGAGCTGCAGCTACCCAATAAGCGGAATAATCTGGAGGTGCAGCAGGCGGTGGTCCTGGAGGAAGTGGTGGTTGCGGTGGGTTGTATGTCGGTTGCGGTATGAAAGGATTTTTATTCATGACAGAATCCTGAAGCTTCCGTATTCGCCGTCGTAGTCGCCGATGAACAGCTTGTCGTCGTTGTCGTCGCTCGTATGTGTGATTACTCCAGTCGACCGTGACACTGAAAATGCAACGAACACATTCATGCTTATGTCAGCTCTCAATACTTAGTTTGATGATGGGCCTGCACATCCTTACTTTATAACCTCGGGCAAAGTACAATTAATACAGCCGTGAAAATAATGCCATAAAAATACAGGGATTGAGGTTGATATAAAATCGACAATTACAAACTGTCCGTGAGCGTGCATGGTACTACGTCCTTTCCTGACTAGTCACCAGTAGAGGCACCTGAAGTGCCGGCGCTCGGACCACCGGTCTGGGTCGGCGGGCTTGAGCGCAGCTGATTGAATTTATCGTGACGATCACGCTGCAAATATTTAAGGGATTTGTGCATGTTCCGAATATAGCCCACCTACATCATGATCATTCTTATCCTTGGTGACCTGGTCGACGTGTGTTCGCGCAGCAGATAAGTCTTGTTTGTGTTTCTCTAACTGCTGTTGCTGGGTCTAGGAGATTTAAGCGTCGAGAAGAGGTGGAGAAAGGCTACGCACATGAAGGCTTGCCTGCGCATTGTGAAGGTCTGCGACAGCTACATCATGTTTATGGGTGATGGCATGGAGGGAATTAATGGTCCCCAGCTCCAGCTTTTCCAGTTTCCTGACAGATTTCTCTGCTTTGCTTACAGACTAAACAATGTCAGGAGTGATCTAGAATCCAGGAAATAACGCCTTACCTTGGAAGCTTTGGCTTCTGATTTCTCGTGCTTGTGCATGTCTTTGAAGGCTGACTGTATCTTCTTTTCCTCAGATTTAGCCTCCGTTGAGAGTTCCTTCTCGAGCTTCTTCATAGACTCCGCATCTGCGGGAAGTTCTGTAGGTGCGGACATGTTTGTTGGAGAGGAAAGCCGTTAAGAAACAAACGATATTAGCAATTACCATCCAGGTATTACCTTATTAGGCTGACAGTCCTGGGTCACGGGTTGTGGCCTCTGAGACGATGACGCCAGCGCTCGTTCATCATGACGTCGAGTGAAAGCCAGGGATTTGACCCACTTCTGCCAGGGGCTGGCCGTCTGGGGCTTCGGCAGCAGGATTCGGGCGGAGTTCAAAGCAGTTCCAACATTGCTGGATGCCATGCGCTCACCATGGTCCATCGCGCCGTGGCCCACCACAAATGCCTTCCCGCCCACCACCTGCTGTTGGAATGCTGAATTCGTCCTCTACTCAAAATGAATTATCAATACAGTGGTGGTAAGATATTTACAGACACAGCTTTGAAAGTTTGAGCTTAAACAATTCATCCTTGTCTTGACATGTATCCGGCATCTGTGAGTCGATATCACTACAGTCCGTCACTGCTGTCGAGGACTTAGATGAGGACTGTATGATATGAACACAGGGCCGTCCATCTAACCATAGTGTCACCACCGATGATCGGAGTCATTCTTAAGGACACTTTGAGCAGTGTAGGAAGCGTTGAAAGGCAATGTAGTATATTTCCATGAGTTCTGGTCCTTCTGGAGAGTGTGAGAGAGGACACTCACGATGTCCATGATGCACGCTCATGCACTGGACTGGGCGGGAGCGTCAACCGTTGGCGCGTGACACTTTGTCATCGGGCAACGTTTAAACTCCGCGTGAAGCCCTGCCGAAGCCTCAGATCTCAGACTTGACCCCAGAGCTACGTAGATTCGGAATAGATTCTAATGCTATAAGTCTCGAGCATCCGTATCTGATATTCCCTTAGCATGCGCCCTAAGTCTGATTAAATGTGATAAGTATGAATCAAATGTAATGTTACAAAGCTCTATATCCCATCTAGTAAGCAGTCATCACATATCCGTTATGATGCATGCCCCAATAGCCGCTGATGGTCAAATGAACAAAATTTCAGTTTCATGGTCTGACCATCGACGACCTGGGGCTGATCTGGGCTGATGAGCTGACCGTGGTGAGGCTGATACCGGATGAGCAACCTTAACCGATTTTTGGACTTTAGCTTGAGATGTCAATTTGATTTTTCACATGGCAACTGTCCGTGACAACAAAAATCTCGAGAAATCATCATCGCAGGGAACGATTCGGAGTCCTTTTCATCTTACGGCTATCCTGCTCCACAGCTCCACACGTTCTGTTCGCTTTACTGGAGTAGGTGGAACATATTAATACCCGCACCACAGTCAGGTGGGCCGAATCAACACTTGCACTCCTCATCACATTGTGCTCATCTGTTTCTCCCAGAGTCCCTGGTCGAGCACTTCACTGATTCTAGGATCAGTGCGCAGCTAGGAAGAGCAATATATCTGTCGGTAATTGCAGCCGACTGCCCTGTGACGTGAAGCAGGCTGCTAATACATATGGAGCACGATGAAAGACAGACTCCGTCCCCCCCCATCATTTGCGCCTCACGATCCGCTATTCGCCTCTGACGACATCAGCGAGGAAAACCATTTTGTGAACTCTACACCCTCGTCTCTTTTCCAACCTGATTCAAGCACCACCCAGCTGGTGCTGGACCGTTATCCATCACAAGAATCATTTGCAGACCGTTCCCAGGTTAATTTGATGATCAACTACGAAACAAATATTGATAGGTCACCACAATGCAGCAGACAGGAAAGCGGTTCACATCCATCTCAAGCCAGCATTACGCAGACAGGGACTCAGAAGCCATCTGTCCACTATCATGAGGATGTAATTTCACCATCCGCTACTGGAAGTTACTTCGGATTTCCTAAATCAGACTCGCGTCAGTCTTCGGACGATGAAGATGAGGAAGACGAGTTCGATTGGAGCGGCGACGAGGATCTCAACAATGAAGAAGCCGAGTTCGAAAAGAAAATGGGTGTAAAAATCAAGTCTCGCGGCTGGGGCATTATTAGGTATGTTTGCCAAGGACGTACTATACCTTTTCCGACCAACACGAACATTACAGGCTAGTTACTCTGCTCTTCTCCTCACTCGTCGGGTCCACCTTCCTTGCGGCAGTCCTAACAACTCCCGCACTCCTTATCCATTTCTTTTGGTACAAGCCACACCCAACGGACTACAGGCATTTTGTCGACATCAATGTCGAGGCTTGGCTCTTCTGGGCAGCAGCTAATGTCGTCATTTCTTGGGGTCTCGCAATGATCATCGACATTATACCTGCCATCATACTTGTGGTGATTGCAGTCACATGGGGCCATGTCTCAGAGAGCGTTAGGACGAAGCTCGAGTTGTATGCCTCGACCAAAGATACTATCAAACCTCTCTTCTATGCAGCGGGTGCCTGGCTCAGTTGGATCATTCTCTTCCAGAATATCTTCAAGTTGAATGACTCGTCTAATGCTCAGAATTATGCACCCTACACGGACCGTGTGAGCATCATTTCGTCACTCCTCGTGTTCTGAAGCTCATTGAAACACCAGGTCGCTCAAGTAATCGAATTCCTGTTCTTTTTTACCCTGGTGGTATGCATTCAAAGGATGCTCTCCCATGCTATTGGTGCGGTCACCTGATCCGTGCCAAAATCTTAAGTCTCATTGCTTCCAGCGTTTGCATTCCATAGGACTGCGTATAAGGAACGTCTGGACGAAGTCAAGAAAGCCCTTCGAGTGATAGAAACCCTTCGTAACTACAAGCCAAAATCATCGGCCCGTCACAAGTCCAATAACTCCCATCCGAGGCTTGCGACCTTCACTGGGCTTAATCCGTTCAGCGACAAAGAGCACTACAGGCTACGCTCGGAGAGCTCCGCACCAAGTGAAGGTGACGAAGCGGATGTGGAGGACGGAGCAAAACTGAAGAACAAGGGAAAGGGGAAATATAAGCAGCGCAAGTCGACCATCATTGAAGCCTCAGAAGATCTCGAGTCTTCAACTGAACAAGTTGCTTCCATCGCCACAACACCAGCTACTCAGCCCTCAGTTGACAACCTTACGACTCACAAATATCCTCCTACCCCTTCCGGCCCGCGTTCTGTTGACCCACACACCGAAGATCCTACTATTGTCGTCCAAGCAGCGAAGGCGCTTAAGACTGCTGTACTACACGATGCCCGGAATGTCAAGGGCGCCACTGATGAGCTTGAAGCGTTAGTCCTCAGCATGAGCTCAACACACGAAGCAAAGGTAAGAAGATTTAGAACTGCATTATGTATGCGTTAAAACCAACTTGAACGTCAGCGTCTTGCCAGGGCGATATACAGGACTTTCAGAGACCGCCGGCGTACCTACCTCACGTCCGAAGATTTCTACCCCTGCATTTGCTACGCAGAATGAAGCTAAAGATGCTTTCCGGGTTTTCGATGTAGACGACAATGGTGATATATCGCGGTCTGAGATCAAGTCATCGCTGCTTCGTGTGTACAAGGAACGTCGGTTCCTGTGGCGTAGTATGCATGATGTTGGCGCTGCGCTCAAGACTCTCGATCAAATTTTATTACTCTTTGCTCTCGGCATCTTGTTCCTCGTCTCTTTAAGCATTTTCGGCGTCAATGTGACGCAGTCCCTGACGAGTGCATATTCCCTCGGTCTCGCAGCTAGTTTCGTCTTCAAGAACTCTGCGAGCAATGTCTTCGATGCAATCATGTTCTTGTTTGTAACTCAGTGAGTTGCGTGACTGTATGCGCTTGAGTATCAGGATGACCCTCTCATTTATAGTCCCTTTGATACTGGTGATCGATGCTTCATCGATAGTAAGCCACTGAATCACGGGCTGGGCGTTGCTAATGAAATCTTCTCTTTCATTTTAGACGAGAACCTAGTTGTGAAGAGGATGGATTTGTTTGCGGTATACACATTTACCTGGAATGGATGTACAGTTCTCCTGATACTTTCTTTATCAGACAGTCTTTGCTCGATCAGACGGTACCGAAACATATTATTTCAACAGTCAGCTATTCACGAAGTTTATGTACGTATCTGAGCATTCCTTGTGCACCACATGATGTCTGACAATGCCTAAAGCACGAACGTCCGCCGTAGTGATGTACGAGCCTCTTGCACCTTCTCTGAATGTGTCGTACTGATTACCCTGGCAGAAAATGGCGGAGTCTTGTACCATCCAAGTTGCTTGGCGTACGCCACAAGAAAAGCTAGACGCGCTTGAGGCAAAACTGAATACGTGGCTTTCTACTGAGGAGAACAGGTGGTTCCAGCCGACTACGTCGGTTGTATTGCAAAACATTAGTTACCAACGCTATCTTGAGTGTACTATTGGTATCTCGCACAACTCGTATGTTTGTTTTTCGTATAGGAAAGAGGAACAGAAGCTGATCGTGTTCTTTTCAGAACATGGCAGTAAGTTGCGGAGAATCTGAGTTGAGTGTGATTTGTTGATGACTTTTTGCAGAGACTGGGGCCTCCGGAATACGCGCAGAACCGCATTCCACGCAGCAGTTCAATATTACTGCAGGGAGCTAGGGATCACCGCATATGAGGCACCTATGCCTATCGCATATGCAGATGCTAACGCGCGACAATACAATGTTCCTCAAGAAGCAGTACTACCCAATATCTTTTCAGGTGTTCAGTCTCCTGACAACCAACATTCCCCTGATAGAAGTCAAAAGAGCTTCCTTGGTTTCACACCTCCGCGGGATCAAGGTACTCGTTTGACACGTGCACACACTCGTGTGCGCAAAGGCAAGAGTCGCAAAGCAGCTGTGCGGGGAGTGGGTGCAGACGGTGGTGGAAATGGTTGAACCTTATCTTTTCTAATTCTCGACCGCATACATAAGGTGGTTTGTTTGGATACTTCGTTGAGCGTATCCCCGACTCGTAGAACGACTGTTAAGTCCAAGGGGTGTCTGTGTTGATGGTGTAATTGAGATCTAGAAAGTTTCCTCCTGTCTCATGACTTTCACGCTGATACAATGATGTTGTCTATTGTCAACAGTCGTCCTTACTCTTACAAGATGGTGCAAGTTCGATACTTTCCAGTAGGAGTCACTCAATGGTTTATCTTCACTGATCTTAGTAAATTGGTTACGACAGATTAGAAATCTATTCCTTGTGTGGTGCAGACTCGAAACCTGCCAATAACAGCTTTTTTCTCCATGAGCATACCTTAACATTCACTCATCATACCTTGGGCATTCACTAATGGGTTGAACTTCGAATATCTGTCTTCAGCAACCAGTGCATTCCAGGTGTAACTAATGCCAAGTAGTTAGAACATATTTAAAATGTATTGAACCCTTGGATGGTGCAGGTTTCAAATGCTGAGCATCTTCATCAGGGAAGTGAAGTGAAAATGGTAAAGTTTTGTCAAGCTTTACCTGGTTTAAAATTTGTATAATATCTATCAAAATGATAGTTCACTAGAAAATGCTTTATATACCCGGTTGGATGAAAACTGCCAAAAGCACAATCATGATAGTCTACCTGCAATTACTTGCCATTTCTCACCAAACCAGCAAATGTTGCCAACACTCAGCAGCCATGACAAAGTTTGATAATGTTGGGTGGCTTCAAACAAAATTTTCTCATTTTGTAATTAAACCAACAAGATGTAAGTACATATATACATGTATAATACGACAAAAGACTATAAGAGGAAGGAGGGTCCACAAAGGAGGAACCAAGGAGGAACTATGGAGGAGGGACCACAAGGGAGGAGGGACCATAAGGGAGGGACCAAGAGGGAGGGACCAAGAGGGAAGGCCAAAGAGAGTGAGAGTTCGAGGCAAGTTCAGAGTAATTAAGTGGTGGTGGTAGCATTGAGAGAAGGAACTAGTAAGAAGATGTTGAACTTTGGAATTTTTTTGGACTTACATAAGCATCCTATAGGGCCAAGCCTCTTGATCCCAAGTGGTCACTGGTGACCATAGGTGACCATGCAGTCGAGAAATGCTGGTACACTTGCCTATTTTCATCAGAATTATACATTTTTTGCTATATCTTATCCTTCACTACCAAATTACTTATCTTATATATTATTTTGTCTACTTTTGTCATTACATATAATTGCATGACTTTTTGATCTGATCTTACTAACTACAACTATGAAAACCATCGCCTCAGTGATTTCCTGATGTTAGAGGCCCACCTATATACTGCTGAATCTACACAAATATTATATGTGCCCCCCCTTAAACTGAAATTATGTGGTATCCAAAAAAGGAAATTGTGTCACCCTGAAAATTAGAGGGCATCTGAGAATTCAAATTTGGGGTCTGTTCAGCCAAGTCTGGCTGGATCTGTCCAGCTCACAAGTCACTATAATTTATATGCAGAGTATGATACTAATATATTACATGAGCAGAAATATAGCATCTTAATAGGGGACAAGTGTTGGCTTTTGAGGACATGAACACACAGCAAGAACAACAACTAGAAGAAATGTATGATCTCAGTATCTGGGACTCGGAGGAAGACTCCAGGTGCTAACAGTACCTAGAACAAATGTATGCTAAGTCTTTGTTAGCTGGTGATATGTTATGTGAAGCTATTGGTACGTACATCTCAGTATCTGGGAGGAAGACTGAGATGTCTAATTCTACAAGAGATCATTTTTATGTGCAGGTAGAGTAGGAAGGGATGAAAATGATTCTAAGACCATTTGACATGATGTTCGGCCAATGACAAGCAGACACCTGAAAACAATGCATTTATACCTAATCCAACGTGTCTGATGTGCCTTTCAACAACAAGAACACTGGTTGAGTCTAATGGTTGGTAGTGGGTGAGCACAACTGTAGTGGAGGAAAGCTGGCCAGCCTAAAACAAGTCAATTAAAAGCATTGTAGTTACCATGTACAATTACCAGAATATAAACAGATATAATAAAGACAATGTAAAAGGGGTATGTTAAGAGTACAACATCACCACCTCATAGTATTTCTTTCATCTTTCTCTCTGTTTGTCATCATGGAAACTTTATATAATTTACCTTATAAGTCACTTTGTACATCCCCCAGCAATTCTTCTTATAACACTGAGGTATGTTTCATGTCTCTCATATACACCGACTCTTATCTCACTTTACCCTATCTCTAGACTCTTCTTTTAGTCTGACTTTCATTAGAAATACTTTCAATTAGTGATAGGTATACTTCAAGTTGAATGATATAGGTGCAAAAAAAACACAAAATACACGATAAGATCTAGAAATTGAAGAAACAATTTCCTTCCCATGGGTTGTTCTTAAAGAATGAAAGGGCTTGGACTAGGGACAGGGAAAGAAAGACTACATTAAGCATGCTCACCTCAATCTTAGTTGGGAAGACTGAGGGGAAAACTATAGTGTAAAGAGACTATTAAGATGGGTTGAGATGGAGAATAAAAAGCAGGCTATGGTGTTACATTAATACATCTTATATAGGCTATTATCCACAAACCCTCATACATATGTCTTCTTCTGTTATAGTCTACTGCCCATGGAGAATGTATTCTTATTCTCTGGGATGTATCCTACCATTTCTGAGATGACAAATCTTTACACTGGGGGGTTGAATATTTCAAATGAACAATATTTCTTTTGTTTCTAGCTGGTCCTTGATTCCTCTAGATCTGTGCTGCTCACACAGCCAAAAATGGCTTCTTTTTGATCCTACAGCAGATACAGTAGACTGATCTTGATACTAAATCTGAGGAGGTACCTAGATGTACCTTTCAGTACTTGAACTGATCCCTGAGTCTTGCTATCATATGATCTGATTCATATTTTAAGCACTGAGCAGTGACTACTGACCACTGTAGCACTCAGCCTTGCACTGAGCATGTATTCAGCTAATTTCCAATGCATGTCAAACACCCATCACACTTGAATCACTTCCCAATGTTATCCGACACTTACCCGCTCAATCCGATGTTTATCCACTAAACCTGATGCTAGTCCAATGAACCCGATGCTAATCCGATGAACCCGACATTTTCCGCGCATTGGACCCGATATTTTCTTGCGCATTTGTCCTCCCTATGCCCTGTCCTGTTGTATCTATCCCCACTAGGTGCGCAGTTATTCATTTTCACGTCGCTAACATTGTGGAACACTTTATTACATGTTCACAGTACCACATGTTTTACATAGGACATTGGACCCGAAAATCAGTGCTACTACTTTCGCCTATAGCACTCTGAAATTCTACATAGATACTATATATTTCGCATACATCCTACCTATTTACTTACCTTCCTACCTCTGAGTAGGAGGAGGTCATTCGATATTTAGTAGTTCTTAACTGAATTCTGCAATATCATCCTTTCTTTATCTGAAACACTTCAAAACATCTGACATTCGCTATCCCCGACATTCACTATATTCTTGACACAAACTCGATGCAAACCTGACGAAACCCGCTAACCCAAAACCCGAAAACATTGGACCTGGCGTTTTTGACATCGGACTTGTAATTATACCTTTGGACTTTGTTTCCCATGCTTTGGACTATCTTCCTTTTCATATAACTAATTACTATAATACCATATAGCAAACCCCTTGGGTCGAACACACTTGTCTTGCAAGTATAGCAGACTAGGCAGTGCCACTAGACCACAACATTTTTTATATTGCTGGTTACTTACTTCGTGTAGTGTCCAGCAATTGTTGTATCTCTACACCACACTGGTGAATTAACTTCTTTATGCAACACTATACTCTAGTGCCATTGATTACTGGAACTCGTCTGTTATTCAAATTCTACACTGTATCCCTGGTACCTTTAAGTACTTAAACTCATTCCAAGTCTCACTATCACATAATCTTGTTTATGTTTTGAGTCACAGTGCTGAGCAGTGACAACACTGATGCATTAGTTTAGAATTGAATACATGATTATATGGAAGACAATGTCAGAAGTAGGAATATATGAATGTAAGGTCTTCTTAGACTAAAAAGTAGTCAGCAGTCGCAATTAATGAAATTGTGACATTGGCAAGAGTTGAACAGAAAAGTAGCTTTCTGGTCAAAATCCTGCACAGTATCGCAACAGTGACCAAGTTACCACTATACTATTCAGCTGACACTGAAAAAGGAATTAATAAGCATATATTATCCCAAATGTACCAAAATTCTGAAAATATCAATAATCAAAAATTTTACTACTGCTGGCCACTTAATGCGGCAATAAAAACCCACAATTTTTTTGACAGAGACAGGTACATTTCTAACCTACAAAACCCTCCTTTGGGAGTCGGGGACTTTCCAACTATCACCATGGCTCTACAATCCACAGATCATACTCATCTGAGGCAATGTAAGTAATATGTCTCCTACATATAGTTAAACTATATCTTCTAATCATTTATGTGTACAGGTCAGCTATTTGAAGTCTCTAACTACTAAGAATGCTGGATTAGTACCAGGATCTCTTAAGAAAGCTCTTGAGATATATTTCCTCCAGTGCTACAGGAGGCAGAATATAACAATATAGCAAGTGTAACAGATCCTATATACTCAATTAACTATATATAGGAGACATATTACTTACATTGCCTCAGATGAGTATGATCTGTGGATTGTAGGGCCATGGTGATAGTTGGAAAGTATAGTAGCCAGCAGTAGTAAAATTTTTGATTATTGACATTTTCAGAATTTTGGTACATTTGGGATAATATATGCTTATTAATTCCTTCTTCAGTGTTAGCTGAATAGTATAGTGGTAACTTGGTCCCTGTTGCGATACTGTGTGGGATTTTGGCCAGAAAGCTACTTTTCTGTTCAATTCTTGCCAATGTCACAATTTAATTGATTGCGACTGCTGACTACTTTTTAGTCTAGGAAGACCTTACATTCATATATTCCACTTCTGACATCTATTCTTCACAATTCTCAAATACTAACTTTGGTAGAGGTTCAGATTCTTGAGGTCATGAGACTGGTGATTACAGATTATGTTGATGATATTGTTATCAGCAAGAACTGGGCTTTCAAGCTCTTTGACCTTGAGCTTTGCAAATTTTTCCCACAATTCTTTATTTATTTTAATACCTTGCCAAAGTTGATAAATTAGGCTACTCCAGAGTTCAATTTCACCCTTGATACAATGCTGTAGGATTAATTCAAGTCTTATTGATAGAATAAACCTGATC